TCAGCACCAACATTTGACATCCAAACATTTTGTCGTAGCAGCCAACATTTGCCAGCATGTTACAGCTCCCATACAGTAGTAGTTACTTTTGAACTGTACCTAACACCTAGTAGTTAGTCTTTGACTGAAATTGGCAGCTTGCAGTAGAACTTAGGTCATTTTATATCAACATGATGTACCCATCAAAACAGGCGATTTTCAGATTTTATTGCCAAATTTTAATTTTGAAATTCATTGGCAAATTTTGGGACCAAGGGTGGTATCCAGATAAATCTGGCAATGCAACAACATTTAGGTGCACAGTATAACTTCCCCATCCACTCCTCTCCCCATGTTCCCCCTCCAGTCAGCTTTGGATTTTCCCCAACCTATTAATTTGAACTTGTGACCTTTCAGTGATGTGCAGCCGTTATTATTAGCATTAATTGAATTTATAACCCGCTCTTCCTGAAGGAGCCCAGGGTCATCTCTACCAAACTGGTTTTAACCTATTCTGCACTAGAAAGAAGGATGCATAATTTTTGAGACTTGGGATTGATTCCCGCACAGAGCCAGACTATCAGACTCAGTAATATACTTCCAGATGACCTGGAAACCTGAAGTTGTGTGTGCAGCACATACAGTCCACGACATCCTGATCTTGAATAATGTACCAGATTTTCAGATGTCTGAAAATGGGACATATTGTCAATAGTCAAAACTCAAAACATGACAGGTAACCTTTGTATTGTTTTAGAGTTTATAGAGCTGGGGTTATTTTAAGTTGTGAATCAATGCTGTACTTTTACTTTTATACTTCATTATTTTTACATTGTACACTCTATTGTTAGGTACTATCTTGTGGTAGGAAAAAATGGTCTATATATGTTTGAAATAATAGCTGGCACTCCTAACACAAAGTAAAGGAAGCTAGGAAATGCTGCTGAACATGGTCTGGGAAAGTAATAGTAGCACATAAGCTTACCTGCCAAGTGTGTATGGCTAAAGCCCAAGGGAAACAAGCTCATTTCTCTGTCTGTACTGCTTGTTTTTCTCATAGACTCTCCTCTCCAGATGCGAGGAGGGAACCTAGGAAGGTGCCTTATACTGAATCAGACCACTGGTCCATCTAGCTCAATATTTTCTACAGTGTCTGGCAGCAGCTATCCAGGGTTTCAGATGCCCTAACTGGAGATGCTAAAGATTGCACCTGGGACCTTCTGTATTCAAAATAAATGCTATACCACTAAACTATGGCCCTTTGAGTTCTGAGCTTTGTCATTTTTGACTTGTGTTTCAATTCCTTTCTTTGAGTAGTTTAGAATTGAGGCATTTCTCTCTTTGTACAGTCATGTTTTATGTTTGTTATTCTGTATACTTGGTCACGTGTGTTATAGAAGGGTCCTCATGACTATGGCTGGTTTTAGTTTTATCCTATTTATTTTAAACTCAGCTGTTGTTTAAAATATTGTTTATTTTGTGCAAGATCGTTCATAAGTATGTTTGCAAAAATAAAAATAAAAAAATTAAACCAAGCCACACTAGACTTGGAATGTTGGGTTGTGGGAGTTTTCCTCTCATAGCTAGAATCAGCAGCTTGGGTTTAGATTTCCAATAGCAGTCAGAAACAAGCATCTGTGAATATTTTGTGTTTTTATCTTGTATTTTTACGCTGTGATAAATAAATACAGTGGTATATCAGTTTAAGAACAGCCCTGTTTAAGAACTATTCGGTTTACAAACTCTGCAAAACCGGAAGTAGTGTCCCGGTTTGCAAACTTTACCTCGGTCTAAGAACAGAATAGTGGAAGAGCACCGGTGGTGGGAGGCCTCATTAGGGAAAGCACACCTCGGTTTAAGAATGGTTTCGGTTTAAGAACGGACCTGGAACGGATTAAGTTTGTAAACCGAGGTACTACAGTAAATATTTTCCATGTGTGTAAGCAAGTTGAGGTTGAGCCGAAACGAAGTAGGGGAAATTGTTTTCTCCTGTCACCTAGGGCTAGATGGGCAGTCAAACATCTGAAGGTATCACATGGTGACAATGGTGGTTTTAGGGTATATTCCATTAACATGTTGTTTCCTGTGTAGTTACTTCACTTGCTTAATGTACGCTTCCATCCAGTTACCTGTCTTCTTCCTATTTCCACCCCCACCCCTTTAGCTGCATTGGGATATTTGAGCTGAGCCTTAGCATTGACCTGAATAAAGGAAAGAGCCTGTTACATTAATTATATAGTCCCCGAGGAGAATGAATGCAGCAGGATTTTCAAAATGACGCTCTCATCATTTTAACTGTGCGTTTACCTTCCCACATGCCAGGGTGATGGCAGGAAATGGCTTGTGTTATGTTCTCAACAGATTTGCCACAGAATCTCAGGGACGCCCAAGCATGGTTTCAGCCTTACTCTTTATCTATTTATCCGGTTAGTTAAAATGCTCAGTGTACCATTTCTAAATCACAGGAGTATGAAAGAAAGAACAGAAGCCCCGTATCAAAAGGCATAAGCCTATACATATCCATAAATAAACATGACAGGCATCCAGTCCACTGCTGCCTTTTCAGTATGAGAAAACTGAAAAGAGTACGGCAAGCCCTGCGTGGAGGGGAAACAGATACAAACAGGCCCACCATATCTTATGAGGTGGATGTGGCTTCCCTTCTGTAGTTCCATATGCCTCACACATCACAGTCAAAGAGCTGGCTTATTGCTTAAAGTGAACATATAAACACACTGTCCCATTGCCTTTTCACTGCTTCCTTGGGATCGCCAGCTCACAATGCTGCAGTAAAGACTGGTGGAAAATTATCCATCTAACTATTAAAGGGATTGGATTGGAGACTCCTCAGGGCCTAGACTCAGAAAAAAATAGGCTACCTAACTCCCCAGTCCATAGTCCCACAATCCATTTTCTCAGGCCTCTCTTTTTTCCCTCAGGTTCATGTAGTACTCTCTATTAATTGCACACTTTTCCTGTGGTTAAAATGCACGAGGGTCCAAAGTGAGCCTTGCAGAATGCCATGCCATGTGAGGAGCAATATTCTGCCAGAACCATCCTCTGGCCCATCAGGCAAGAGTGGAACTACTGGAAGCTAGTCCAGAAGGATTCTGTGGTCATTGGTACTGAATACCTCAGTATGTGGTGTACCAGAAGGTGTCATATGAAGTCAGATATGTATGAGAGAAATATATGGTTGTAAAATGAAATCTTGAGGTTGGAAAGGGCATGTTAATATTAATGTTGGGGACACAAACATCATTATGTTTCTCCACCCCTCCTATAGCCCATCATCCAGCAGACTTTAAAAGCCCTCATTATAGAGAATCATCCTCTTGGTAAAATACAGTTTAGCTTCTGCATTTCAGAGCTAAAAATAAAAGAACAAGAGAAGAATTTCAGCTGTTATGCATGCAGCAGATGCACTGCACACAAGGGAGCCATTATGAGTGGAATAAGTGAATGCAATTAACAGCGCTGAAGTGACTAAGCATTCCATATAAAATCACTATGGATCAAAGTGAAGCTACTTGTGCATTTGAAATGGCATCTTTAGCAACAGGAAACACAATACCAAGTAATTTTTCTTAATTTTAGGACATGGAGGGGGTTCCCTCCCCCATGTATTATTCTGAAAAATTATGCCTTGTCTACTACATGTTTTCAGAGAAAGACATTGCATAGAACCTCGTGATTTTAAGCTGTTTCTGTTGAGGGACAAGGAGCTGATTTCATATTAATACTATCTCTTTGATCACTGTGGTGTTTCAGTTAACTTGTTGAGACACATCTTGAACTTGACATGGTGAAAATGTTAAGCAAACATTTGGATCCCCAACTAATATCCAAACAATAACTTTTGAAAATGCATATATATTGGATGGAGATAAAGCAGTTGTGAAATGCTGCCTTTCTCCATTACAAAGAGAAATCACAGCCTGCCAGACACGTGGACATTGATAGCACCTTCCACAGAAGCAACCACTGTGATGCAAACAAGAAGAACCCAGAAACTGAGAGGCTGCAATGTTCCCCATAGATGGCTATTTGAAAGCCCTTTTGCTTCTATCTGCAAATAGCCATCCTTTTGAATTATCTATCAAAAGTGGGGAAAGGGTAGTCAGTGCAGTGTAGTGTAGTGTCCAGGCAGCTTGTTTGGGAGGTTTCCCTGTTGGGGTTTTTCATACTGCTGTGGACATGCTGTAACTGGATGCAGAGCTGATCTGAATCTTAAACTTTGTCATGGTGGTACGGGCAGAGATGGAGGAGGTTGTGGGAAGTATTCTTTGGCTCTCAGTTGAGTTTGATGTGTTTTAACACGCACCGTCTCTTTTGTTGTCATAATGCCAAGCTAACAATGCCACTGCTCATCTTTGGCTCTTCCATTGGAAATGCACCAGTGTAATATTATGACAACATATATCTGCTGTTATGCTGATGTACTCACAGCGATCCTGGGAGGCTGGTCAATGTTAATCCCATTTTAGAGATGGTGAATTGAGGCGGCCACACTCTGACTTGCCCAAGGCTACCTGTCCATGACTGAGTTATAATTTGAACATCTAAGGCTGGGAGAAGGTCCAACATTCATTTCCCCAGCATCTCCAGGTAAGGCTGGGAATGTTGCGTGTCTGAAACCCTAGAGAACTGCTGCTAACTAAGCTTGATGGATCAATGGCCTATCTGTCCAAGGCTGTAATCTTATGTGCACTGACCTGGGAGTTAGCCCTACTGAATTCAATAGGATTTACATCAGTCCATTAGACCATGGCAGTTTGGGGGTTACAGCAAAATCTGCTTTCCTCCACATAATGTAAAGTGGAAATAATTATGTTTACCTCAGAGAGAAGGAAGTATGTTGCATTCCATAGGAGAGGTATCTTCATGCTGATCTTGAATGAAATGTGGATTTCATTCCTGGTTTGTTTGTTTCTTCCATTTTATTTCAGAAAAATGAATGGCTGTGTTTGAACTGCCAAACTCAGAGGCTGCTAGAAGGAAGCCTAGGAGACCCTGCTCCAATGCCACTGCCTGCTCCAAAGCAACAGCCAACTGGATCCCCTCGACACCAACCCGGAGGAATTGGTCAGCAACAGAGAGGAGCTCCTCAGCAACCTGAAATGTCAGCTCCTCACGACAGGCACCTTTCACAAGCAAACCATCTCAGGACTTCAGAACCGAGCAAATTACCAACCGCTGTCCAAGACAGAAAGCCTCCTGCTCCATCAGAAGGAAAGCCACTGCCCAAACTACCCGAAGAGCCTCCCAAAGCTTCTGAAAGTCCATTGCCAAAGGGGAAAACTATGGCCACAAAACCAGAAGCGGATATCAAAGATAGCACGACCGTATCCGAGTCTCAGAAAACACGAGAACAGGAGGTAAGCATCGCTCCACTGGACACAATGGTTTAGTTATAAGAGGTTTCTTTTGAGTAGCTGATACCAAACCTAAAAGCCAACAGGAGGCAGTTTATTAAAGTGTTTTTAGCTGGCAGTCAGGCAGGGGATGATAGAGACATGGTCTGCTGTCCAACAGGCCTCTTCGCACAAATGCACCATATTTGCAGAAGTCTCTTTTCGGGTTTTTCCCCCCTTGCCAAGATTTGTTCCTCCACTTCGTTGCTTGCTATTTTTAAAAACATCCCTGGGTTTTCGAAACACCAATGCCTCAAAGCATAACTGGATTGAACATATACTAGTTTCAAAAATGTATGGAGTTAATTTCAAGAGTCTTCTTAATCAATTAATGGAGAAAGCATGATTATTTTTGGGTGGCATTATACTTTAACATCAACAACATAGGCTACTGTAACTGTAACAACATAGGCTTTTGTGTGGTAATCAGAAGCACATCACCAGGTGAGGTGGAAATGAAGGTGCCGAGATGGTGGGGAGGTCAGCACAGTGCAAACTCATTGGCAGAGCCAATGTGGTGCTCCTGCTGGTGCGTTTGCATCTACCCACTGCCTCCTCCTCTGCCTCCAAATAAGCCACAGTGGGTCACCTGCCAGAAGCCTGTGTAGTGGCTCTACCCTAGCTGGCAAGTTTCTTCTAGTTGTAATGCTTTAGTCCAAATGCAAGAACTGCAGGACATGAAGGTGCTTGTTATTTGTCTCCAGCATCTTTCATAAGTGTACCTCCTATGCACAGAGAGGTTTCACCTATCACAGCACTGTTTGTTTGTGGGGCCAAGCACAGTAGTCCGGTGACCCTCCTGGGTAGTTTGTAATAGCAGAAATGATGACAAGACAAGAGTGTTTGTTTATGCACAGTGATTTAAGGCATGTTTTACAGAGAAGACCTTTCAGAGAGTCTTTTTTCTTCCTTCTGACCCTAGTGTAATGCCTTTGCAGCCTTAGGTTCAAACTACATGTTACACTCATATGTATGTAGCTGCATCCTAATAGACCTCTTTATGTTTTAAATCAGCTTTTGTGTGGGTGTGTGGCGGGGGTTATCCAGCAAAAGCTGGTAGGAGTCAAAATGGCTACCTGTGATTCACATTTGCACCTGTGAAGTCAGTGTCTGTTCCTTTTTAATAGCATTCGCTATTGGGTAATAATAGGGGTTACCGAGAACTAGCAGAGTTTAGCAGAGAGAATGAAAGTGCCAGCAGAGGAGGTGGAGTGTTAGGTGCCACCTGCACAGTGTGAGGCTAATTGTGAGATGCTCCAGAGAAAAAACAAAGGTGAAATTGAGTGCTTGAGGGATAACTGAAAAGCTCTTGCTAGCAGAAGAAGCAGAAAGATGGAAAGAAGGAAGAGAGTGCAGAGGGCAAGGCCCCAATACTGAGCATCAGAATGTCATTTTGATGTTTCCTCTTTCCCCTCTCCTGGCCCCTCCCAGGACGGACAGCAAAGATACTTCCCAGAGGACTTTACAGCAAGCTGGTGTTTCTGCTGTTCTTTATGCAGACTCTTTTTGCTTCTGTTTTTAATCAATTGTTCACATTGACTAATTTCAGTTTACTACAGCTGAAGGATCTGCCTTCTCAGCCCCCCTGAACTGCAAGTAGGGAGTAAGCATTAGCCTAGATGACATTTAACACTAATTTGGTTAGGGCTTTGTAGGAATCTCCAGTTATGCAATACCAATCCTGCTGCCAATGCTTTGATTGGGGTATTGATTAAAAACACACTTTTATTTGTGCCACTGTCCCTTGCTTCAATCTCTTGGGCTTTCTCTGCAAAATTGTCAACCCCTGAAATTAAACTCCACAGAGTGGTTGCTGCCTCCAGAGACACTGATTAGCTGGTCTTTTGTCCTCTCTTGTTATTTTGTCACCTGGTCTTGGCATCTGAAGTGCAGGAATTAAGATCTTCAGCCTCTTGCTATTCAGGGCATGAATAAAATTCCCTTCTTGATCTCAAATTCTAATTATAAGTTCCACAAGTTCTGTGTGAAGATTTAAAATATTCACTGCTGTATGTGGGATTTCAGTCACCATAAACTTTACTGGAGCCCTGGGAATAAACATAACGCTTAGCTGAACTGCAGCAACATTTCTGAAATGCCCTTTTCGACGCATTTTTGCTGTAAGGAATTTGTAGAAAAGAATGGAGGTGGAGTTTGTGCCCCACAATCACAATGCCTTCTTTATCAAACAAAGACAAATGTCCATCAGGTATTTGCATGGGTGGAGCACAAGGTGGAGCAAGACTGCGAAGGAGCAGAAGGGTAAGTATTTTTAGGGGGGGCAGAATATGGAGCAGGATCCTCACTTCTGCTCTATTTATAGAGGCTGGCAGCCTGCAGGAAGCTGCTGAATTACTGGGGCAGAAGAGGCTCATTATATTTTATCCTAGGCATGAGCAAAGAAACCCTTAAGAGAGAGTGAGCAAAGGTGGGTGGTGTGAAAGGAAGAGGAAAGCTAATATTGAGTGATGCATATTTTTAGTTTTGAAGAAGCCTACTTTTCCAGCTCTTTGGGCAAATGTTTGGTTTGGTTTTGGGAGGAGGTGTCAGATCATGACTGGCTTGTGGCAGCTTTTGCCAAACACCTATTAAAAAAAACGTAACTCTGTAGTTGCTTGAAAAAAGTATATTGCTTCCAAATTACTCTAATTCTTTGGCATAAGAAGCCTCAGACTACCTGCAGTTAGTCAGGAATGTCAGGTCCTGTCCTGATTATATCATGGCCCCATTGCCCAAATGCTCTGCACCCTATCCAGGAGAATTACATCCTTTTATATATATAAAAAAACCTCCTCTGAAAAATTTTGAATGCAATTTCCCTTTTACCCATTATTTTATGGAGAATGGTTGAAAGAAATGCAGGAGAAATTGTAATCACAGGACTAGAACCAACAATGGCAGCTTAATTTATTTGCCGCACCAAGAAATTAACAGTGTTGTTAACAGTGCCACATCACTTTATAGTATATTAAAGATATTTAAATACTCTAATAGCCATTCTTCCACACCAGAGAATAATGGTCTTTTGGCAGCTGGCTGTCAAGTTTGGGATTTTTTTTTTACAATATTCTTGACAATTAATCTTCCAGCCCACATTTGAAGAGGTACACACCAAGCAAATATTTGAACAAATAGAGCTGAAATAGAGCTGTACACACAAATCGGGTAGTTGCTGGGGTCACGAACAATGGTGATCCAAATTTCCCTACAAATGTTCACCAATCTGCAGATTTGTACATGAAAAATAGTCAACTTAGGCATTAATTTTGAAAATAGTGCTTATTAACAACTGTTGGCCATGATAGCTGTATGGAAACTCCATGTTCAGAGGTCCTGTACCTCTGAGAACCAGGTGCTGAGGCCATTGCAATCATACCTGACTTGTGAGCTTTCGGAGGGCCTTCCTGGCTGTTGTGGGTAATACATTACTGGACTAGATAAACCTTGGCCTGGTCCAGCAAGGTAATTCTTGCAGTCTTAACTTGTAGGATTTCAAGGTTTGTGCTCCTTCTTATTGCAAAAGGAACACTTATATTTTTGCTAGACTTCAGGTTACAAAAAATGCTAGAGCATACAACTTTGGAGCCAACCAGCCTTGGGCAAACCAGATGGTCCTTTTTAAAAGGAAAGGAACCAGCCAATAAGACACTGTCATCTTAGCCCCTGGGTTGACAACAAGAGAGCACAGATTTACAAAACTGCAGAGCCAGCTATTTGGATTTTACAAATGTTTTGTTTGTTCCTAGGGACTTGCTGAAATCCAGACCTGTCAGAAGCAAACAGATGCAGTAAGGCTTAGCATGTTGAAGACTTGGGCTACACTTAGACATAATTTAATTTTTAAAGAAATATCTAAGTGTATAGCAAGAAATAATAAAGGTGTGGTTTTTTTAAGAAAGAGATGTAAATTGATCATAATCAGTGCTGTTTTTCTAGAAAAAGAGGTGCTGGAACTCACCATGCCCACCTGAGAGGTTTTGGAACTGAGTTCTGGCGAGTTCTGGCTGGGGGAAAAAGCCCTGATCATAGTTAATGAATGACAATCAGAGCAATCAGAATAGTTCTGATTTTGTTAACACAGAGTTGAGGGGAATCACATTTTCCTAGCAGCAAAATGTTTCAATTTGGGTTCTGGGAAAATATATTGTTTCTCAAAACCAGAAGTGCTTCCTGGAAGAATGACATCTGCAACAAATGACTAAGAGCTGTTCATTTATTAGATTGTAAATGGATTGCGTGAAAGGTCCTGTCCGTCTTGCTTTACTGTCATGAACTTGGCAAGAAGGAATTTTTAATTAAATGCATCATGCAATGATACTTCTTTCATGTTAATTTGCAAGGGTGCCGGATTTTTGTTTCTAAACTTGATAGTTTTGCTTACATTCTTTGACATCTGAGTATTGAGAGAGAGGGTGGGGTGCAAGCTTAAAAATAAATTACCGGTACTTCAGAAGGTCGGCGGTTCGAATCCCCGTGATGGGGTGAGCTCCCGTTGCTTGGTCCCTGCTCCTGCCAACCTAGCAGTTCGAAAGCACGTCAAAGTACAAGCAGATAAATAGGTACCGCTCTGGCGGGAAGGTAAATGGCATTTCCGTGCGCTGCTCTGGTTCGCCAGAAGTGGCTTAGTCATGCTGGCCATATGACCTGGAAGCTGTACGCCGGCTCCCTCGGCCAATAAAGCGAGATGAGCGCCGCAACCCCAGAGTTGGTCACGACTGGACCTAATGGTCAGGGGTCCTTTTACCTTTTTACTTGCTTATGACTCCTGAGTTTAGGAGCCCTTCCCTTCTTAATTTTTAAAATTATTATTAAAGTGAGGGATAACACTTTTGTTACTTGCTAAATTGTGGCTATTGTGTTGTAGTTTTTTTTCCTTCAAATTTTTATGTCCCTTCATGATGTCCAAGTTAATTATAGCTCAGGATTTCTGCAAGCCTGTGTGATAAACTGGGTTGTGCTCATAAAAGTCTCTTTTAATGGCATCTAATGGAATTTGTTTTCTCTTCTTTTGTAGGAATCCAGTAAGCCTTATCCACCAGACCTGTCTCGTAGCCCTCAAAGCTTGAGTGACACTGGCTACTCATCTGATGGCATATCCAGTTCCCAGAGTGAGATCACGGGCTTAGTGCAGCAAGAAGGAGAACAACTAAACGAAACCGGAATTGTAGAGCCGAGCCCTCCAAGTCCTTCGGAACTCACTAAGCTGGAAAGCAGCATGCGGCCCCTACTGGAGTCCAAGGGGCTGGCTCAGGAGCCAACAGACAGAGGTAAAACATACCATGAATTACGAGAGGAGCAGAGGGAAAGGCAGAGGCCACGGTCCCTTTCTATCACCCCGGAAGCCTTTGATTCTGATGAGGAGCTAGAAGATATCATGGAAGAAGATGAAGACTCTCTAGAATGGGAGAACCAGAAGGAGCAGAGGGACAGCATGGAATCTTCAGATGACTTTGGCAGCAAGCTACGCCACGACTACGTGGAGGACAGCAGCGAAGGAGAGTTCTCCATCGTACCAACAAGGCAGAAAAGCAAAGAACCTGCAATGACTGACGAAGAGTTCATGAGAAGGCAACTCCTGGAGATGAGCGCAGAGGAAGATAACCTGGAGGAGGAGGAGGAATACGATCGTATAAAATATAGCGTTGCAAAAAACGGGCACAAGCCTGACTCGGAGAAAAGCAGGGAGGCCGCCTTATCCAAGAGACGCCTGCCTCACAGCTCCGGCAGCATATATGAGGAGGAAAGAAAAGAGCTGGAAAGTACTGAGGGGGAAGACATGGCTGCATCTCAGGGAGGTTTGCGGCGTTTCAAAACCATTGAGTTAAACAGCACTAACAACTATGGCAGAGACATGGAGATCAGCCAAGAGGCAGACATCAGCTTGGACAGAGAACCTGAACTGGAGATGGAAAGCCTGACGGGATCCCCAGAAGACAGGTCAAGAGGCGAATATTCTTCCACCTTGCCAGCAACAACACCCAGTTACACATCAGGAACCTCCCCCACCTCCATCTCTTCCCTGGAGGAGGACAGCGATAGCAGCCCTAGTCGCAGGCAGAGGCTGGAAGAGGTCAAGCAGCAAAGGAAAGCCCGGCATCGCTCCCACGGACCTCTGCTGCCAACCATAGAAGATTCTTCCGAGGAAGAAGAGCTGCGGGAGGAGGAGGAGCTCTTGCGAGAACAGGAAAAAATGCGAGAGGTAGAACAGCAGCGCATCCGAAGCACGGCTCGGAAAACAAAGAGAGATAAAGAAGAGCTGAGGGCACAGAGGAGGAGGGAAAGGTCTAAAACGCCACCCAGCAATCTGTCTCCCATTGAAGATGCATCACCCACCGAGGAACTGCGTCAGGCTGCAGAGATGGAGGAACTGCACAGATCTTCCTGTTCGGAATATTCTCCTTCCATTGACTCTGAGGCAGAGGGGTTTGATGTCATTGCCTCCAAGCTGTACAAGTCTGGCAGCGAGTACAACCTCCCAACATTTATGTCCCTCTATTCTCCAACAGAAAAAACTGCTGGCTCTGGTTACCCCTCCAACAAGCCCCTGAAAAGTGCGGAAGAAGCTTATGAAGAGATGATGAGGAAGGCAGAAATGTTTCAGAAGCAGCAACCATCCCAGCAAAGCGTCTCCTACAGCAACACCTTCCAGCAAGTAGGCTATCGTGGTTCAGAAGGCCAAAATAATTTCGAATACCAATACATAGATGACTACAGCTATGACGGCCGGAATTTAGACTCCTCTCAAGCAGACTATCAGAATGAACTTTCCAAATCTGGGGCAGTTTATGAAGAAATTCTTCAGACATCACAGAATATCTCCAGGATGCATCAATCCTCTTCTCTGGATTTGACCCTTGAGCAGGAAGTAAAGAAGAAAGGGAGAGAAGATGCTTATCAAGAAAAGCAGTTTCTGAATGCAGAGAGTGCTTATGAAAGTGGCCCACTCACTCCTGGGACAAGCCCAACCCAGTTGTCTGCTCCTGTCTCCTTTTCCTCCACTGAAAGCAGCGCAGGCAGAATAATCCCTGATGTTCGAGTCACTCAGCATTTTGCAAAGGAGAGTCAGGAGCAGCCAAAGCTTCATAGCTCACCCACAGCACCTAGTTCAGTTTCAAAGAGCGTAACAACGCCCTACACGTATGCTAAAGGAACTAGCACCGTCACCACTGTTGTTTCCAGTCCTGCAAGTGCACCACGAATCTATAGCTCTCCGACTTCTCTGAGTGGCTCAGACGCACCATCCGTGTCCACTACTAGCCGAAGTTATACTCAAACAAAAGTAACAGCCAGCTATGGTTGTCAAACAGAAAATATTTCCAGGGTCAGGAGCGTTGCAGAGATTAGTGGGCCATCAGCAAGAGAAAAACTCCAAAGCATGACGGACAAGTCCACTGGACCCATGTCGACACCTAAAACATATTCCTACTTCAAAAGCTCAAGCCCACCACTTTCCCCTTCTTCTCCTACTCAGAGCCCCACTCATTCTGTTCCTAGAGCTGGGGTGCCACCCAGTTCAGGGATGGGGGTTAAATCAACTGCAGAGTTTTCCACCCAAACCCATAGCCCGGTTCTCGCCTACGATGCCCCCACGACTACCGCTATGTCAACCTCTTCTCCAATGGTAGCTCAAGGAACACAAACTCCCTACCGATCGAGTTCCCCTCGCCTTGCTCGGCAACAATCATCACAAGAATCTCCCTTTATGGTCATCACATTAGCAGCGGATGCAGCCATTCAGACCAAGCCGATTGGCGTAAGTTCCTCCATTTCACCAGCCTCCTCTCCAACTCGGCAAGGCCGCCAGCATAGCTACAGTCAGACAGTAATCCATGCAGCGCAACTCCAACAAGAGCAGCTGCAGTCCACTTACACGAAGACCCAATCAGCTCTCGAAAGAGCCTCTGCTCCTAGTGCTGCAATGCAGAAAGTGCAAACAACTGCTGCTGACAGCATGCCTGGTGTGTATAGCTGGGGAACGCTGCCTGCAGAGAACATTTCTTTGTGTCGGATATCATCAATACCTGGGACATCCAGAGTAGAACCTGGACCCAGACCAGTTGGTAGTAATATTGTGGACCTGCGGACTGCAATAAAGTCAGCTCCAATCATTATAACAGACCAAGGGATGGATCTCACATCCCTAGCTACAGAGAGCAGAAAATACTGCCTCACTATGGACCAGTCACCGAGTCGGCAGTCCAGCACCATCCAACCCTTAATTATCAACCTTAATGCCCAGGAACAGCCCCATGCTATCATAAGCACAGCCACCACAGTCAGCATCACTGTTGCATCTTCCATGCTTGTGTCTCAGCCAAAGCATCCTGCGGTCTATGGAGACCCTTTCCAGAACAGAGTGGACTTTGGTCAAGGGACGGGGAGTCCTGTCTGCCTGACACACATTAAGCAGGTAGAACAAGCAGTTCAGACTGGTACTTTCAGAGGAGTTGGTAGCGGCACTGGAATTTCTGCTTCTGCAGGCCGTCCAGAAGCCGCAGGTCCACAGCAAGCAAAATTTGCAAGATACAATTTGCCCAACCAGATGACATCCTTGATGAAAAAAGATGCCCTGATCAGTCAGACCAACAATGCACAGAATATTGTGAGTGCCATTCCCAGACCGTTTCCTCAGGACCAAAGTTCAGAGGTGTATAGAGGGATCCCAGTGGAACTGAAAACTCAGACACCCCCAGTCACCATTGGGACTAAGAAATCCCAGGTTATGATGGTGCAGATGGATGATATTGCAGCAGGCCCTGTCACCAAACTCATCAAAGAGGAACCTCCTCCCAATGCCTTGGATCTCACAGGGATGAAGCCTGAAAGTCAAATAGCATGCTGTGACGTAGTGTACAAATTTCCCTTTGGAGGCAGCTGCACTGGGGCTTTTAACCCTTCTTCCAAGGTGCCAGAGAAAAATGTTGGGGATGCAGCAAGCGCCGACAAGCCTAGTGGCCAGTACTATGGCAGCAGAGAACAGGAGGTGGCAGAGGCATATCCTTATCGAGAACAAGCAGCACCAGGGCCTAATCCGTACGAGGAGCACAGGTTCTACCATCATGGCCTGTTTGGGAGACTATATTCCTCAATGTCAGATACAAACCTTTCTGAAATGGGCTTGAACTATTACCCAGTTAAGGGAGGGCAGCCCTTCAATGCTCCTGCTGGGGATTCCGCTGTGGATCTGACCACCATGAAACCTCCATACAGCCACAGCTTCACCGAGGGAGGCTACATGGGGCACGGAATGCAGTACGGCTCTTTCTCTGACCTCAGGCAGCCCAGTGACTTGCTGAGCCATTCCTACCCAATGCGGAGATATAGCTCGGCCTCCAATATCTACTCTGACTACAGGTATTCGCTAAGAGGGGATCTGGCAAATTTCCAGGAAGCCAGCCTGGCTCATTATAGCGCCACAACAGCCCGCGAAATCAGCCGAATGTGTGCAGCACTCAACTCTATGGACCAGTACGGTGGACGGCATACGAACAGCTCAGATCTCCTCCAATATGGACAGTATGGGCCAGGAGGGGGCGGAGGCATCTCGGCCCAGCAGGGTGCCATGAAATCAAACATGATGTACAAGCCAAATTTCCCAGAGTCTGGCCAAGGCTATGGAAACCTAGCCCAGTACAACCTCTCCAGACTTGGAGCTGTCAGACAGGGACTCCCTTCCACAGCCACCGTCCGAGCTGCTGATGGCATGATTTATTCAACCATCAACACACCAATCGCATCAACTCTCCCCATCACTACCCAGCCAGCTTCTGTGCTGCGCCCCATGCTCCGAGGCCTATATAGACCCTATGCCCCAGGCAGTATCACAGCTGTCCCTCTGGCCAGCTTGACCAGAGTGCCTCTAGTTGCTCCCAGGATCCCCCTTGCATCCCAAGGTCTGTATCGTTATCCAGTGCCCAGCAGACTCCCAGCGGCTCCCACATCTTCAGTAATGGAAACACCAATGTATTTGGGGAAGCCTGTTAGCACCACTGCAGCCAGCACTGCTGCCAGTAGCGTAAGCCCAGCACCAGTTTCCAAGCCCTCGGCTCCGACTGCTGTCGCCTTGCAAAGGCCTGAGCAGAAAGGCAGAGAGGAGGCTGCTGCAGTGACTTCTGGGGTGCAGAGTACTGTCAGGGATGCCAGCCAAGGACAGCAGCAGCAACAGCAGCAGCCACCGCCACCGCCGCCTCCACCACCACCACCACCACCACCACCACCAACCCAGAAACAGGCCGAAGCTACCCAGCCCAGCATTGCCAGCAAAGCAGCCACAGAAAGGGAAGAAAAGGAGAAGGAGGAAGAGAGGCAGAGGAAGCAGCAGGAGCACATCCTCCAGATTGAGAGGGAGAGAGTCGAGCTGGAGAAACTGAGGCAGATGAGGCTGCACGAGGAGCTGGAGCGGGAGCGAGTGGAGTTGCAGAGGCACAGAGAGAAGGAGCAGCTGCTGATGCACAGGGAGATCCAGGAGCTGCAGTCCATAAAGCACCAGGTCCTGCAACAGCAGCAGGAGGAGCGCCAAGTCCAGTTTGTGCTGCAGCGGGAGCAGCTGGCCCAGCAGCGCTTGCAGCTGGAGCAGATCCAGCAATTGCAGCAGCAGCTGCAGCACCAACTGGAGGAGCAGAAGAGGCAGAAGAGCACCTTCCCTCCTGTCTGTGACCCTTCGGGGAGGCTCCCTCCCCAGGCCGCGTCAGAGATCACCATAGAAATGCAGCGGACCCTTGCTCAAAATGGGCAATACTGGCCACCCATGAACCAAGCATTTATAGCTACTGCGGCCCCAGGGCAAGACGGGCAAGGGCAGCCTCGCTACCCTGGACTCCAGAGGCCTCTCACCAACTCAGCCTCTGAAATGTCCCTGCAGACGGAAGACCAGTGGGAAGCCAGTCGGGGGATCAAGAAGAGGAACTCCATGCCGCGCCTCCGGGATGCTTATGACAAGGAGCCAGGCCACGAGCCATATGTTGCAGTGAAGAAGATCACAGACAGCAGTGTGCAGACGGATGAGGAAGATGGGGAGGAGCGCTTCTATGCATCCCGCCGGCGGCGGACCCGGCGCAGCACCGACTGCAGTGTGCAGACCGACGAGGAAGACAATGGCGAGTGGGAGCAGCCCGTGCGGCGCCGGCGCTCCCGCTTTTCGCGGCACTCAGACTCCAACGCAGAAAGCAAGCCAGACTCTTCGGCCAAAGGCACGGCTAGCATAGCAATCCAGACCATCAGTGACTGCTCTGTGCAAACCGAACCTGACCAGCTCCACCGAGTGTCCCCTTCCATCCACATCACCACCCCTGACCCCAAGGTGGAGATCGTGAAATACATTTCTGCCCCCGAGAAGACCCAGCGAGGAGAGAGCCTGGCTTGCCAGACGGAGCCGGAAGCGCAGCCACAGCCAGGCATCGTGATCCCCCAGCTCACTGTGCCTACGACGATTACGCCTTACTCCTCCAACATCCAGATCGTAAGCACAGGCCCCCTGGATCCCCATTCGGTCCGACAGCAGGCCTTGGGGAAGAAGAAGCCCGACCCCCTTGAAATTGGCTACCAATCCCACCTGCCGACAGATTCCTTGTCTCAGCTGGTGTCCCGTCAGCCTCCCAAGTCCCCCCAAGTGCTCTACTCCCCAGTCTCGCCCCTGTCCCCACATCGGCTGCTAGAGTCTTCCTTCACAACCAGCGAGAGGCTCAACAAGGCCCACGTGACCCCGCAGAAGCACTTCACAGCCGACACCACCCAGCGCCAGCAGACCCTACCTCGCCCCATCAAAACCATGCAGCGGTCCTTATCTGACCCCAAGCCCATCAGCCCAACATCAGAGGAGTCTGCAAAAGACAGGTTCTCCTTGTATCAGCACGCGTTGCTTCCTGGTAGCCAGGTAAGATTGCCGCTTCTCTGATAAGTAAGAGAAGTCTGATGATATTTCTGCTTTTCTGTTTAAAGGCCCCCGCTTATCACGCAATCACTGTATGCAGCAGGAATGAAGGAGAGCTGCTTTAAAGTCCCCGTGAAGATAAGACACAACAGGCTTATTGGTCACAGCAGGTCCCTCACTCTCCATGTAAAGCTTGTTTTGCAACTTTCTTCACAGACATGCAAGTCAAATGCATGATGCTCTTAATCATGCTCCTCTCCTTCAAGCAGAGTGCCCACATTTTTAAACCCAAAAAATTGCTAAAATAAGATAAAACCATGAAGACACTGAAAATAATTATAAAATTGCTTTAAGGATTGGTGAGGTAGTGGACATTGACCAGTAAGTACCCACTGCAGCCAGGGGCATAGGAAGGGGGGGGCGGTCCGCCCCGGATCTCATCCCTGACAAGGGTATCAAAATCCCCCCTGGGCAGATCACCACCATGCCGATCACCCCCCTGGGCGGATCGCTGCTGTGCCAATCTGCCCCCCAGGTGGATTGCCGCCAAGCGACTAGCTCTGCTGCTGACTGCAGCCTGCTTTCACTTGACATGCTGAAAATTTCCAGAACCACTTTTTCAGAGTTCATTTCAAGACATTGAAAGGTTTATGCATTTTCTATACAGCAAAGGCACTTCCAAACCACCTTCACTATACTTAAAATGATTCCTCTGTCTTAACCTTTGAGAAATGTATTCCCTCTTACTGGATGTTAATGTGTGGTTTGTATATAAGGCATGAATATATATACAAAGTCCAGGCTATCTGAAAAACTGTATTCCCTCATACGAACCTTCCCAGGTTCTGAGATCTTTAGGTGAGGCCCTTCTCTTGGTCCTGCCACCCTCACAGTTATGTTTGGTGGGGATGCGAGAGAGGGCCTTTGGAAATCCCTCCCTGCAGAAGTTATTATGCCTCCCTCCATGTTGTCCTTCCACTGGCAAGTGAATACCTTCTTATTCCAACAGGCTTTGGGGAACTGTCGGCTTTTATGAAAGGGCAGGTGCTGTTTTTATTATAATTAGCTATATGTTTTTAATAGATCTCTGATAGATGGATGGGTAGATAGATATTTAATTTCATTAATGTTTAATTGGTTTTAATTATTGTATTTTTTTCTATGCTTTTGGCTATTCTTATTTTGTCCGTAAGCCGCCTTGAGTCCCTGTCAGGGAAACAGGCAGGGTATGAATACATTTATTATTATTATACCCCACAGCGTGAAAGAATCCACTGCTACTCCTTATGTTCCCAGTATGATATCAGATACTAGAACATCTTCAGGCAATCTACAGACATCTTAAAGAGGGGACCATCACATCTCACTCATACAACATTGCAGATTGGCATCCTGGTCTTCAGGAGCAAAGTCTAGTTTTGAATTGCACAGCACCCTTACTGAATTTTTGCAAGAAATACATAATGAACTCCATTCCTAACATATTTTGTATATAAAGTCTTGTGCTTTTATTATACTTCTCAGCTTTTCCTACCTACCAACTGCAGCAATTCTTCTCATATAGGATTGCATTATGTCTACCCTCTTACAGCAATCTCTTTTGCTTCGTCTTTAATATATGTTTGATACTCTGTGGTGTGGTTCAGTATCAGCAAGATACTGAACACACCCAAGTCCAAAATAGCAAGTGCTCCCTTTTCTGCATCCTAAAAACCCATGCAAGCGGAGAAGCTGTGTGTTCTCTCTTGTGCCATCTAGTGGCAATAAAGAAAAATAGCCTTTTGTGCTTTGGGAAAAACATGTTGTTAGCTGCTAAGGAACTCCTACGTGGCATCTCAGAGGAACTTTCCCTTCATTAGTACATATGAAAACAAGACATCCATGTGGGAATTGTCATGAGATCTTTCGCTTTAGTACCTGCCAGGACAGCTGCGCAAGGGGAAATCGTATCCCATTCCCTAAAATGTCCATCAACTCACCTTCGTCAGTCATATCCTTTTCTACACAGACATAAGAAATCTATATTTTGGAAAGCTGATAAATTGCAATGGAAAGGTGCTTCCAGACATTGGGGGTGGGGTGTTAATCTAGGAAGCATTCTAATTTTCTGGCTTTAGCAGGCTGTACATCTGTATTCTTGCTCTGTCAAGCTCTTGTGGTAGGCAACACAGGTTTTCCAGATAGTCTTAACATTACAGTTTGCAGCTGTGAGAAACCAGTACAAGTGCTAATAAATGTTTTCTATTGCAAAGTGGTCCCAGTCAATAAACCTGCTGTTATGTTTTGAACTAATTGCAGTTTTTAAACGACCTTCAAGTGCAGTCCCCAGTACAGCACATTGCAGTAGTTTAAAAAAAGACTGTGCCAAAATCAAGAACAACTATCTCTGGCTTATCTTTGTGTCACTGAGACCACTTGGGCCACTATGGATAAGACTAAATCTAATAGCATCCCCAGACTACAGGCCTGATTCTTAAGGGGGAGTGCAACCGCATCCAGAACAGGCAACATAGCATCTCCCATGGCAGACAGACTAGAATACTGTACATACCACACCCCAAATTTATGGGTGACTTCCCTCAGATGTTAACAGCATGGGGACAGAATGAAACCTGGCAGAACACCAGAGACAGAGCTGCAGTCCCCAGCACCACCTTCTGAAATACTATGGAAAAAAGTCCCCCCAATCTTGACTTCAGACAGCCTTTCCAGAAACATACCATGATTGATTATATTGATAGCTGCTGAGAGGCCCAGGAAAATTGACAGGGTTTTGCAGTATCCCAACCCTACACCCTGAGTTCGTTCCTCAGGACAACCAATGCTATTTCAATGACAAAACCAGGTCAGAAAAAGGATTCGGGTGGGTCCAAAGAATTTGTGTCATCCAAGAATGTCTGCAGTTGCACTTAAGCAGCTTTCCCCTAATGGGAATGTTTGTGACCAGCTAACAGAGGGGGGGAAAGTCTTGTGGACACAAAGGAGCCTTCTTAGGGAATGACCATGTAACCATTGTCTTCAAGGTAATCAGGATTGCACACACACCCCTCTTTTCATGGAACATTTATAACTTCCTGGAGCCAACTGGTCAAACACTCTCCTGCTTGATATAGTAAGCAAGATGGTCGTACCAAACAGGTAATTGGCTCTGGTCCTTGTCTCAGCAATTGAAAGTCATTTCATAAAAAAGGAATAGATGGCACTCTGGATGTATTCATTGCAGATCCACAAGAATGCAGAGTGCAGGTTGCCACAGATGCAAGCAATTTTATCCTCAGAGTACTTAGTAGATGAGTGATAACAGACATCCAAGGACTTATCCCATCAACTTATGTCCCAGTACCTCTGTTTTCTCCCTCTCCTGCATGCTTTAGACTCACACAGTGTCATTTTGAAACACCAGCTGTATTTACTTGGCTTTTTGTGTCTGTAAGTTTGAGTGTTGCATATATCTGAGTAGACACTGAAAAGGACAAAGAGATATTAGTTGGGGACTTTTGGCCTGTGAATCTAATTAGGCCTGCCAGACCATTTTGGCCAAGCCATGCCCATCTGCCCAGCACCTGATGTCATATATATCGCATCAGGTGTGGGGCAGATAAAAACACAATGGGGGTTTGCAAGGCACATTGAAGCCCCAGCTGTTAGGTGGTTGTTGGGGCTTCAAATCACCACCTAGGGATCTCTACAAGCATCGACAATCAACTGGTTGTGGGTGCCTGAAGTGCACAGCCAACAATCAGCTGATTGTTGGGAATCCAAAGCACATCTCTTACAAACAGCAGGGATTGGCTGCACTAGGGAAGTCCCCATTGGGAAATCCATAGTGCAGCTGAGGAGGCTAGAGGAAACAGTGTGGATTCAAAATGCTGGCGGAAGCACTAAAAAATGAGGATTTATCCCTCTGCAAAGAAAGTGGTTTGGATTCAGAGTCCTTCATCCAGCTCTTTGAATCCAATTATTTCTTCTGGAGAGAGAGAAATGTTCAGCTTTGAATCTTTCTCTTTCTCTCTCCAGAGGAAACAGCTTGATAAACTTAGGGCTAACATGCTAATTCCTACATGCTTCCCATGTAGGAATTTTGTAGTGTTTGAAGTGCCCTGCAATAGTCATGAAAAGCATTTGACAGTTACACTTCTGGAATGACAACTCTCCAGAATAGGCTTGCATATATGTCAGCCATGAGTTGTATTTGGATTTTTAAGGTGTTTTCTTGCCTGACTTGAAGATACTGCCTCAGTGTGTGAACTGATCATGATGCTCTTGGGCAAATTCTACTGATGAAATGAGTGCTGTTTACATTTTTGATGCAGCATAACGTCTTAATATATTCCTCCCTTGTCAGTCTTTGGGAGGTGTTCCTCAGTGCAACTGGAGGATTGCCTAAAGCAATGATATCAAAGTTTTGCCATTATTTCTCCATGTCTACTCTGCACACCTCTCTGCATATCCAATATTCCATGCTGTAGAATAACCTTTTCTGCAGGAGAATTTCCCCAGCAGGTAGACTTGGACATTTCCATTTGATTAACGTTCCAACAATGAATATTTTAAAAGGCTGGACTTGGATTACAGCCTTGGTGTGTGCACATACACAGTCATTTACAGATGCACTCTCAGTGCATCTCCCTGTACACAGTGCTAATATCTTCAGTTTCTTGATTAACAGGCTGGGGCCCAGGTTGACAAAAAGCCCTCATTCCCTGAACACCCTCTCTCCAACCCACCTAGCAAAAGATGGAGTCCTCCTGGGTGCCAAAAAATAGCTGAAGGCTGTATTCTGTATTACATAACGGTTGCTTTAATTTTGGCATTTTCCTAGAACACTAGCACTAATTGCAGCATCAGTAAGAACACAATAGTTGGTTAGACGAAGGGTCCCTCTAGAAGAGTTTTTGGATTTGATATCCCGCTTTATCACTACCTGAAGGAGTCTCAAAGCGGCTAACATTCTCCTTTCTCTTCCTCCCCCACAACAAACACTCTGTGAGGTGAGTGGGGCTGAGAGACTTCAGAGAAGTGTGACTAGCCCAAGGTCACCCAGCAGCTGCATGTGGAGGAGCGGAGATGCGAACCCAGTTCACCAGATTACGAGTCTACCGCTCTTAACCACTACACCACCCTGGCTCTCTCTGTTAGATGCTTCTAGGAGACCCGCCTACAGCCTCCCCCATTGCTTCCTCCCTCTGCCCCCAGGAACTGGTATTCAGAGGTTCCATTTATTTACCATGACTGATAGCTGTTGATAGCCTTATCCTCCGTAAACCTGTCTAATCCTCTTTTAAAGTCATCACAACATCTTGCGGCAACAAATTCCATAAGCTCATTATATGCTGTTTGAAAAAGTACTTTCTTTTGTCTGTCCTGAATCTTATCACCAATTAATGTAAATAGTGACCCTGAATTCTAGTTGGAAGGTTTTTAGTTGGTTGGTTTTTAGTTATTCTCTCTAGACTATTCAAAATGTTTTTCTCCAGTACAACTTCTACAATATCCCTTTTGTTCACCTGTAAAAGCCTCAACTGCTTTAACCTTTCATGGTAGGGAAGGTGCTATACACTCATCATTGTGTGCCCTCTTTCAGCATTTGCTCCAGCTCTACAATATTCTTTACATATTCAAATACGGTTGTATTACAGCTTTGTACCAAACCATTACAATACTGACCACATTATTATTTAGAATCTTGTAAACAACCCTTTATATGAAATTTGTTTTTATCACTGATGCCTCACAATGAAGTGATGTTTTCCACCCGGCATATAGGTGGGTGGAATTTTTTCTCTCAGTGTTTATCACTTTTCCATTTTCAGTTAACGTAACTTGCCATTTTGTTTTGCCTATTCACTCAGTTTGCGGACATCCTTCAGGACAGGAGTAGGGACTCTGTCAAGAGTTCAACCGTGAGGGAGAGGTCAGCTTGGCCAGCACACTCCCCGCAGGAAATGCACTAGGGAAGCACCACCCAGCAGGACTGAACTCTCTGCTCATCAGCTGATGAGAGGGGTGTTAAATCCTGCTGTTTTGACTGTATACCAGTTCCCTGTGGGGACCTGGTGGGCACAGCCAATGCAGAATTCAACCTCGCCCATCAGCTGATTGGCAGGTGGAAGTGCTTTGGGGGAAACTGGAGGTCAAATTGGACCCCCTAGTAGGCCAAGATTGGCCTGTGGGCTATAGGATCCCTTTCCCTGCTTAAGGAGCTCTTCTCATTCTACCTCAAGCCCCATTCTGATTGATATCATCCAAAAACTTGGCCACCTTACGACTTACTCCTTGACCTGATGTAAATAAGTTAAATTGCATTGGTTTCTATACATATCCTTGAGGGACTCCACTGCTTACTTCTGTCTATTGTGAATACTGTCAATTTGTTTATTCCTGTCTTATGATGCCTCTTCTTTAACCAATTATCATGAGAGGACCCTGAACAAAGGTTAGACTAATAGATTTGTAATTTCCTGATTTTCTGCCAGCTTTAAAAAGTTGATACAGGATTATTTTAAGGAAATTGAGTTTTAATGACAAAGGTCATATTTTAATTGGATGATCAACGATTTCATATTGGGTGTGTGGCATCTGGTGACTTTTTTGTGGTCAATTAGCCATAGACCTTCATCTCTTGCCATCTCTAATGAATACTAGTTCCTGTATCTTCCACAGTGAATTCATCCAGCTTCTCAGTAATCTTCCTATTCTCATTCAGCAATTCTTTCACACCACTTTTGTCTTAACAGTCTGACAGCTCCCCAGGCTAGTTTCCTCATTCTAAAGGATCAAAATAAAGCTGTATAGTTTTGAACAATATCTCCCTCAAATTTTATTCACTTGGTTTATTGTCATTTTACATTTGTTTTACCAGAGTTTAAGCTCTTTTTGTTTTCCCAATTTGGACAAGGCATCCATTTTCTAAAAGAAAGCTTCTTCCTTTTACTGTTTCCTTGAAGTCTGCTCATTAACTAGGTGGGCATCTTCCTGGCTTTGTTTATTCCTTTCTAATCTGCTGTATAGATTTTATCTGAGCTTCTAGTACAGTATGTTTCATTAGCTTCCAAGTGTTCTGAAGACATCTGACTCTCCCTTTCAAGTTCCTTTTAACTAATCCCCTCATTTATTAGGTTTCTTCCGTCAATAACATTATGATTGGCATTCTGGTATTCTGACACTATTCTCATCTTGCTTTTGCCTTCAGGCTTTACACTTGGGACTTCAAGTACTGCAGGATAGTTATTTATTGTTTGATGAACAGCTTGTGTTTGTTAGCTGACAGAATAAAAGATTAGTACCTCTCTGTGTATCAGCTACTAGCTGAGGATGCATAGTGGTAGTGATGTGTAAAATGTTCATGATCTTCAATATTTTCATGCAAAAACCGTCATTTCAAAGGGTCCACAACTTCCCCTTTATTTCCATTTCAAGATTATTTTCATGCTTCTTCCACAGCTCTCCCCCACCACCTCCACTTCAGCTCAGCACTACATGATGTACTTTAATAGGTTAGACACACATGAGAGATGACACATTTTACAAATGATGCAGACTCAAACTCTTGGCAGATTCATTTGACTCCTCCACGCTGTCATTTATCCTGGGTCACTACTGAAATTCTGTTGATTTCACCAGCACTAGACCTACCTCTACAGTATAAACACTTCTGATTGACATATGCACTGAGAATGTGTGGAACTCACCTAGGTATAGTCTGCTACTGTTTAGGGCACTACAAATTGTATGCAGTAAAAAAGGGAGAAATTTCCTCATTCTTCAGCGTGTGGCTTCAAAGCTGCAGCCTGCTTTATGTGCTGTTCAGTTCTTCTTGGAGCTGCTACTGCAGGATCTGCCGCAGTTGTCTCTCCTTCTCTATTGACATCCTGCAGCTGAGGAGTGAGAGAAATCCCTGAAAATCAGCTGCTTTGACAGGCCAAGATAGCAATGACACTTAGGTCCAAGAGTGTTCCTTGTCAGCTCTAGAATCTGGAAGAACCAGCTGATACCCACTGATACTTGCTGCCCAAATTTCAGCGGCAGAAATCTCCCTTCTGCAATTGCTGCTGGAGCTGTTGCATGGCTTTTAAAAGACAATTACCTAAGATGATGTAGGAATCCAAATGCTGCTTGTCGTGAGCCCTGTTGCTGCAAAATGGACTGTTGAGACATGTCCTCCCGATGCAGGAGTGCAAGGGAGAAGGCTAAATATGGCTGCATTATAAGTGCACTGTAAGTATCACAAGCTACCAATGCATTGAATAGGTGTGAGGCAGAGAGCAGTGGAACTATGTAAGCCTCTCTTCCTTTCTCACACTTTTTCCTTTCCTTCTCATTCTCTGTATCCCTTGTTTCCTCTCTGCTCCCTTTCTCTAAAAGTGCAATACTTCTAGATGGTTCAGGATATAAAGGAATCACAGGTTAATACCTGCCTTGAAAATCTCAAAACATAGCAAGGCCACATTAGCCTGATATATACTGAAACTTTATGAAGATCGAGTTATGTCTGGTGCCTGTACAAAGATTTTTGGGAGATCAACAGGTTGGTGATATCCCAGAAAAATGAAAGTGAGGATCTATCTACTCTTTTGTTGTTTAAAGTTAAGCCTGCTACATCAAAAGGCTTGCATCACATATCTTATCATTTATCTTTCTGTTTTCCCCCTGCAATGAAGGGTGACTGCTGAAAGCAATAGAGAAGCAAGAAAGTGTGCTTTTGCGAAACTGCACCATTCCTCCAGGGCACAAGTCACCAACCTTTTTGGACTAGTGGGCACATTATGAAATTTCAGAGAGTTCCAGGTCTCAAAATGACTGCCATGAAGGCAGGGGTGGCATAACACAAAATTAGATGCCCACCACTGACAACCTTATTCTTGCCATGGAAAGTCAGCTATGTTCTGCTGGTCCTGATTATGGAGATCCAACACTGATAGATGCTGTTGCTCTCTAATAACAACAGGGAGCATTCCCCAGGAAAAAGCAAAAATATACTAGGTAGCCACTCTCATTTTACAGAAATCACTTAGAAGGGACCTGCAAATGTTACCCCATAACTTTCTTTCTAAGAAGGCTAGAGACACTTGCCCAGGGACACCACTGGTGACCTAGGGCTAGCAGGCCCTGTGTGGGAAAGCAGCTCTCATGAGAAACAAAAACTGGCTGCTATGAAAATACTCATGAAATGATCTCTGACTGCCCAAAAGCTAATTGTTAATATTTCTGCTCATCAGAATGTCTTCATGTCAGACAGATGACATTTTGCCTGCAAGGCATCCTTGCCCTCTCTGCTTGGCCCAATGGAAACCTGCAGGCTGCATGGCCCTTAGAGACCAATCAGAGATACTGATGGAATAGCTGTTATCCCCTCCTCCAAGATCTACATGATAGCTGTCTCTTTCTAGGGCCCTACTGATCCTGTATAGTCATTTCAAAATATGTTACTTGCATGACCTCAGATACTCTAACACTGCAAAACGTTGTTCTCTAGCATTGTTAGGGTCTCATATTTCCACTGGTTATGTAAGATCTGCCAAGGTGGCAAGACCTTTGGGGAGATTTCCTTCCACCTGGATTTTACATACTGTTTGGCTTGGGCTTCCACAAAAGCAAGACCAAAAAATAATAATAATCACAGGATCATCTGAACTTCAAAGACAGTGGATTTACACCTTCAGACTAAATAAGAGTGCCTTTCCCAGACAGACAAATTTTGCATTATTAGAAACTTGCTTTGCCTGCAAAAGCAGAAATCTTCCCAAGATAATCTAAGCAGAGATTTTTATTTTAACTTTTTTATTATTATTTTTTAAATCTGTGAACCAGACTGAGTTGATTTTTGTTCTGGCTCATTAGAGAAAAATATTCAAGCTGATTCCTGCTTCTTTCAGAACTCATTTCCTCAATGTCAGTAGCTGTGGTGATTCATATAGTATAATGTTGCCATTAACATCATTATTCAACTTAGCCTTTCCAATATTAAGAAGCAGTCCCCCACACACCTGCCCCAAATCATGAGAATTTGTATACAGTATATTTTAGTTGTACATTTTAGTTTTGAAGATAACCACCCAAAGGCTTCCTGAATTGAACATTCTCAGTGGGTGTTTTTTGGGGGGAGGGGGTAAAAGAATGAGGCACCTCTACTCATATAATGATAAAAGTGTTGTGGGTGCCAGCACAAAATGGCTGCCATGTGCTGCAAATGAATAAAATAAAAACAAGTGCTGGTACTCTATATCCAGTGAGTACTTTAGCAGAAAGAGCCATGGACATGCTAATCTAGGGCGTTGCAAAATTTCAAAACCTCCATAGAAATACAATTTCGTTAACCTAATTTAATTTAATATAATGGAGAGGGTGAAGCATCATTAAGCAGAATCATTACCATATTGGCCCGAATATAAGCTGCACCCAAACAGTGGTGTCGCAAGCTGGGGGCAGGGGGGGCGGTGCGCCCTGTGTCCCATGTCTGGGGGGGTGACAAGACACCCCCAGGTGTCTTGGCACCCTGTGGGGTGCTTGCCCTGCTGCCCCGGCCCGGGCCTGTCAGCACGAGCAGCCATCGCGCCGCCACAGGCAAATGTGGAGGATCCTCTGCTCATGGCTGCAGCTGCGGGCAGAGGATCCCACCACCGTCCATACAGCTCTCTGGTGGCAGCGGCGGCAAACCGCTTCATACAACGCATGCACTGTGTCACATGCATGCGCTGTGCATACTGACGCCACACATGCGCTGTACATAGCGGTTTGTCACTGGCGCCGCTGGAGCGCCGTACGGACACGGTGAGATCCCTCCGCCGCCAGTAGGAGTCGCTCACAGCAAGCTGGGGGGCTCCCTCCCAGCCTCCCTCGCTCCCCGGCTCGCCATAAGTGGCTACTGCTTTGCTGCTTTACAGCGAGCCGGGGAGAGAGGGAGGGGGACGGATGGGAGCCGTGGCTCCTGAGAGGACAAGCTGCGCAGCTTTGCCAGCACCCTGGCAAAGCAGCATAGCTCCCCCCCTTCCCCCGATGGCTTGGGGTACCTGGGAGTCGCGGGGGTGGGGACGCAGAAGCATAGGGAGCGGGGGCAGACCACCCCAGGTTTCATCACTGAGGGGATGACATTTGGTGCCTGCCCGCGACTCCCAAGCCTACCACAGCTGTCAATGTGGGGGGGGGTGACAAAAAAAATTCCATACTGGGTACCACCTGGGCTTGCTACGCCTTTGTACCCGAATATAAGTCACTCCCTTAAAATTCCACAGGTACTCACACCCATTCCATTTTACCATATGTCTGTTTCAGCAACGATATCGTAAAAGCCAGCTTTTGTAAGGTTGTGAATTTAAGCCACACTTTAACTTTTCATGGTTGGAATTTAAAAGAAAATAAAACTGTGGCTTGTATTTGGGCCAATATGGTACATAGAATCATTGAGGATTCTGTGTCAGAGACGGGCAGGAGCATGACGGCTGGGGGAATGTGTGGGAAGAGGAGACAGGTGGTGGCATAGTTGTCAACTTTCCCCTTTATTTAAGAGAAATTCCCTTATTCCAAATAGGATTCCTCGCAAGAAAAGGGAAAAGTTGACAGCTATGGGTGGTGGTGGGGAGGACCCCTCAGAAGGGGCCAGTGATTTGTGAGGTTCTGAGGAGATTGAGGGGAGTCAGGAGGAAGAAACTGGGGAGTCAGAAACAGGGAAAGGAGGAAGGAAAAGCTGGAAGAGGTCTCGGAAGCTGACCTTTGAGATCCCTTCTCTCCCCACCTCCGCTGTATCTCTGCTCAAGGAGAGGCTTGAAGTGAGGGGAGCAACTGGTGCTTCCGCACACCACATCAGACAAGGGGTGGGAGCTAAGAAAACAGGAAGGGGCACCATTCTGCAGAGGTAGATTTCCTAGGCAGCTAGTTAGTAGGAAGGGGCGTGTATATCTCTTGCACCTTAGCAGCTGATGTAACCAAGTGCTTTGCGAATAAAGGACTATAATTCCTGTCGCTTGTCCTCATTGGTCTGGCTGCATGTGGCATCCTTGTGACTCAAGTGCTTCTGAGTCCTGGTGAGTTTTAACAACCATTAATGTGCAAGGTTACACTTTGTCTCCATCACAAGATTAGAGCCAGTGTGATGCTGGTCCAGGGGGGAGGTTACCGTGGGGCGAGGTCCAGGACCTGAGTTGAGGGTCGCCAGACAGTCCTCCTCGGGCAAAGCAGGGTCCACAGCGAGGAGCCGGGCAAGGACAGGAACTCTGGGGGAACAGGACTGGATGCTGGCCGAAACAGCTCATCAACGACGTTGCTCCCGCAACCTGGGACCGGGCTGACTGGCCTTTATCTTCTCTGAGGCCAGGGGCGGTCCCGGCCCCCAGGAGACCCGCCTCTCCTGGCCTTAAGGCGAGCACTCCTCCTGGGAGAAACCAGTTCCCTTCGCCTCTCTGCCCTGAGCCTCTGCAGTTCAGGAGAGGCTGAAGGGTTACTGGACCCAGGGGGAGACTCACCTGTAGGCACTGAGTCCTCAACCACCTCTGGAGCCAGAGTGGATTCACCTGGTGCCTGCTCCTGAGGATCCGGCACAGGTGCAGGCGCTTCAGAATCAAGGCCCTGCCCCAGTTCAGCCAGCCCTGGAGGCGGGGACTCCCGTGCAGGCTGGGACTCCTCCGGTTCAGCCTCTGAATCGGATTCCTAGGCCATCACATGTAGTATTTAAAAGTGTGGGACTAGGACCTGGGAGACCAGCGTTCAGTTATCCACTCGGCAAAGCTCACTTGGGCCAGTCACTCTCAGCCTCACCTACCTCAAAGAGGGATGGGGGGGTTAAATGAAGGGGGGAATAATCTATGCCACTTAGAGCTTGAAAAGGGTGCGGTAAAATATGAGATATATGTAATGGGCCTGTCTTAGAAGATAGGAACCCCAGAAGTGTGGGCCACTGTTGAGTAATACACCCACCTGGTAACTAAAAATGGAAATGTGTTCTTTCACACACATGGTTACCTGCTATCTAAATTAAGCTTTCCATTACCTTCTAGATTTCAACCCTGCAGTCAAACACCCTCATTCGGAAAGTGAAACGGACACTGCCTAGCCCCCCACCAGAAGAAGCTCATCTCCCTCTGGCCAGCCAAGCTCACTCACAGATGTACATGCCGGGCCTCATGCAGAAGGGAGTGGCAGGGCCAGCCATTCAGGTGACGAAGGCCAGCCTCCTCAAAGACATTGACCGCGACTTGAAGCTAGTGGAGCACGAGTCCACAAAGCTGCGGAAGAAACAGGCTGAGCTTGATGAAGAAGAAAAGGAGATTGATGCCAAACTGAAGTACTTGGAACTGGGGATTACGCAGAGAAAAGAGTCTTTGCTGAAGGACCGGAACGTCCGTGACTATCCCTACCTGAGATGCTTGGGGGAAAACAGGGATTATATGTCTGACAGCGAGCTCAACAACCTAAGACTCTCTGGCTATGAGAGTCTGACAAGGCCTAGTACTGCCCCTTCCAATCAGTACCCTGACTTTTCCAGTGCACAGTACACATCAGCCTCCTCTTACACCCCATATCAGTACTCCTCAGGACAAGCTGCCCCACCAGCCCCAGCCGCATTCCAGCAAGCAAGGTTTCAGCCTCCACACTACCCCTCAGCAAGCAATGTCCCTGCGCAGAATGGATTCCAAGCAAGCCAGATGCCGGCCTACCCTTCCCAAACGACATACCAGAGTCACAGCTTTACTCCAAGCACCGGGTATCAGTCTGAACAGGTTCTGCAAAGTCACCAAGGCTTCCGGCCACCTTACCAAGCACAGACCACGTATCCCAGTCAGACACCTCTGCAGCCAGCACAGAGCGCTCTTTTCCAGACCCACGCGGACACACACACCACCTCCCAGAAACCGCGGCAGACATCGCTAGCTGACCTCGAGCAGAAGATGCCCACTAATTATGAAGTAATAGGCAACCCCACTGTGGTCATCTCAGCCGCAACTCCAGAAGTGACATACAGCACCACAACTGTGACCAGCAGCTACGACCAGTACAAGCCGCCAGAAGGAAGGCTGGTGGATAGGAGCGGTGTAGCTCAAAGTCCCTCGACCAGCTATTCCTCTGACTCCCTCTACACCAACCTGGAGCAGAACATTCCTCGGAACTATGTAATGATTGATGACATCAGTGAACTAACCAAAGAGAGCACCTCAGCAGAGGGCCAAAAAGGAGATTCGCAGTTGCAGAGCAGTAATGGGCGATATATGAAAGAAAAGAGTGACTTCACAGACACAGATGTCTCCAGCAGGCCTTGTTGCTACCCAAAGGGAGAAGAGTCAGAGGAGGACATGTATGATCACCACGGCCCTGACCATCGTGGGAGAGGCTACCATAGGGGCCCAGAGAGCAATGGGAGGATGTCGGGTAGCTCTGGCTCCTACTACTATGGGGACAGTGATTACAGGCACTCCACTCGCCCAGACAAGCCCGGGTCCACCATGGGAGTGCAGAAGCACTCTTCCAAAAACTTGGCCCCAGCTGTCATCTCTTCCAAACGCAGCAAGCATCGGAAACAAGGTATGGAACAGAAGATCTCAAAATTCTCCCCTATAGAAGAAGCGAGAGATGTGGAATCAGACCTGGCCTCTTACCCAGCAACCACGTCAGTCAGCAGCAGCAGTGTGGCATCCAGAGCAAAGAAGATGCAAGACGACATCACATACGGCCTCAAAAAGAATGTATATGAACAGCAGAAGTACTATGGTGGGTCTGCCAGGGATACGATGGAAGAAGATGACAGGGCATACAGTGGCGGGCGATCCAGATCGTCCAGCTATGTGTCGGAGAGAATGTCGAGCCGCGAGATCAGGAGCAGGTCCTACGAGAGAGAGAGCATGGAGAGGCCTCAGAGAGGCAGTTCCAAACCTTCTTCCCTTAGCATGAGTCAAAGTCGCGGGCGACCTCCAATTCGCACACAAACCTCAGAAGAAGAGAGCCCCATCAGTCCTTTGGGGAAGTCCATGGGCGTATCGCGGTCCTCGGGTGGGCCTCTCCCTCAGTCTGCTGGGGACAGCTGCTCTCAGTTCTGCTCCAGTCACTCATTGCCTGATGTACAAGAACATATCAAAGATGTGCCAAGAACCCACTCTTACAAGCATGAAGAAGGTTACATCATGGATGATTCACACTGTGTTGTTTCAGACAGTGAAGGTAATGGCTACCTGTGGTAACTTAACCCCAGAGCATGCCCAAGCGGGTCATATTTGCAAGGACAATACCACAGCCTCCGTTTCCTTGCCAGGTGCCTTTCTCCCGCATTTTGCTTTCTGTTTTGGTGGTTCTGTGTTAGCATGCTGCACTCTGCATGTCCTACTGGTGCTCTGCTCACTGCTTGTTCAGTGTGATACTGTGCTATGATTCCTATTTATTTATAGATATCTATTTCCCAAGCGGCTACTGTGGCATATCCTGTGTGCATGCGATCGGTTCCTTGCTTTCTTTTAATCCATTGCATGGCTTCATCCTGGGGTACATTCCCAACTGTGGATGAGGGGATTGACTGTGATTTGTTTTTGGTTTCTGAAGCCTATCACTTGGGTCAGGAGGAGACAGACTGGTTTGATAAGCCGAGGGAACCTCGTTCGGAGAGGATGAGGCATTATGGTGGCCACTCCTCATCCTCCCAAAGGAGGGGTCCAGTTAAGCACACCTATCATGACTATGACGAGCCCCCGGATGAAGACATGTGGCATCACGATGACTACTCTCACCCGCGACACTCCTCTTCCAAAGAACACAGGCACCATGGAGACTACGGGAGGCATTCGTCCTCCTCCCGGCACTCCACCGATGACCTGCCAAAGAGGTCATCCAGGCAACATCCAAGAGATGCTGGCCGCCACGAGTCACGCGGACATGGGCCTCCCTCTTCCCAGAAGAAGGCTCAGCAGGCCGATATAAGAGCGCAGCCAGGTTATCCTTCCAGCTCCTCAGAGTACTCCCAGCAGTCTCGGCAGCCGTCGGGCTACCATCATACCTCAGAGTCCCAAAAATCGCAGAGGCAGGTGCAACATGGGCCGCCATCTCAGCAGCCAAAATCGGAGCCTCTTTCGCACCAACAGCAGCAGCAAGTGAGGCAGCAGCAAGTTGGGCAGCAGCAGCAGCAGCCGTCATCCAGGCAGCAGCAGCCGTCGAGCAGACAGCAGCAGCAGCAGCAGCAGCAAGCAGCTCCCTCGCAACAACCTTCTCAGCAACAGCAACAGCAAGCTAGGGTGCAGCAGCAGCAGCAGCAGCCGCCACCGCCAGCAGGAACCCAAGCCCAGCCCTCCTCACGGCCAGCCCAACAACAGCCTGGCCAAGCCCAGCCAGCAGGCAAACCCCAATCTGCCCTCCAAGCACAACCTGGCACTCACCCAGCGGGACCAGTAAGTACCTACGTGCCTTTGCTCGGGGTCAGTTATACAGTAGGTCCTTCAGAGCTGACCACAACTTGTTTTGCCCCACGTCGGGTGAGAGGGCTGGGCTAAGTGATGGCCTGTTCTGTAGTACAGGAGTCGCGCTGGGATTGCCTCACCTTAGAATGTCAAAGCAAGGAAATGTGCATTTGTGGACTGACTAGGTCGCTGTGGAGAATGGAGTCTTCCCAGCAGAGTAGTGGTTCATGGAACTAACAATAGGCTGCAGTAAGTTACAGAGGGGGCAGTTCGGACACAGACAAAGAAGAGGGGAGGGGAGAGGAAAGGAAAGGAAAGGAAAGGAAAGGAAAGGAAAGGAATGCACTTAAGGGAATGGCCTTTGTATAGGAGCTTTATATGTAGCTTTCTTGATGGAGATCACAGGCAGTACCTCAGGAATCCTAGCGGGTGGGGAGTATCTGGTGGAGAATAGGGTGGGTGGATAAGGATTGCTGTGAGACAGCCAGGATGACCTGGCAATTAAACTCTAGGAAGAAGGCTAAGAGAAAGACCCCAGGAGATGGGCTTCATTTTACCATTATTCATTCTCATTTGCGTTAAATAAATACATAAATCACTGTTTGCTATATTACAGTCTAAAGCAGAACAGATGGATGCATCCAAACCTACCACAAAAGTGCCACAGGTGGGGAAAGCACCCCAAACACAGCCACTGGGAGCAGCAACAGGAGGTCAGTAGCTCCTTTCCAGCACCTGCAATTGTATGTGTTTTCCTTAAAAAGGGAGGCAGCACTAGTAGTTCAGTAGGCTCAGATCTCTCTGAGGAACGATTAGATTGAAGTCAAAGGGAGTTCCAAGACCATCTACTGTGGATGGGGGGGATGCCCTACCTGAGATTAAGAAGGCAAATGCTTTAGGTCATTTAGCCATGGTTGGCCCCAGAGTGTAGGCCAGTCAGCGTAGAATTAATTCACTTGAAACTAGTATTCTGTATGTCATAGAAAAGATAAACATAAGTAGAATGCCCAAAAGCAGCCTCCAGCTTCATTCCACATAGGGTACAATAGGTTCGCTTTGCATAGCTGTCAAAAATAAAAGGCTTCCCACTCCTGTCTCATTAACCAATTGGGGAAATGACTGTAAGTTAAGTTCTCTCATCATTCAGCTCCAATTTAAAATACCTTTTTCACCAAGAAGTTTTAGTCGTTTCTTGTGCCTGTCATACTGATATCTCACCAACACATTGTGCATCTTGGTTAACACACTTAGAAATAGTGTGGCCATCATTTTCTGGTGAAGGCGGTTAGACAGAGATTGGTTATGGCCTATGAATGTGGGGCGGGGGGTATATGCAAATTGCCAGTTGGACCTACCCTTGGTGATATGGGAGGATATATATTTAAATAAATGCATATATGCAGCTAAATAAATCCATACAAATCAATTTCTTTCTCTCCAACAGGCATTAAGATAGGTTCCAAACCAGCAGGTGCTCCCACTTCTGCAGGGGCAGCGACTGGACTGCCAGGAGCTGAGGGAGAGAGCGTCTTCTCCAAAATCCTGCCAGGAGGGGCAGCAGAACAAGCAGGCAAATTGACAGAAGGTGAGAGGTTTCAGAGGCATCTTTCTTGGGTGCCCCATGTCAAAGCATGTGGGATTTGCTCCTGGAGACAGCTCACCTGTCTTCATGCTTGCACATGTGGATTTGTTCAACACTTCTTTCAGGACAAATGGCAGAACTGCAGGGCAACTGCTAATTTAGACCACTGGTCCGTCTAGCTCAGTGTTATCTACACTGACTGGTAGTGGCTCTCTAGGATTTCAGGCAGGAGTCTCCCTCAGGCCTCTCCGGAGCAGGCAGAAATCTGAACCTGGGACCTTCTGCACTCACAGCAGATGCTCCGCTGCTGAGCCACAGCCCTTGTTTTAATTTACACCTATGTGAGAATACAAGAAATAAGAAGCCAGCAAGAAAAGTAAAAGCTGTGAAGACGAAATCAAAACAAAGAAAATGGGGATTGGGTGGTAGAACACTGAAGGAAAAAGCCACATTATCATAGCAGACCATCAACACGGCAGGCCATAAGTGCTCACTTGATGATGAGGATCACTAAGGGCTAAAGCAGAATTGCCTTATCCCAGTGGCCAGCAGCAGCTTTCGATCAGCTCAGGCCAACCCTTCTGTTGGGAGATCCTTTTTTACTTGAAATGCCAGGAAGTGAATTTCCTTCTATATGCAAAGCATGTAGCCATAGTCCCTTCCTGTGTCACAAACAGAGATGTGGGGACAGAGGGTGATAACAGGGCTGGCAATGTGAAGGCTGATAATATGGAGGAGGGGCTCTTGTGAAATAGAAGAAGGGCCCTAAAAACTGAAGATCCAGTGGGAAAGAGGTGAGTGGGGAAAAGATGCAGCCAGTCTTCGGTACCACATATGCTGATGGCATTTATTTCTCTTATCTTTACTCCCATAGCTGTGTCAGCTTTTGGCAAGAAATTCACATCATTTTGGTGAGAGAACATCGCTGGGTGAGTCGCTTTTTGTTGTGGTAATAATAATTTATTTCTTGTACCCCACACATCTGACTGGGCAGTTCCAGCCAGTCTGGGTGGCTTCCAACAAAGTATATATACACAACCCCCAATGACATTACAGCTGCCAAGCAAAACCCCTGATACATTTCATCTTCTCTGGCCATTGCCATTGAAAGAGGTCCTGGCGTAATTTCCTGTTTCATAGCTTGGTTCAACTTCTGTTCCTCAGCAGGCGCCTTTCATTGCTGCAGCACCCTAACATCAGAGCTAACCTAGTGTTCTGTTAATCCAAGCGCCCCCTTCAGTTACTCTGACATTTTTCTTTTTTTTCTGCACATGTATATTTTTCTTTCCTAATAGCCATATCTTTTTCTTATGTGTGTCTCTCTATCACCCCGGCAGCAGTTTGGGAGAATAAATGGAGATCTCATCATTGCACTGGAAAAACCTATGAAGAATCCATTGGAATTCAGTCTGCCGCACCAGACTCTGGGTATAACAGTGAGTGTCACCTCATTGCCTCCATTCCTACATTCTTCTGAGGATGTGGATGAGATCAGATACTTGGCTTTCATCAAGGCTCAGTGATGGCCCCCAAGATACAAAGCCCAGAGGAGATATTTCTTTTACCTAGTCATATGAGATCCTGCTTAGCTTATGGCAATTTGCCTGATAGTTTAGGTAAGCCGTGCCACTTCCAGTCAAGAGTATATCCTGTTGCTGCTAAATGTTTGTTTAATGTCCACAGCATGCTACACACTGTACAGACTTAGAGAAAAGAGACAGTCCCCATTCAGACTTCTTACAGTCTGTATTAGGTGGATATAGCTAGTGGGGGCAGCGGAAGGCAGGGACTGACACGGAGGAGGAAATGAAGGTGCAAGTCGGTGTGGCTAGGATGGTTTCAAAGAATCATAGAGTTGGAGGGGATCCTGAGGATCATCTAGTCTAACACCCTGCAATGCAGGAATATGCAGCTGGCCCTTACCAGCATTGGCGTTATCAGCACCACACTCTTAACCAGGCTTCCTCAACCTTGGCCCTCCAGATGTTTTTGGCCTACAACTCCCATGATCCCTAGCTAGCAGGACCAGTGGTCAGGGATGATGGGAATTGTAGTCTCAAAACATATGGAGGTCCGAGGTTGAGGAAGCCTGCTCTTAACCATCTGAGTTTGGGAAAGGCCTTGTTAAAGGAATCTCCTTCCTTAGAGGTTTTTAAGCAGAGGTTGGATGGCCATCGGTCATGATGCTTTAGCTGACATTCCTGCATTGGACTAGATGACGCTCGGGGCCCCTTCCAACTCTACACTACGATTCTAAAGAAGAAGGGCTTAAAGGAGGCTGAGGCACTAAATACTCTTATATACAGCAGGAAGATGTTCTAGACACAGAGGACAGCATGTCTGGGGACAGCCATGGCAGGGAAAAAGAGATGATAAAGCATGATGGAGCAAAACAGCAGGTCGCCTGCTACAGCAGAGTTGCAACGCTAAGTTCCTTGCAGCAGTGCCTCTGCTGCTTAACCAGGAGCGAGAGGGACTAGGCAAGAGGGAGGCCAGGATGGTGTGGGCTCAACAGTGGGGCTATTCCTTTGCTCCTGCCACGGTAACCATGCCACACCAGCCTCCCTGCCATCTCCTCCTTCCCCTTCTTCCTCCTCATATTAAGCAGCAGTGAAACACCTGCCAGGATGTCGCAGCTGCACCCCACTGGGTGAACTCTGATACTGTGATAGAGGAAGCAAGAAAATTAAGGTGTGGGATAGCACGTAGCTGGCACAATGTCATATAACCTCCCTGCAAACAAATCAGTATGGATGCTCCATAAATAACTGGTGTTGTCCCCGCAAACGCTGTGCAAACAAATCAGGATGAATGGCCAATAAATAGATTGTTTGGAACCAACTGTAGAAATGTGTCCCATTTGTTTGGTGCTTAACTCTGTTGTCTGTAATGGTAAGGCATCAAAATGGCTTTGCTGTGGCATAAAATTTATTCTATCAGCCACAGCCTTAAAGACTTAAGCCCCCAGACCAGCAATCCAGATGTAAAATGGATAACGGGGGGCATAAGAAGAAGGCATGAGTGAGGATATTTGCTCTTTGCTGCTTATTTTGACTAAGAAATACCGCTTCGCTCAGCACAATATTGCAGTGACTGTTTTGGGGAAAGCAGCTGTTATTAGCAGTCCTCTCACTGCAGGCAGCAGACAACAATCCTTTCTTTTTGCTCTATCAATAGAACACAGCAGCTCATCTGGAAGCGGGAGGGGAAAGAACCTGTTTTGTGCATTGCTGTGCTAAGTTCCAGGAAAGCCAGTGTGCCATATGCAGAACACTCTTACCTTGGGAAGAGTTGAAATGAGGGGAAGAGGCAGAGAGACCCGTGGCAGCTCCAGAATGTGGGTAGCAGCACAAGCCTGCATAGGCCCCAGGGCCACAGCCCTGAGCCACAAGCAGAGAGAGAATATTTTTGTCTGGCTGATTCCATCCCCTGGGTGTGCTCAGAGCTTTGCCACTTACAGCACTATCTCCTTTCATGGCCCTGTCTGTGTTTTTGTCCATTTTAGAGAGCTCACTGAAAGGACTGCATGCTTTTTGATTTGAGGGGGAAATTGAACTTATCCCAGCTGAGGTAAGTGGGTAGCTTCTTACACTTGCTGCCTCAGTCTGTACATTACAGTGTGAGCCAGGTCTGCCCCCGGGTTTGAGTGGAGAGGTGAAAGCAAACAACAAATCTCTTTGGGGAAAGTGCTGGCTCTTTCAATCCTCAGTTTTAGACAACCCCAGTATGAAACAGTTGCATCTCAGTAAGCGTGGGCAGCTGATGTCATTATGTAAACTGTTCAGGCTCTTTGATTGGTGGTCTTTTCTGGCTAGTTCTTTGGGTTGCTTTTGTGCTTTGGTTTTGAGAAATGAGAGAGGCACACTGCAGCCATAAACAGTACAGTACAGCAGAACTTTCTCAGGTGGTGCTGTGAGTGAATATCCAGAGAGGATCAGGAAAATTTGTGCCAAACCATGGCATGGCAAGAAATTGTGTTTCTGTGAATGACCTCTTGTAAATATAATATTTCTGATTCTCTCTTTTGTCTCATCAAGCTTTTGAAACCATGGAAAACCACTAGGCTGCGAGATGGAAGGCGGAAGAGATCTTTATGGAGACATTTGCCAGTGGATCCCATAAGAAGCTCCTTGAGGACATCTGAGCCAACTGTCGCAAAAGGCTTTCAGAAGCCGCCTGCTGTCAACTCCACGGTGTTCGTTGCATGAGCCCCAAGGGGTGAAGGCAGACGCTTAGTCTGAGAAGATGTACATAAAAGACGTTTACAGAACATGGCCCGGTCCCAGCTTGTCACACAGACTGGCCACTTCCCTGATCCTGGAGGGGATGTCTGGGGCTCCAGAGACTACTCACTGCGGTGGTTCCATTTGTGCCTAAGGTCTAATGTTGGGAGCCATGGCCCTTTCTTGAGATTATACGCAGAGTTTTCTCTCTTACTGAATTTTAACTCTAGAATCTTCATAGGTTTTTCCCACTCTCCAAGATGTGCTTGAGTTGAGGGCTGGGAGCTGGAGGCTCTGCTCTTCACATTCCAGTTTGCCCTGTCGGTCGCTCCGCCTGCACAGTGTTTGTTCCCTCTCATCCTCCCTGCAATGGAAAGCATGGGATGAAGAGAACTTCGACTAGGACCTAACACTGTTTCACCACTGAGATAAGAGGCCATAGGACTCTGAAAGGCAGTGCAAACTGGCTGACTATTGACTGAAGCAAATGCTGGCCAGGCATGTCTATCAGCCACCCCAAAGCCATCCTGAAGCCATTCTAAAGCATTCAAATGGCAGTGCTTTCCGTTGTTAGTGTTGTGCATTGTTTTATGTATGCCTGGGGATTATTTTTATTTCAAAAACAGCCTTAATCATTCCACTTTTATTTATGCGTATACCTCATCAGCACCCAGCAACTGGGGGTTTGGATTTATTTTAAATTTTCTTTTTTTGTGAGGTTCTTTTTTGTTCTCAGTTTTTGTTTTTTACTTTGTATCGAACATACTGTTTTTCCTCTTTGCTTTGTCCTGCGTTAGCACATGGACTGTTGTCGGTAGAAGCAATAGAGTGCAGAAGGCTACAAAAAAGAGCACAATCCAGTGTGATGAGATCAGGAGAGCTTGCCTCTGCCATCCTCCTTCCTACTACTACTGTGCAATTCAAGTCCTTCTTAAGCCATTACCAGTGGGCATGCTCAGAACGATGGAGGAGCTCCCTGGGGGCAGGATGTTGCTGAACCTGCTGGCGAGGAGCTCCTGGCACTGTTACCCGCAAGAGCCGAAAGAAAACCCTGTGAAACGGCTCCTCTTTTCCTTTGCTGTAAAGAATCCAGCAAGTGTATGGATGCTCTGGCTCCCATTTGTCTGCGCTGTCTGTTTCCTGCCCGTCTCTCGTCCACACTGAGCATGCTCAAGAGCAACAATTCATTGGTGTGACCCATAGGAGCTTCCATTCACCGTGGGTAACAGCAAAATGATTCTCATGTCTAATGTTCTATGCAATGAAATAACAAAACAAAAAAAGTTTAAAAAAACAACTGTTAATATTTAATAAGTTCAATGTTATGTATAAGGATTTAATTGCAAATGTGCTATTGAGAAACTGGATAGGTATCTTTATATCGAACACCTGTGCGTATGAAGTTTTCAATTAGTGGCATGCTTGACCCATCCGAGGGACACTTTTGCCAAAGGGTAGCCATAGAGCCGGTGACTGTCTCTGTCTGTTGTAGAGCATGGCTTGCTACTTCTCTGCACGGTTTCATCTATTTAGAATGCTTGCCGTTCTTTGCTTGAGGTTTTTTTTTCTCTCTCTCTCTCTCTCTCCAGTTGGTTCATCATCACTTCTGAATGCCATTAGCAGATTTATGCACTTGTTATTGAAGGCCTGTCAGTGACACCATGAAGCATAATTATCCTGCAGAATGTAACACCAGATGTGTCCTGTGGAACTCCATTAACTATTGGTCCTTTGCCACATCCTTCCCTGGAGTGGCCATTAGTGTCCAGTTCAAGGGTCTTCCTGGGCTTTCTTGAGACTTGAAGCACATTCCTCCTGACCAAAAAAATATTAAGCCCAAATTCTATCTTGGTTCGAGAGCACCACAGGCTGGGGGAGGTGTTCCAAGACTCAGTTACCCCAATAAATTCTGCATGGACAATTTGAGCAGTGTGGCATCGGTTAGTGCAAAGAAAGCACCTTATTCCCCTCCCCTAAGTTCATAACCTGGGAAACAGCAGTGATGTCTCCTGTTCCCACAAGCACAATGTTAATGAATAAAGACCTACTAAACGGCAGCTCCTGACAATGGGAGGCTGACAGCCACTGAGCGGTGCAGTTTAAGCTGAAGTAGGTTCCAGAACAGAGACCGTTTCAACTCACTTCCGCCATACCAAGCACCCTTGGTGCAGTGATGGTGCAGGGCCTTTTCCTCATGGTAAGACTCAAAGGCAGAGCTCTGCAAAAATTGGAACAAAACTGTGTGAGCTTTTTCTGACAGAGAAGGGGAAAGGTTAAGAGGCAACTACCTCTGTTACACGAGAGGTTCTTGCAAACACAGAAGTTTGTGACATTTTTTTTTTTTTTTACTCTTATAATTTTTAAGAGAACCTGACAGATCAGTGAGTCTAAGGGCCACGTCACCCATTTTGCAGAGGCAAACCTGGGTACCAACTGGATACTCAAGGAGCAGCAGCTCACCAGGACTCCTTGACTCGTATTCCTGGTTTATTTGATACTTAAAACACACTTGCAAATGTGTTTCACGCTTTCACGCTTTTCTATTTTATGTGAGCGCTTAAAAAAGGAGCATGCTGAAAAAGGAATGTATGCTGTGGCCCTTAGGCAGCTGGGGGTTGGAATCACATGAGCTCTCTACAGTAATTAATCCAGGTCTGCATTATTTTGATATAAGCCTTAATGTTACAAGAGACTCATGTGAACAGCTAGCATATAATATGGTTCATCTTCTAACTAAAAAGAAAAGAGGACTGTGGCACTATAAGCAAAACTGTAAAGGCAGACATGTTTGCATGGTTCCCATGGAGTGCACTTGGAGAAGACTCACACTTTGCAACATCTTTGGCCAGCAGTGGCCTCTCCTTGTCATCTTAGAGAGCACATTCACACAGCAATTGCCTGTGCTCCTAGTTTGTCACTATGGTGCCCAACTAGAGATCTGGCCAAAAGCCTTAGAAAAGGCAGGTCCCTTTTTGCCTGAGACACCTATGCAATGAGAACCAGTGTCTGCCTGAGGGAGACACAGTCATCCCCACCAGCTGTGTGGATGGATGAAGGGGACCAGGGTCAAAGTCTACAGGGTAGAAGCTACACGGGCAATGCAACTGCACCTGATACCCAAATGGGTCTGGTGCAGACATGATGTTGAGTTGCAAGTCTAAAAATATTAGTAGGAAGGTCTGTTGATGGTAGTTCAGCTGTTTGCTAAGAACCCAGCTTCTCAGTCAAGATGCAGATATACTGCCTACACAACCTTTGGCACTATCTTCCCCTCCTGCTCTGGTACCATTGAGTGACCTCTAAGCCTTATGTTATTCCTTCCCATGGATTACAAGGTGGGGAAAGTTATCATATGTATGTAGACTAGAGGCTGTCTTCTAAAGTAGCCAAGCCAGGGTATTTTACCAGCGTGGAATGCTTTGTAGAACAAAGGCCAATCATTTGATACAGCAGTTGGCTTAGGACATGGAAATTCATGTAGGAGATAAAGGCAGAGGCCATGCTTTCAAGCTGGCTGCCTCTTGAATTCCTTGCACTGTTGAATTGGTTACTCTACTAATAAAAGCATAAGCAGGTACTTGGGCCCTACCTCACTGTGCTGTCTCATTGGAGGAGACCAGAAAATGTCACCTTAGCTTCAGAGAATGCTAGTTGAGTTTTCCATGCGCAAGGAAACTGCACACTCACCTTGTTGGCAATCACCCATTGTAAAGACCCAGTTTTGGCAGCAGTCTGCGTACCTGTTTGGTTCATCTTGGAGTTGTGGCCACCATAGCAGTTATGGAGTTCATGGATCTTTCTGATGATAGACAGACTGGAAATAATTCCAAGTAGAAGGGGTGGCAGCTACTCATAGTGGACCTACATACAGGATGGAAGGCTTGGTTGGTAAGCATATGTTCTTGGCAGCTGCTTCAGCTTGGATGGCAAGCTGGGGTAGAAACTCCCAAAATGGAGATTTGCTTCCAACTTGAGTCGAACAAGGCATTTGGTAGCAACAACTGCAAGTTTCTCCACCCAGCTCCTTCCCTGCCACTCAGGCCTCCCCTGTTCCCCTGCCCCCCCCCCCAAATATACAAAGGATTACCCACAATGACAAGTGCAAAATCTGAGGATGCTTCTTCAGGGCTCTAGGTTGAATTTGTGTCCCCTACAGGTTTTCTCAACAGTGGCTGCTACAACCTCCCTCCCTCCCTTCCATTGTAAATATTTGTACAGTGTGTAAAATAATAAAACTAAATTAAAAATCTCATGTGGTATGAAGAAAAAAAAAAAGAAAAACAACAACTCACAGGCCCCTTTTCGGGGGCTCCATCTCACCAACCAGCACACCTGCCAACTCTTGCTTTTGTGTACAAAAGATCAACAAACAAAGCCTGGTGTTTGTGACTGGCTCCTTTGGACTGTTCCTCTTCTTGCAAAGCATAGCAGAGTCTTGTAGAGTTGTTGTGGCTGTCACATGACATGTACCTTTCATGCCCTCATCCTGCCTCCCATGTATCTTCAGTTGTTCCCTTATTTTTTATTTTTATTATCTTGGAGGCAGGAGGGGTTCTGTATAAAAATTAATTTTAAAAAATACCAACCACCACCCATCAAACAAAAGAAGAAGTTTACAGTTGTAAGTGCAATGACCTAAATCCTTTATCTGAACATTGTAAATGATGTGTGTGTCCTGCTGTGCTCTGTGAGAACTTGTAGTATTTCAGTGTACCACCTCATGTATTGTGATTCCGTATGGGAAGTTGCCCTACAAGGTATTTCTGTGGAAAACAGAATAAAAGGACTTAATATGATTCACAAGGCTGAGTCCCTACCTGCTGGGGGCACATAAAGTTAGGGTGGTCCCCCCACCTGGGGGGGTTACCTAGATTTGAAAGCGGTGTAAACTTTCATTGCTTCTCCATACACTTCCTTCTAGAGCCTAGTTTTCAGATTGGTGGTACAGCCAGTGCTATTTTTTCTAGAAAAGGAGGTGCTGGAACTCTCTTACAGTGGTAATGGTGCCCACCTCAGAGGTGCCGGAACAGAGTTCCGCTTAGTTCTGGTTGTGGGAGGGGAAAAGCCCTGTGTACAGCCATATCTGGACAGCACTCCTTCAGACTATGGACAGTTCCTGTAGCTGAATGTAACTGAAAATGGCCTGGACACACAGAAAACCACCACTCTGATAATGAAGCCAAAACTGATGAGCATCAGTCACTGCCTTATAGATTGCAGCTGTCACTGACCTAGTCAGCACATGAGGCTGCCATGGTCAAATTAGTCTGGGTCTTTCCCAATTCTAAAAGGAGAGCTGTACCAGCTGGAAAGGGCCATCTATGCACCAGCCATCCTGACCACAGTGTACTAGAATGGAGGTGGTTTTACGTGCCACAGCAAGGTGCACACACACCCATGGCTCCAGATGTCTCAAGAGTCCTTTCACACACACTCATCCAGCAAGAGATCCAATATGCACAGTAGAGGATTTGCTCCCCACCCTGACTGTAGTCAAGGGAACATGTAACACAAGTATTACAGTCAGCCATCTATCTGTATGTCCACAGGGTCAATTTGTGTGATCAGTCCCCCTCGGGAGGAAAAAAGGGGGAGGGAAGAGCACCCAGAATGGTTCTTTGTGTGTACAATGTGCTTCTCCTTTTGCACTAAATAACATTCCTGCATTACTGAAAAATCCCAGAGAGAAGCCAGGCTTTAACTGGGAATAGGGGCTGCGGCTGGTGTCTCTTTCTTTTACTGCATCCATAAGCATAATGTTGCAGTGCCAGGCCAACCCAACAAGCAGTATAAATGGATGCCTCAGGCATCAGAAGTCAGCTCTAGGGATGGGGGGTGGCAAGTTACACACACAGATATCCAGTGGAGTCCTGACTGATGAAAGCAGACAGCTTGTACCTGCTGTAGCTGTAACAGATCTAATCACATCATGAGTGCCCAAATCCTGCTCCCATCATTCCCAGATTCCCTGCTACATCACATATTCCCAGGGCCTTGATAAGCATCAATGGATTCCTGAGGATCCTGATTGGACTGACTTGCATCTTCATGATAGGTGAGCTCATGAAGTTGCTTCACATTGTCAGACACTGGAAATTTTTTTTTAGAGTTACAAAAGAAAACAAAGTAGAAAAAGAACAAAGAAAGAACAAAGAAAAACACAAACCACATCCAACAATACAAATTCAAAAAAACAAAACAAAAATACACCGCAAACATTTAAAAACAAATCCATTATTCTCAAATCCTCAACTGTCATTACCTTCTTTCTTTGACCTCCTCCTCCTCCCTTTTTTTGTATCCTAGTTGTTAATTGTTGCAGCAAATCCTTTCCATGTTTCATAAAATTCTGTCATTACATTACCTTAAACTATTTTAATCTTATCTTACTATAAAAAACCTGAAACTTAAAACTTAAATCTTATTTTTACCAACTTCTCATAACCATAATATTCTTACATAATTCTTGAAACATTTTTACTAAAGCCAAGTAATTTCATTCCAACATTTTTCTAACATTCATCAATTTTATAAAACAATCCTAGTAGTAGAAAAAGAAATAAAAACAATCCAATCTTCATCCAGCGTCCTGTCCTCCTGGTCCCGGGTTTTGTCAGTCCTTATTATCCGATCGATCTAGCGCATTAACCTGGTAACCTTCACATTGTCAGACACTGACCCCTGGTCCCACTAGTCCAATACTGTTTACTCTGGTGGACAGCAGCACCCCCACCTGAGCCTCAGGCAAAGGTTTTTGCCAGCTCTGCTAGCAGAGGTCTCTTAACTGGTGATGCCAGGGGTTGAAACTGGGATTTCTGCACTTCCATGGAGTGACAGCCCTTCCCGTAAATCCAGACTTGCTGTGCCTAGATTTGCTACTAATCCATTAATCACATCACCCTGCCGCATTCAATAGACAGAGTTCCAGGTCTTTCAGACAAATCCTTTAGGACAGGTAGCTGAGATCTGTGCTCCACCAGAAAGGTACCTGGTCTAGCCCCTGCAGATGTCATCTGGGTAGTCATCAATAGCAGACCCAGATAGAACATGTTACAGTAGTCTAGCCGTGAGGTCACAAAAGCATATTTGCTAGGTTTGGGTAGCATTAAAAAGGGTATCCCAAAATGTAGCCAGATGTATCATAAGGCTATGAACCAGAAAAGCTAGAGGAGTCGCAGTCAGGGATGAGGGGAATCGTGATTCAACAACACGGCTATCCTACAGGGGAAATGGCATGAGCAGATAGAGCTATGTCCTACAAACCAGCAGTGAGTAAGACCACTCTAAAGGATACAAATGGTGGCAAGGGGCATCATAAAGTCACTCAAACAATATGAACTATTTGATGAACAATGTGGAAGCCTGCAGAAAGGTTTTATGAGCTCAACAGGTAGAAATGGTTTATTTCTACCACAAGCTCAAGATCACTAACAAGGACCACAAATGATATGGCCAAGTTTGGGGGAGGAAAAGGGAAACATTTTTAAAGAGTCTGGAAAAATAAATGGTATTGGGAAATGCAGAAGAAACAGAATCAAGGAGCCTTCCTTGGAGAAGCTTTAAAACTAATCCATCACTGGTTAGTAGCTAACATGCTACCTACCTACAGATGATGTTGGACTATACAGTTCCCATCTCTAACCACTGGCCATGCTGGCTGGCAGTGTTGGGAGCTCAAAGTTAAACAATTTTCAGAAGGCACCACTTTAGTTCTTGCTAGGGTGGGGAGCCTGGACCCAATATTGATTTTCTCTCTCTCTCTCTTTTAACCAGGGACAGAATTACTGTGGGTTTAAGGCTGTCCAGGACTTTCCCAAAATAATCCCTGTGTTAAATTAAATTAAAAAAACCACAGCCAAAGTACCCAATTTCTCCACATTTCTATGTCTTTGTATGATTTTAGGCGGGGTTGTGTTTTAAAAAAGAATGGCGTCTTTGACTTCTCAGAATTGCTTCTGCTGCTTTTTCAGCGCGCACACACAGAGAGTGCTCAAATCGACTTCAGGTACAGACATAGTTCATATCACATCCAAGGCTTTAAACAAGCACATTACATGTCAGGAATAGCATGGAAGAGGATGCCCACCTGCTGCTGTCTCCAACCCTGAGGCTGCAAGGGCTTAAAGCATCAAGGCCTGTCAAAGACATTGCTTCTCTCAGAAAGCCAATTACCCTGCCCCCTCTTCTTCTTTTAACTGTTTATCCCTCTCCCATCATACCTGGGTCTCTCTCAGCCCACCCACTGCATATGGATGCGGCTCCCACTCAGTGCCTGCAGAACCATCTGCCACCGAGTGCTTCCTGTTGCAGTTCAGCTGATTAGCAGCACACAGGAAGCGCCAATCTGGAAGGTGTGATTTGTCATTCCACTCCAGTCACCCTGCCATGGGGGCAGCTTCCCACTCGGCTTTGCAGGGCGAGGTTTTCTCCTGACCCTGAGATATTGGCTGGCTGGATTAGCAGGGAAGCTGCTCCCATAGACCTTAAGCCTTAACAAGCTGGGAAAGGGTTGGTGCCTGCCTCCGGCAGACACTGCCTCCTGCTAGGAGCCCCATCCATTCACATTTTCAAGCGGCTGCCTGCAGACCCAGGAGCTGCACAGCTTTCCTGTGGGAGTCACATGGCATGTGCTATTCCCCGTTCAAGTACTGGCGCAGGAACATTTAGTCCCACGCAGCCAGAGTTGGCAAGAGCTTGTGCGAGGCACCCCTTGTTTGCCAAGAGAGGTGTCTGCATTGATTCCATGGAGTCATGAAAGCGACGTGTGTGCCCTTCTGAGATGAAAGTACAGTGCATGAAGTGACAGCCAAAACCAAGCAAATCACTCTTCCTTTCCAAAGCTGCAGGTGCCGGGCCCCCAAGCGGGTTAGATGGATAGCTAGATCTGTTGCAAAGGCAAGACGAGAGGAACTGCTCATGAACAATCTTCCACAGTTGAATTATAAATACTTAAAGGGGGGGGACGGGCTGTGAGGAATTATGGGATGCAGGAGTATCCATAGTTCAAGTGCCATACACACAAAAACCAATGGTCTCACTCTACAAACTTTTGGACCTATTCCATTTTCTATAACCCCTCCTTCCCTCCGCTGACTGCCAGCAGCCTGCTTTTTCCTCAAAGGACACCCCTTCTGTCACCTTCCACTTCATGTGGTAAAATCAGCTTATCATAGCACCACAAATAACACAGTGGACCACAGAGCAGCTAGGGCCTTCCCTCTCCCCCTTGACTGCTGTCTAGCAGAATCACGAAGAACAGGATCCAGATGCTCAGTCCTTGGTAGGGCACTGGAGAACCCAGTGACCTTGCCCTCTTCCCAGTGGCCATGTCCCTTTATGAAAACAGCAGAGCTAAGCAATGCTTCACCATCTGCTAAGCATCACAAGAACAGATACAGCTGATGCACAACTTTCATTGAGCAACATCAGTGATGGTAAAGGAGCATCCAAGCTGTGGTGTTGTTGTTTTTAAAAACTCTCTTACAGAAACAATTGGAAATGCTGAAGCAGCCCAGGGATTCATACCAGCACACAGTGCAGAAAACAGTGGTAGCAAGACAAACTGCAGCTCCATAATTGCTAAAACACAACCTAAGGGTGAAGGAATTACAAGTGACTTTCACATGCAATGGACACAAATTGGAAGAGGCTTTGGTAATTGGCTTGCCACCCTGCCTGTGGAGCTGCTAAAATTGTAAATAAGATCCAAAAACAGTTATATTGGCATGAGATTTGGTGTCCCTTTCTATTATTCCTGAATGCCTAGTGTGAGCCCCACACTGAACGGCATGTGGGTTTTTACTTGGCTGGACTTTACTCAAACATGCCTGAATGTCACTGTGACTGAACTGGAGGTATCAACCACACCAAACCTATGTCACTACTTTTAAAAACAAACCTGTTTTCATTTCCATTAGGTCTGGTGTTTTTTTTAAAAAAGTACATTCACAATTCAAGCTAGTAGCAGCAGAATCGCTGAACTTCATTTGACTTTTGCAAAGATAAAATTCAGATTGGAAGTAGTAGGTGGTTGAACAACCCTCATAAAAATGTAGGCTTTTCGTTCCAAGTTAGTGGCAGCCAGATGATTGCAGAAACGTTTCAAATTTGCTGCCTCTCCCCGCCGCTGCCACCTACACAGAAAATATGAGTCAAATTCATAATAAACACAAGCACGACATTTATTTAGGAAAGTAAAGAAACAATTTAGGATGAGAGGAGAATAAGGAGAAGTATGGGGCTAACGTTGTGGGGTGGCCTATTTTAAGCCACTGTCCTTGAAGCCCCGCCACGAGGATCTTCGCCTGCAACACATTTTTAAGTGATTGCAAATTCACATTAGAGTGGGGGAAAGGGTCGGTTTAGAAAGAAAAGAGCACCAACGGGCCGGGTGGTCAGAGACGTCCACGCCAAGCCGAGGCTTTGCCTTGCAACACAGGAAGTCCTGTCTCCAGATGAAAGGAATGACCAGGCTTCCCACTGAGCAGCGCGCGCTGATTTTGACGGGCAGGTCCATAGCCAATGGAAGTAGGCGGGACCGAAAAGGAACAGCCCCACCCACCCTGGAGGTACCGAGCGGAAGGTGACCGAACTTCGAACCTCCGGGACTGGGCGCAGCGGCAAAGGAGATGGAACCACCGGTAGGAAACGCGGGGGGGGAGGGGGGTTCCCCGGGTCCGCCCCCCCCAGGGGATGCGGGGGGTGGGCTGCGCCCGCCTGAAGCAGCTCCTGCTGCTCGTTGAGCAGACCTTCCCACAATGCTCCGCGGGCGGGCGTGTTTGTGTGTTGGGGCTCCCAGCATCCCCTTCGGAGGGGCACGAACGTGTGAATGGGCTCCCTTCTGCTGCTGGCACGCTAGCTGTCCGCATAGGATTGTTCCTGGGGGCGGGATACGGGCCGCGCTCCAAGGCTGCTGGCTCCTTTCTCTCCCCCGGCCCCCGCTTTTAAGAGCTGCGAGATGAGCACAACTGCAGCATGTGAAACAACTCTTCTCCACAGGCACACCCGGCCAATATGGAGATGTAATTGGGGGTGGGTGGGGAGAATGTGGCAACTCTTCTTTATATCTCCAGGCAAAAGGGAAAAAAATTGCTTCCTTTCGCAGTACTTCAGCATCCCTTTACTCTCCCCCCCCTAAAAAAAAAAAATCACGTGCACACAAGGTGGGAACCGTCACAGCTCTAAAATATTTGTTTTTTAGCGTGTTGACCTGGCATGATTTAAGAACCCTGGGCGCATGGGTGACTGGATGTGGCACGAATTTAGGTTGCTACAGGGGGAAAGTCTTAAGGTGGCGGCGGAGAGGGGGATGGTTATCTTTATTCTTTGTCACCACACTGTTGTTCCCATATATCAAGTGGATTATTAGGGTAAGGTTCCTCACTTGCTTCAGAGAAGGGAGGACTAAGTGTATGAAGTAGCTGTTGTAGCAGAGAGAACTGGACTTTGAACTCTTGCACTAAAGGAGTCCTGTTGCTTTAGGGTAGGAGTGGCTGACCTGTGGCTCTTGGACACAGTGTGGCAGGTAGATTGGGTGGAGGTGTCCCTCTGCTCAGCTCTGCTGGCCGCCACCTGCGCAGTGGCATCCACATCAGTCTGCCAGTATGGACCCCCCTGTACTGCCTGCTGAGCCTGCAAGTGTATGGAAGTGCCACTGGCAGGATCCCTGTCAGCAGCAGCCCACACAAAGCCCCAAAATTGGGTGACGTGAAGGCAGGGAAGGGCTGAACCAGCCTGAGATCCATTGCATTGCAAGTCAGCCTCACTGCTGATGGTACCGGACCCAGTCTCCATCCAACTGCTGCACCAGCTCCAGGCATCCCCACACCTTCCACCCTGGCCAGCCGAAACAGCATGGGTGTAGCTAATCAATAAAAACCAGCAAAATACATAGCTAACAGGTTCTGCCCTCCCTAACAAAAGTCCTGCCCCCCTAACAAAAATCCTGACTGCGCCCATGGCAGCCATGGCAATCTGATAAACAGCACTTCTGTCTGCTCAGGGTTTGGATTTTGCAGCCTAAATGATGTTGGACTCTCAATTCCTATAATCTCTGACCATTGGTCATGTTAGCTGAGGTGGAGTCTAACAACATCTGGAGGGCCACAGGTTCCCTATCCTTGGTTTAGGAAAAAACACAAAGGGGAAGGGGGAGCAGGAAGGATATAGGAAGAGTTCTTCCTGGACACCTTTCCAAACAAAATTCTGTAGTTGCCAGTGGCCCAAGGTTATTCCCTGATGGCACAGATGAAATGTTAATGAGCAAGGGAGGCAGGGAATGTTTTTACCCTCCTATTTAGCTTCAATAACAATTGATGTCTCTCTTTTGCATGGAAGTTGCTGATTCGGGATCCTCACATGCTTGTGAACTTTTCAGATAGAAGGAGTGATAACTGGCCTTTAATTACCATGTGATTGCCTGCCCTGCCTTTCCAAAGTAAATAGTGTGCCAAATGTAGCTATTGAAACTTTGTCCTTCTACAAACCATGTTTCAATTGCTGCGGGCCTAGAGTGTCACACATTAACTTGGGCTGCTGGGCTGATGAATGGATTGGTAGTTGAAAGAGCACCTTTGCTGCAGCACCTGCAACTTGGTACAGAACAGATTTCCTGGTTCTCTCTGTTTCAAAAACAAGTAGACAAGAAACATCCAGCTCTTGTCTGTTTTGGATCGCAAACTTGGGACAAAACAAGTCTTGTGTGTCACCTTAAAGATTAACTAAGGACCCAAAATGTTCCAGGAGAAAGGACTTATAAGTAACATAGATTGTGTATTGGTTGTGGTGGGAATGAAAAAGGAAAACTGAGCAGGAGACAGGGAGAAACATACACCCTATATCAGTGTGGCAGCTTAATTTGCTCAGAAGCAGGTGATGAGCTTCTCTTTCCTATCTGCAGCAGTGATGTGATTTTTCCTGTATGCACATCAGTACATCTGCTTAGGTAAGAAAAGAAGTTAGGAGCAGCTGCTACAGCCAACCTTCCTCTAACCTGCATAAGGCGCAAAGCCAGGACTGCTATGTCTCCAGCTAGCTGTGTGCTCTCTCCTTCAACTCACCAAAGTGTCCCCACCTTACATGCTTCCTGCCCTCTGTTCCAGCTTCTCACCTGGAAGCAGTTGTTACTAGCCATGAGCAAAGGGCTAATTGCAAGCATGTTTGTGTTGCTTTTACCTGGAGTTGGTCCCAACTAATTATGCTGCTGCTTTCTTTTTATTGTGCAGTTGTTGAATGACGCAGAGGAGATAGCTGCTTTGTATCGTGAGCTTAGCCAGTTCCCATCTCTTTCCAGTGCCTCTATTGGGCCAGAGGTAACAACTCAGTATGGTGGGAAATACTGCAACCTTTACACAGGTAAACCTCTCCCTCGTAGTTGCCAGCATTAGTTGAGACCCATGTTTATATTGCGATTCACTTTGGGATGCCTCATGAGAAGCAATGAGTACATTTTTCTTTGCCTTGCCTTGAACCATCACTCCTGACAAAATAAACCAGGAGACTAGCTTTTAGCACCAGGGTTTCTGTGGCTTTGACTGGCTGGTTCCTGTGCTTCAGTATCAAACCAACTTTCATCTTTCTCTGATGATCATAAGAAATAAAGCCCAAAGATAGAGCTGTTGGCATTCTTGACTCTGAACCAGGAATGGGCATGATGGGCCTTTATACATACATTCAATGTATAGGCGACCCTATAACTGAAGTTCTCTGGGCAGCTTAATGGGATTTAAAACACACACAGAGAGACCAAAATTAACAGTAAAACAAACTACAATCCGCATCATTACATAGTCACAAATCACATTAAAACAGGTCCCTGGGTATGGTCTGAATGCACATGAGGTCACCGCTTTGCTGAAGCTAAGCAGGCCTGAGTATGGTCAGTGTCTGGATGGGAGACCACCTGCCAACCACATTGTGAGCCATGACAGAAGAAGGGTGGGATATAAATGTAGGAAAGTAAATAAAATACTTTTTGCAGCAACAAATCAATGTAAAATGGGGGGGGGGGCAATGGAATAAAATCTGCAGAAGTCAAACTAGGATGAAATCATAACTTTAGACATGGGGAAATAAAGTTATTTGACTGATGTTGGAAATATATTAAGGTAGGTTTACAGGCAAGTCTCTTGTGTGGGGAGACTCTTCTTGTCTGCTCCTGGTCTTGCCTGAAATAGTTGGGGGAAGAGGAGGATGGGACAGTGATGTTGGGATTTTTTTGTGGTAGAGGAAGATTGGTTCTTTCTGTGGTAGGCTGGACAGAACTGAGTTCTCTCCCTCCCTTTACAGAGTGGTCTCAGCGAGACTTGGAAAGAGCTGAAAATATAAAATTCTGCCATCAGTACCTCATCTTCCATGACAGCCACTCCATTGTGTACTCAAGCCCCTCTGGCAATTGCACGGAAATCAAGGGAGAGTAAGTCTCTTGTTTGTTGTGTTTCACCACGCTTTCTGCAGAAACAGCAGATCACTACCCGAAGCCTTGTGCTGAAGGGGGTCTCCCAAGGATCAGCACAGCCTTGAACCTCCATGTCAGGGAACTGCCATCAGTGCCGGAGGGAGAGAGCAAAATCCAGAGGGATTCCAGAGAGCGTCCTGGGATTGGGAGAGGCAGCCCATCTTCTGGGGAAGAGAATCAGCGTAGCACCAGTGGAGAAGGGGGGCAGATGGGGGAAGCGGCGAGGCGGTCCCATGACTCCTTGCCAGGGACCAGCGGGGAGAGTAGAGGTCCTCCGCTGCCTACGCCCTCCTTGCACAGAAGGCTTTCGCACAGAGAGAGAGTAGGAGGAGACTAGGCGTCAAAGAGCTTCTTTGCTGGAAGAAGTTTAAGAAACGCCCACTGACGGATTCTGCCAGCGATTGAGACAGCCACGGGTAAGTGGCTGTCCGGACAGAAAAGGTTCACTCAGGCAACCCAGCCAGGTGTTTGTGCCGGCTTACGCACGAGGAACCCCTAGAACCACTACACTCCAGTGCCAGGGATACATGTTCTGCACCAAAACAATCCGAATCCTTTAATGAGATCAGACTGCTTTACAGTGGTGCCCCGCAAGACGAATGCCTCGCAAGACGGAAAAACCGCTAGACGAAAGGGTTTTCCGTTTTGAAGTTGCTTCGCAGGACGAATTCCCCTATGGGCTTGCTTCGCAAGACGAAAATATCTTGCGAGTCTTGAGATTTTTTTTTCGCTTTTCCCCCCCTTTATCTAATCTGCTAAGCCTTTAATAGCGTTTAATAGCCTTTTAGCAGCTAATCCCCTAAGCCTTTAAGCCTTTAATAGCCGCTAAACCGCTAATAGCGCTAATAGCGCTAATCCGTCAATGGGCTTGCTTCGCAAGACGAAAAAACCGCTAGACGAAGACTCTCGTGGAACGGATTAATTTCGTCTTGCGAGGCACCACTGTATTTTCAAAATTATTTGAGAGTCCATAATTTTGGACCGAAGGGGCCTCTAAGGCAGCTGACTGAAAATCAGAACACTAAAACAATGGTTAAGTGCCCTAATCTGCAATATCTAGCACTGTCAGAAGCCACAGGGAAAGACAAAACTGCAAACCTGCCCAGCAGCATATACTTACTGAACAGGAACTTCTGGAAAATCCCAGTTTTTGCTGCTTACTAAAGATAAGCAGGCCTTGGTTGGCAGGGGTGTTCCACAGCTGTGGCACCACACTTAAAAAGGCTCTCTCTTGTGTCATCCTGCCCTGGGGAAACATGTGAGGCGAGGTAGTTCTTCCAATACATTATATGTATTGCCATACATTTACTTTATTACCAAATGACAATGGAGATAATCCACACGACCCATCCATCCCTTTCAATATCCTAGCTTGGTGTGCTTCCAAAGCCTCTTGGGCTGCTCCCCTCAGGCCTAGCCGCCATGGCCAGTGATCTGAACTGATGGGGAGTGGGGAGCCCAACAACACCTGGAGGGCCACATGTCCCCTGCTTGTCCTAGAAGGATGGGCACAGTCTGAGCTGCCTTCCTTTCTGGTACCTTCTTCGTCCTGGCCTGTGCCTGACCAAAGCCATCTTTCCTAGGCTAACCATGCTGTTTTCCTTCTTAGGCTGCTCAGTCGGGACTCTCCCAGTGGAGCACAGAAAGCCGTTCTACGAAAGACTAGCAACACCAAAGGCGAAGAGAAACAGTTCCTAGAGGTATATATAGCTGGCTTGAAGAAAGCTGAGAGAAGAGACTTATACCCTGGCTCTCTAATATGTTTCTGCTGTGTAAGGCAGACCTTCCAGAGATGCTCTGCCCCTTCATTCCCAGAGCAACATGGCTTCATATTTGGCCTGTTTGCTCAGTGATTCTCAAACTATCTGTCACGCTTCCAACCCGGGAGGCAGTTGTATGGCACTCTGACTTGAGTGGCTTTTGCTTCTTTTTGTTTGAAAGGAAAGGGGTCAGTTTGTGGCTCTTTCATGCGGCTCAGAATAGGTCCGGTCTCTGAGAAGACATTGGGTACATAAGCAAAGGGGTTCAGAGACTAAATCTGCCATGTGTCTGCTCCCACAGGTGTGGGAAAAGAACCGCAAGGTGAAGAGCATCGAGTTGACAGCCCTGGAGAAGCATGGCCAAGTGTACGAGGACGGTGAGATTTCCTTGCAGCTCTGTTTCCATTTGTAGGAGACAAGAGAAGAGGATAGCTAGGCCCCAGCATTCATCCTTTCCTTGCAGCTCGGGAGTGCTGGTGGTGGTAGGGTGTTCTCCGATATCCCTGATATGCACTGATAAGGGAAGTCATTTTTGTCCTGTTTGAAAAGGGGACTTGGGAAACCTAGGAATGCTTCTGGTCATTGAATTTTTGATTGAGGTCAGTCAGTGAAATCTATTGTCATCTTGTTCCCTGCCCCAGACCAATTTGGCTGCTTGGCCTGGTCACACTCCGAGACGCACCTTCTCTACGTGGCGGAGAAGAAGCGCCCCAAGGCTGAGTCGTTCTTTAAGCCAAAAGCCCCTGAGCTGAGCAGTGAAGAGGAGCTGGCCAAGACAGAGCGACGAGATAAAGCCATTAAGGTAGAATGAACTTCTGCTTTGCCTTGTGTCCTGCGAGCCATTATTTCAGTTTCTCTTCATCATCACCATATGCCATTTTTTTTCCATATTCAAAGCAGCTCTGTTCATAAGGCGATGCACTACCAATTACACTTATACCTGAAATGCAGTAAAGCTAATGCTTGCATCTTGAACAGTTGGCTCTGAGGGAGCAGTTGCCTCCAAAGGTGATGTCCCTGCAGTGGAACTGCGGAGTTTGTAAGCAAATGTGTGTGTGGGCTTCTCACTCTTCAGGAAGTGGGAAGCACTTGACTGACGCCAAGTTGAAAACCAGTGATGCGGGCCCTGGCAATCTCCCAGGCAGGTGAGACTCCCTTTGCTGTCACTCGAGCTGCCTCTGCATCAGGATCTCTCTTTGCTTTTCCTAGGGAGAGCAGTTTGTGTTCTACGAAGACTGGGGGGAGACCCTGGTGGCTAAAAGCACTCCTGTGCTGTGTGTATTGGACATTGAGAGCAACAACGTTTCGGTCCTGGAGAGCGTTCCAGAGCACATCTCCCCTGGGCAGGTCAGTACAGGATAAACTGAGGGAGAAGGTTGGCACCCAGTTAGATAAGGGTATTTTTATTTATTTTAAATACTTGCAATCTTCCTTCTAGCTCCAAGGAGGGTCTCTAAAAGCAACTTACAGAAGATTTCCACATGTTTGGTATCTGGAACAGAAACAATGTGGAGTCATCCTCAGTGTTGCCTGTTACCCCCACCCCCAAAAGTGTTATTTGCCAACTCCAATACTATAATAGCTGTGCCAAAATGGCTAGGATATAGTGGGAAGGACTCTGTGCTTGTCAGCCAAGATGCTTTCTTCCTGGAAAGATAATTTCAAAATTATCTTCCAAGACAAGAGCCAGGGAGTGTTCCCCATCCATTTAATTCCAGGTTTCCATGGTATATATTAGTTGGGTCTGCTCTTGTCTTCCAACCTGTCTTAACCCCGCATGCTGGAGATGTGCTAGAGTCACCCGCCTGCCTCTCCACACCTGACATGGCATTCCCTTCTCCCCCAGGCCTTCTGGGCTCCAGGCGACACTGGGGTGGTGTTCACAGGCTGGTGGCACGAGCCCTTCCGCCTAGGGTTGAGGTACTGCACCAATCGTAGGTAAGTTTCCTATCAGGACAAGTAAGAATCCAAGTGGTATTGACTATATTAGATAGATGAGGGACCAATTGGGGGGGGGGAGAGTGGGCCTACGAACATTCTGGAGTCTTTGGGGTTGGAGGTGCTTTGTATGCCTGCAAAACACACCAGTAGCCAGTGAGGATGTGGTCTTGTGGCTATGGAGGAGCTTGTGTGGCTTCATGCAGATGAAGTAGGCACCCAGATTGGACTTGGGCCCTTTTCGATTCTAGAACTTGCCCATTTTCTGTTTGGGAACCACCCTGCTGCCTCATCAGGGTTCTTCACCCTGTCCTTTTAAACAGGGGGGGAATTGTTTTTGTTTGTTACTATGTTATATATTTTTGTGATTTTATATTGTAAACCACCCTGTGATCCTCAGATGAAGGTCGGTATAAAAATGTAATTAATAATAATATTCCTGTTATGTTCCTGTCTGGGTGATGAATGAGACACTAGCTTGCAGGGAGAAGATAGAGGTCCCCACCCCCTTAGCCAGTCTCACATGGTGCTCTCCCATGTAAGCCCCACTTCTGTTTTGTGGTTTTCCTTCCAGATCAGCTATCTTCTATGTGGACCTGACAGGTGGTCGTTGTGGTGAGACATGTTTTCCTGTTTTATCATCGTCGTCATCATCATCATCAGCCATGCAGTGACTTCTCAGTCCTCTTTTAATTCACTGTATCCCTTCCCATTGCAGAGCTTTTATCAGACGACAACAAAGCCATTTGGTCTCCACGCCTGAGCCCAGACCAATGTCGCATTGTGTACCTGGAGAACCCGGCTTCTGGGCCTCACCAACAGTGCAGCCGTCTCTGCATGGTGAGTATTGCTTTTGAGCCTTAAGTCTTTGCATGAGAGACGAATAAGCTCCTGCCCTCTATATAGACTCCGGAGGTGAAGGCACAAGGAACACTTCTGAACTGGGCCCAGAGGTAGCAGGGGACCCAGACTCTTGAGTTTTCATTTTGAAAAATGTAAATATCTAGCCCTTTCCAGAAAGAAGGTTGTTACGAAGCAAAATGCGGAGGCATCAGTCTAACCCACTGCTTTGTAAGAAATGAGCCGGCTCCTGTCTTTCTGTGCTGCAGCTGAAGGAGTACAGTCACAGTTGTGAATGACTGATGAGCACCGTGGAGAAATATTAGTCACATACACACCAGGGAAAAGCAAACTACAGCTTCACAATGTGTTACAGCTCATGAAAATTGAGGTTTTTGCCTGGTTTGGAGTTGGCACTGGGGGAGAGCAGTGTCAGGTAGAAATTCAACAGGTCACATATTTTCTAGGACAGAAACACAATTATGGGGAAAGTTCCAGCTTTTGGCCTTCTGCCTGCCAGACATCTTATTACTTGCGTGTGGCCCTTGATTTATTGTTGGGTCCTCCTCCCTGCCCGTGGAAGAGAATGTCAATTCGTATGTATTTGCATATGGCCCAATTTTTTTGCAAATCGGAGGCCTCTTCTGCAGATAGGGAAGTGGGCCCAGTCCCCATGCAGAAAGTCCTGTTGGCAGCTTTGTGAACGAGTCCTTGAGCTCTTTGGCCTTTGCCAAACTGATGTGTGAGAGATCAGGCAAAGCTCTGGATGAGCCTGAGTTAATTCTGCCTTGTTGGCAACCATAGTGGGGAATCCATATTTGCTAGCAGGGGTTATGAGGGTTGCTTCTTGGAGAGCTTGGTCAGAGGAATTGAGGCAGAGCTCCTCAGTGAGAGCATAAGGAGAACCAAGGCCTGTCATTGTCCACCCAGAACTATCACATCAGGCCACTTCAGCACCTCCGTGAAGCATGTATTGATGCTATAAAATATTTGTGGGGCAAGAAGCTGTGCTGCACTGCCACATCCTTTTCTGATGCCTTTTGATCTCTTTTGCCCCCAGTACGACTGGTACACAAAGCTCACTTCCGTCGTGGTGGAGATTGTGCCTCGGCAGAGCCAAGGTGTGTATTACAACCGTGCTGGAGCTCCCAGGGGTGTTTGATGGGATCCGATGGAACCCTGTGGGTGTGCCAAGTATTCCATGTGCAACAACAAGCGAAGCCAAATGTTAGGACCGCTGCATATCACGCACAGTCATGTATCTTGTTCAGAATGGCCAACATTTATCACTGCGTTAGCTACAGGAGTGTGGAATGTGAAATCCGCCTATAGGGCTGTGGATGGTTTGAAAGAAACAAGGTGGTGTTAAGGAGGAACGAAAGGAGGAGATTCTGGGGCAGTAGGGAAAAGACCTGAGCATTGGGAAAACATGAAAACCAACCACAGGCTGCTCATGGCACCTTCTCTGTTAGGGTGTCTCTGGAAGCACCCCTTGGAATCTTTCTATATGTGTTGGAAGCCGCCCAGGGTGGCTGGAGCAACCCAGCCAGTGGAGCATAAATAATAAAATTATTATTATTATTATTATTATTATTATTATTATTATTATTAGAAGCAGCAGCAGCTTCTTTGCCTGCCTCAAGTTTGGAATCAGCAATAGCAATTAGGTTCTGTGTCTTCAGCAAGTATTTTTCTGCAGAATCTTTTGCCAGTTTTTTTCAGGAATTCAGAATCCACATCCACTTTGTCATTAGAAAAGCAGGCTCAGTCGGCAGATCCTGGCTGTGGACTATCACGGAGACTGGCTGCAAAGAGGGATTGGGGGGCCTTGGAATATATATGAAGAGAGACAGCATCACGGCTAACCTTCTCATTAGGCAGGGTGAAGTCACTTGTTACAGGTGGCAGATTATTATCATTTTTGTTACCCTGAAAGGGCAGGAAATTGACAAGAATTTAATTTATTTTTTATCATTTTTACCACGCTGGGGAATGCCAGTTGGGGGGTTTTTGTTGTTTTTTTGCCATGGTGTCAGAATTTCATGGGCTATTTCTGGCTGGCATCCATGAAAGGGGCTTATCATGTGGCTTCCTGGCCCAGGGGCATCCCTGTGTTTTCCACCGGAAGGGCAGCTGTTGTTTCAGTGAAGGCGCTTTGTCTCTTACAGGTGAATTCACTGGGATCTATAGCACAGCACTGTCAGAGCACTGCTGGGCAGCAGACAGCCAGAGGGTGGTGCTGGACACAATTCAACGTAGCAGGCAGGTAAGAACGAAGCATAAAGTATCTTGAGCTTCAGACTGAAGCCAGGGGTAGTTTGGGCAAACTAAGCACAAAGGGCACCTCCAATCGAAGGCTTTATTTGGCAACGGGCAAATTGAATCAGCACATCTAATATCTTTAAACATCATGGGGATCTCACATTGATCCACATAACAAAGCAGAGGATTATAGCACCATCTGAACATTTGACTCTTTCCAAATAGTGTGGTGGAGAAGGAATTGTTGTGCAAATCTTGCAGAACCTTGCTCGTGTGTGTGTGTCCCCATTGATGAATTGCAGGACAGCTTGTTGTGTGAGAAGGTACTTTCTGGATGCAACTGAGAGTAGATCTCTCTCATGCTGTCTTTTCCTCTAGGAGCTGATTGTAGTTGATACAGTGTCAGGCAGTGTGTGCTCTCTGACCAAGGGTAAGTAGCAAACTCCATAACTTGGCCCTCCATAATTAGTTCCTTCCAGTAACAGCAGTCTATGCTGTGTCCTGCCACTGCAATCCTCTGATCTTCTGGCAGAAGTGAGTCCTAATTTGTTTAATCTGTTTAATCTGTTTGGGGCAAAGCTATTCCAAGAGAACAGACAAGCCATCTTGCAGTCTGTTGTTCAGGGAGTTCTTCAGACCTTTGTCATCAGCCAGCACAGTTGGAGATAATTGTATCTGGTGTCCTCACTTGCTTATCTTTTGCTTTTTCTCCACCCTTTTTAGTATCGCGCTATACTGCCTTTGTAAGCATTTGGGTGGAAGATGCATCCCAAGCCAATATCTTTATCCTAGTTTCTTAATGCCCACTGATCATCCAGTGTGAACACCCCCATTGTTCTACTGACCTTTGCTTCACATGCACTGCCCCCTCCTCCAACCCCCTCCAAATCCTGCCAACGCTGCGTTCTTAATTTTAGTTCAGGTTCCAGCCGTCAGCAGTTGGAAACTGGGATGCATCCAACAAAGCCATAACACTCGCAGAATGACTTGCGTTTGCACAACAGACCTTTCCCTATCTCCTTACCCCACAACAGCCCCCTCCCAAATCTATTCTGGGAGTTTCCCCAAGCCCTGGAGCCGATGGGGGGAGGAGAGTGAGGCGAACCTCCATTGCACAAGCAGGAGGGCTTCTCTGGATGCAACCCATTTTGTTGCATATTCCGTCCATTTTTATAGATTTTCCCGCATGTCAAGTCAGTTTTTCTCTGCCCCAAAGCTTTGCTCGTATCAGGCCAGCTTGCCCAGGCCTTCAGTGCTCAAATGCAAACATACCAGGTCAGAAACGAAGCGGTGAGGGTTGCACACTCCAAATACGGGGGAAGAGAAAAACTTTGTTCTTTTACTAACCTAGGTTCCCGTCTTGGAAGCTGGGCCCTGCTCACTGTCGACAGAGATCTGCTGGTGGCCAGATTCTCCACTCCAAACTGCCCTCCCATGCTTGTAAGTGTCCAGTGGCCAAAGGTTGGGCAGAGGGACCTGGGCTTGACACTCCTCAGAATTGCTTGTTGCAGGAATTCTAAAATAATACTTCCTATGCTCTCTGTCACTTTATGTTTTGCTTAGGATTGCCCAAATATGAAATAGACCAAGCCTGTAGACTTTGACTTAGGAACTGGCCTCTATCAAATTAATCAGTTGAGGCCCCTTTATCCTCAACTTGGGAAATTATTTTTTCGTCTTGTGTCAAAAATTTGTTTGCACAAACTTTGTGGCTGGGATGCAACATCCTGTTAGTTATGTGCTTAACTGATTCTTTTTTAGGGGGGAGGGAGGGAATTCTGATGAGGGCATTGTTGCCCATAGTACAGATTTTTACAGCCAAAGCTGAAACAGCACAGAGGCTGTAGGGTCAAGGATTGTCGGCAGTGCAGTGTGTGATGATTAAGAGCCCAGGGACAGAACACAACATCGACCCCCCACCCCCCGGTATTTCCATTGGGCTTGCCTCTTTTTTTCTTTTCAAATATCTGACATGTGCTGCTATTTAGGGGACATGCTCTGCTCCTTATGTTCTGGGTGACCTGGTGCGGTCCGAGTAAGAGAGATCTGCTCCAGTGGTGCTGGATTTTTCTATGTCCTCTTGCTGCAGATGGTGGCCTTCCTGCCTCCTGCTGGCAAGGAAGCTGAAGTTAACTGGGTGTGCCTGGAAGAAGCCAGCCCAATTCAAGAAATCTCTTGGGATGTCCGTACCCTGCAGCCTCCTCCAGAACAGGACAACCCCCAGTATGGTGAGGGCCCAGAGAAAAAGAATTGGACAGACATTGCCAGAGATCAAGGAATTTAATTCCCAACTTTGAGCCAGAGAAGAAATTGGGGCATTGAGGCTGTGATATGCAGATTGTGGGAGGAAATTGACACCACTCACTTAGGCTAGATCTGCCATTGCAGGGAGATGGAATTATCCTCCTCTCCTTCCCCTGTGTATTGTTCTGGGAAGTTCTCCTGACCCTCCACAGCAGATTGGAGGGAAGCACAGGGGGAAAGGCCTGTTGCTCTAGTGGGAGCCCTTGCGTTGACTTCTGTGAGTGTACTGGGTTAGTTGAATCTAGGCCTTTGTGCCTGACTTTCACCAGATCTGCAAACTGTTCTTTCCTCACAGCTGGCCTCAGTTTTGAAGCCATCCTACTCCGGCCCACTCAGGAGCCAAAGAAGGCCAAGTTTCCATTAGTGGTGTCACCTCATGGTAAGTGCTTTGTCTTCATTACTCCCTTCAAGGCACAGGGTGATTCCTTCGCCCTTCATCTCACTGGCACTCCCGTCTTCTCCTTTGCAGGAGGCCCACACTCAGTGTTCACCACCAGCTGGATGCTATACCCAGCATTGCTCTGTCGGATGGGGTTTGCTGTGCTGCTGGGTAAGTGGTGGCCCAGAGCATTCTCAGTCACCCAGTGGGCTGCCGGGGTCTCAGTTTATCTTAGAATAGGGCATCACAATTAGGAGACTGGACTGTCAGTGGATCCTCTCCCATGACAGTGGTAAATGACTGCAGCATGGTCCAAATCTCTTGGCCTTTTCCTGTCTAGTCCAGTCTGCCTCAGTTGCTCAACAGGTGTGCTAGGAGGTGTGACACTGGAGGAGGAATGGCACAAGAAAGGCTTCTCGCCCTTCTGGAAAGCAGTGGTTGTGCTTTCAGGTGTAGGAGCTGCTGTGGGTGGCAGTAGCAGGTAGCAGGTAGTGAGAACTGGAGATTCCTGCCATGGTATCATCCTTCCATTAGAGGAAGCATCCTCCTGCCCAGTGATTCTGCAGCCTGGTTGAGCAGAGTGACATCTCCTTGAAGAGCAGGAGGCTCAGGTCTAGCAAAGAACTGGAGATCTCAATGAGCCTGTTTTTCTCCCTTCCCTAAGTGAATTACCGAGGATCACTAGGCTTTGGCCAGGACAGCGTGGACTCCCTTCCAGGGAAAGTGGGCAGTCAGGATGTCAAGGATGTGCAGGTAAGAGGGTTGCAATCCCCCTTTCCAGGGCAAGCGGGGGGGGGGGTGGAGCTGTAGATTTTTTCACTGGTGGGAAGATGCTGCAGTGCTGTTTCCCCCCCTTGCACCCACCGCCTTCTTTGCAGTTCTGTGTGGAACAGGTGCTACAGGAGGAACTGACGGATCCACAGAGAGTGGCCGTGCTTGGTGGTTCCCATGGAGGCTTCCTATCCTGCCATCTCATCGGCCAATACCCTGGCACCTACAAGGCTTGCGTGGCCAGGAATCCCGTGGTCAACGTGGCCTCCATGGTCGGAAGCACTGACATCCCTGACTGGTGCGTACCAAAGGCAGCCTGAGCAGCTGCAGTTTCTCCTTCATGCTATGGCTGCTGTAATGAGGACACAAGAAGGCCCATACTCCTGCATCCTATTCTCCCAGTGACCAACCAGCAGCTGCTGGGAAGCCTGCAAACATGACCCAAGGGCAAGAGCACTCTCCCAAGGTGGTTCCCAACAATTGGTATTCAGAGACGTACCACCTCACGGTGAACACACCCATCGTGGCTAGTAGCTATTGATAGTCTTAACACACACATACCATGAATTAATTGAATTGTCCTTTAAAACCATCCAAGTTGGTGACCATCACTATATTCCATAGTTTTTATTTATTTACCCATTTATAATCTGCACTTTCATAAAATGCACTGGTCCCAATGTACAGGGTTTACCCCGCTTTCTGCACCTGTCAGCTGGAAGAACTTTCCGTTTATTCCGGCTCTCTGTTTCCCGTTCCCCCTGTTTTGATACCTGCTGCACTGCTACTCCTAGGTGCCTGACGGAGGCTGGCTTGCCATATGACCAGACTGCCCTCCCAGATCCCAGGCAAGGGGCAGAGATGCTGCTTTGTTCACCTATGCAATACGTTGACAAGGTACAATACACACAGACCTTCCCTCTCCACATCCATTGGTCCAAGAACTCCATGATTTCGCTACTTCGTTTTCAGAGCTTTGGTTTCTCCACCTGCCCTGATATCTTTGCCCTTTTTCCTCCTTAGGTTCAGACACCTGTTCTTTTAATGATCGGAGAGGAAGATAGACGTGTACCCCCCAAGCAAGGCTTGGAGTATTACCGTGCTCTCAAGGCCAAGGGTGTCCCAACCCGGTAAGCATAATAGGCAAACTTGGCAAATAATGCAAAGGAGCTGGCTGAAAGGAGCCTCTATAGGGACAAAGGGGTGGTGGTCAAGAGGCTAGAAATATATGCGACTGGGTCAGGAGGGGAGAATTGTGTGTGGGCAGAAGGTCTGGCAAGAGAGAGTGATGTGTAAAATAAATGCATTACACCTAATATATGTGTCTCTCTCTTTCTAGAATGCTGCTTTATCCGGGCAATAACCATTCACTCTCTGGTGTGGAGGCCGAGGCAGACGGTTTCATGAATATTGCACTCTGGCTGATCCAGCACCTGAAATGATGACTACAGAAGCTGGCCTACTCCTTTTGTAACCCGCTTCCATACTAATAAGCAGTGTGGCCAGCCGACATAATCCAAGGCACTTCAATTCCAAACAGCCACCATAGGGACTGGTTACTCTGGTATTCATGTCGTCCAGAACTTGAATAAGTACATGGCAGAGGTCACCTTCATCACACACTTTGTCAGATCTTGCCCTCTGATAAGTAGTTCCACCATAGCAGGTGGCTTATTTGGAGGTGTCAGGTGCTGGGTACTGACTTTTGAATCTCTGTCTTTAGCCTTAGTCTTTGGGGACAACAGGTGAACTACAAAGACTCCTGCTGCAAAAGTAAATAAAACACACCTGATTGTCTAAGACTGCTCGCTCCTGACTTTTGAGAGGCTGACTTGCAAAGTGTAATTCTTTATAGAGAATGGGAACAACTGGGGCTTGTCAACTACTGAGATACAAACTTTATTGGAGAGTACTGGATATTTTTTGAAGAAGAGATAACAGGACTAGCAATTAAAGGAAAAGAGGTAATTCACAAAGAGAATTTGTGAAATGTAATGCTCACCTATTGCTTTTGCTCTTCAGAACTCCTCCCATCCAGCTTATAGCTACAGATGTCACCAGAAACTAAATCCCAAACTGATCATAGTGCATATGAACCTCTCATACTGTGTTGTCTCAGGACAAATTCCTGCTTGACACTCTGCTATATCATTTTGCTCTTGTATATACAGGCACTATTTTCTCTGATGCTTCCTGATACATTATCATGGAAGCAGACTCTACAGTTGGTCTTTCTCTTGAGTAGAGGGGGAATTCAGAGACCCATTACCCTATCTGCTGCTGGTTTTTGTTGGGAACTGAGAGGTGGACTATCAATAGCCACCTTAAAATTCTTGTTATTTTCATTGGCTTTGTCCCATCCCTTGTCAATTTCCCCCTATTATTATTATTATTAAAAATGTCTATACCACCCGTCATCCAAGGATCACAGGGCAGTTTACAGCATAAAAACCTAAAACATAGTAACAAACAAAACAACACACGCCAGTTTAGAAGGCCATAGAATGTCTTGAATTCTTGAAAATACAAGTATTTATTCTTTATTTATCTATCCATTTAAGAAACCTTAAATGGAACAGGAGGACATCTGATATTAATGTACTTGAGTGTATCACTAATTACCACCATTCTTTTTAAATAACATCCCGTTAAAGTTCCTGTTCACCTGTTCCTTCAGTTCTGCTTTACATAATCCCCAAAGAAGCCAAAAACCTTCAAGACAGATTAGTTTGGTATTGTTAATACTTCCTGGGCTTTGAAGATGCTCAAACTCAGGATGAAAGGGAGAAACGTACTAAGAGGAAGGCACGTTTGGCAAACCCTCACCATGATCAACTCCTGCCCGGAAACCTATGCCCCCGCTGTGGAAGGACGTGTGGATCCAGAATTGGCCTCCACAGTCACTTACAGACTCACTGTTAAAACCATGTTTATGGAAGACCATCCTACTTGGCTACGAGTGATTGCCAAAGAATAAGAATACCTCCATTTGTAAGACAACCACTTTTGTCATGGGTTGGGAGCCTGTGGCTCTCCCATTGTCGTTGAACTCCAGCTCTCCTCACCCCCATCTATCATGGCCAATAGGTAGGGTGTCCCTGTAGGGGCCAAAGGTTCCTCATTGCTTTGTTAAGATAACTGCTTTGCATTTGTGCTGGGAGCCAAGTAACCAGATTTTGAATTCCTACTAAATAGAAGATAGTGTAGGATTAATCACGCCACAATTTCCCAGTATTTTTGCCATTTTCATTCCGAGGGCTTGGGTCAGATTAAAATGTATTTTGATTCTCATGCTGTGTTCCGTTGGTTAAATTGTCCACTTAGGCCAGTGAACAGAGCTACAATTTAACTTGAATCTCCTATATTCACAGCCTGCCTCCTGTATCCCACTGCTTTTTCAGCAGTGCTGCATAAGAGTAATTGGTTGCATCCTTTGCGTTCTCCATAGCCTGTAAATGAAAGTGTTGTAACAAATGAAATGTTGCCAAGAGACCGCTGCTGAAAGCACCACCCTGATCCCATCACCTTCCTTTAGTTCTGCTGCTGCTTCCAGGGGATTGACCTTCCGTTGAGAAAATGTCTTGAGGGAGATGCACACACCAGTATGACTTGTTAAATTGTGCGCAGTTGTGGTTGAGACAGCATGAGCTTATCTGATATATATATAACACCAGGTTCCCTCACAGCGGGGGACTATAGAATGGAGATTGGGGTCTGGGGCTAGGGGCTAGGAGCGAGTTCTATTCACAGTAGCTGGTGTTCGAGCGTCTGTGTAATTGCGTTCTTGCCACCTGTGCGGTTTCCCTTCCTTCATCACTTTGTGTTTTACTCTCGCCCTTCCAAGCACCTTGCGGCAGAGCAGCGTGTAAGCGTGGTTCTCACGTACCCAGCAACCCTGCAGGTCAGCTGAAGTGAGTGAATGGTTATGAGAAAAAGAAGCAGCAAAACTTTGTTGTTGGGGTTGCTTTTATTATGGGCAGGGAGACCCCGATACAGTCAGTTCTCAGAGATGGGGATCCTGCGCCTCTCACAGGGATCAGACACAGCACCGTCGATCCCTCAGCTGTGACGAACACAAGCCTCCCCTTCGCGTGTATCTTTAAGTTTAGTCGCCTGCCTGGAAACAAAGGAGCGGCGGGATCGGGGGCGAGAAAGGCCGCCACCCCTTCGGCTGGGCCTTCCCAGCAGGGATTTCGTGGGGGAACCGCGAGCAGAGGCCTGGCTCTGTCCCCGCCTCCTCTCCCCCATGGCCAATGGCTGTCGGCACCGCCCGCTTCCCGCCCGTGCGCTGTGGCCGCCCTGCTGTCCCGGGACAAGCGCCTCTCGGGCTGCTTCGGGGAAACTTTGCGGGGCTTCCAGGGCGATGGCTTCTAGAGCGGAGCGGGCGGAAGAGGCGGTGAGGCTGCGGAGCAGGGGAGGAGGGCGCTGGGGAGCAGGTGCCGCCGGGCAAGCGCCTCTATTTGCCCTGAAAGAACGCCGCCTCTTCTCTCCTTCTAGCCTCCAGCTGGGTCGGGTCCTCTGGGCGCCCTGTATCGGGAGCTGAGCCGGTTTCCCCGCGTGACTTATGCCAGTGTAGGAGTCGGGTTTGCTGCCTGCGGCGCCGCCGCCGAGTGCCTGCCCCTCTACACGGGTGAGCCAGTTGCGCGGGTTAGGCGCTCTCCTCTGCCGGACCCCACTTCAGAAGAGCCGAGGTTGTGTGGACAAGCCCAGTGGGAGGTTGGGCGGGCAGTTTCCCAACCCATTCTCTTTTCGACTGGCTTCAGCACTGCTCCATTAAAAACACTGTCACATGGAATTAAAGCAGTGAACAGCATGTTGCAAGTGACTCAAGCCCACGCTGGGGAATAGACTAGGTTTATAAACCCAGAGGGTCTTCTGCTGGTTTCCTCACTTCCAGAAGTGAAGTTACACAGGGACTTTCCTGTAGTGGCTCCCTCCCTGTGGGAACACCTTCCCTTCAGATGTCAAGGAAACAAACAACTACCTGACTTTTAGATGGCATCTGAAGGCAGCCATGTATCGAGAAGTTTTTAATGTTTGATGTTTTGTTATGTTTCAATATATGCTGTAAGCTGCCCAGAGTGGCTGGGGAATCCCAGCCAGATGGGTGGGGTATACATAATAAAATTATTATTGTCTATTGAATTTATATACTGCCCTATACCTGGTCTCAGGATGGTTCACAGAACAAAATCAAAATATACAATCACAAAATACACAATCAAAATAAAAGCCACCATTAGAAGTGTAGCTGTGCAGAGCAGTACTGCTGGTACTGTATACTGTTTAACTTGCTGGAGGATAAGTGAGGGTCTCACTTTGTAAATGCCATGGACAAGGGTTGTGGGGACGACGACGACTCTGAGGTGCAAATTTGGTATATGTATGGAGGTTATAAAGCTTGTGTATGGTGCTTTTTGAGTCTGGTTATATATATACCTGGTCCTTTGCTGTTAATCAACTGTTTTAAAAGCAAATATTAATATGCAGTGCCGTCCGCTTTGGGCATCTCAAACCCCGAGCCAGTTAAACATGGAGTTGCAGTGGCCTTCCATTTGAACTCTGTCACAGAGAGAGGTTGACATAAGACAGCCAGGACACCTCTTACTTGGTAGCAGATGAGAAAAATATTGGATTGCCCCTCTGTCTCTTGCCTGTTACACCTCTGGGATTAGAAGTCTCATGGCATGGAGGTCAGAAAACTAAGTTGCCTTTTCAACAACCTGCCTCCATTGGGGCCTTGTCTTAGGTCCGGAGGAGAGGAGTTGGCCCAGTCTTGTAGAAACTCTCAGGTGTGTTGTAATCATATGCACTGCAAAAAGCTGACTTCACTGTGTAAGAATAACACCATCCCAGCCCATACGTCTCAAGTTTGCAGTTACTTCCAAGTTAAAAGAAGATGTGTAATTTATTATCACATATGCTGAATGCAAGGGGGGTGGGGAGTGGCTGCCCCCTTTTTATATGGTAAAGTAAGAGACTTGTGTATAATGTCAAATTAGCAGCCAAATATTATAAGCAACATGATTTGAGACTGTGGTTAAAAAAGCAATGTGCTATCAGGCCTTGCAGCATCTCATGGCAACTGACAGTTTTCCTGCAGTGAAAGAGATGTTTAGGATGGGTTGTCACTGCCCTCTTGCTCTACTGGCAGGAAGTCGAATCCTCCAGGAGGGATTACCTGAGTGGGCTGGGCAACCTCTTTCAATATGCTAATATTCAAGCCTGAATAAACTCTTGAGAACTATGATCAGTAATGTGGCAACCAAGAGCTGTAAGGGAGGAAAGCTTAATGGGCTGGATTGTAACAGTAGGTAAGAAATGAAGATAAGAGAGATGGCCATATAGATAGGGAAATGAGAGAGGGAAACCCCTCTCCAGAGTGCAGGATAAGGACCCCTGTTTTAAGTATGCTGACGGTACTCATCTTTATACACCTGGCTATGGCTGATCCTAGTACCTGCAGTAGCAAAATATTACAACAGAGCAGGCCAACACCCCTTCTCATTGCAGAAAAAGAGCTTAACACAAAGTCCAACATTCTCTTTTCCTTCAGTGGAGGAGGGGAGTCTAGGATGAGTTTGGGTGCAAACTATGTCCCTGTAACCTGAAGGAAGCCTTTGCTGACACATATTTGCCCAGAGGCAGCTCTGGTAGAGGTGGCAGCTCTGCAAATCTGCCCTAGGACAGCCTTGGTCCCAAATGTGGCAGGTGCTGCTGCACTTCTGGTGAAGTGTGCTGTGATGCTCTGGTGTCCTTGCCTTGAACAGAGCCCTCCAAACCCTCCAAAAATATTGAAAAAGTTGCTATCTCAATATTTCCCATTAGTTTCCTCTGTCACACAGAAAAATAAGTATATTTCCACTTTTGCTGCTCTGCCTGGTGTTGCTGAGAGTGGAAATCCAGGCAGTTGGGTCTTGAGCATATGTAGAAGTTAGGTCCCAGTCCCACTCAGTGAGGCTGTTAAGATGAAGCTGCAAAGTTGGCCAAGAATCTCACAGCCTAATTTGTATCTAATGCTAATGATTTCCAGCTATCTGTAGAATGTCAAGTGTCTGTTCTCAGTTAGAAAAATGTCACTTATGCTGAATTTGCAGCATGAAAGAGGATAACTGCTTTATGTGTGACCTCTAAACAATGATAAGCAAAAATGTCTCTTGAAATTACCAATTCCAAAAGTCTTCACTGAGACCCGTTACTCATTCTGTTTACTTGCAATTTCAGTTCTGATGAGCTGCACTTTCCCTAAATGTCTCTAAACACAGTTAACTGTCATCTCTCACAAGATTAATTCTGGTATAACACATTCTCAACTCCTTTATTGCTGGATGAGGTGCTCTTTCTCCCGGTAGCTCTACGATCAGTTTTCCATTTCTGAACTCTGGTTATCTTAATCATGGTGTCTTGGAGCAGAATCGGTGTCTCTGTCTTGCTGGCTTTCTGGACTTTGTGCTTCCCACAGATTTCCACATAAAATTCAGAAACAGCAGTACTACACACTGGGATGGGAGATTCCAAGGCTCAGATACCCGGTCTTACCTCCCTCCTTTCCTGCAGAGTGGTGCCAGCCTGACCTGGGGCGCCGTCAGAAGCTGCATTTCAGCCGTCAGTATATCCTACACCACAATAGCAGAGCAATTGTCTCCGTTACTCCTGTTGGCGTTCCAGCTGAGATCCGGGACCAGTACGTAGAACATCCAGTTGCCCTTAGCATACCTAACCATGCTTTAGAAATTCAATCCAGACTTGGATTGGGATAACCTGGCACAAGATAAAATATAAACCAGAGTAAGGATAATCAACTTCTCCCAAGGAACCAAGATAGGTTAGAATGGGTTGTTTTCAAGGGGGTGCTTTAAGAGAACATAACTTTTTTTGCCTTGGTGACAAATTGTGCTACCCTATTACTGTCAACTGTAACTGGCATCAGTTTCCGCAAGTCATAGGCTAAGATCCTTCTTTGTGCAACCTGAAAGTCTTCTACTGGGAGTGATGGGAATCATAGGACTGTAGATAAACTATTTAGCTCCAGGTTGGAGGGTTTTCCTTAAAGCAGATGGAAATAAATGGGCTTTAACCAAATGACCTATCTATTGGTTTACTTGCACAGACTTTATGCTTTGTTTTGGGGGCAGTTATGCAACAATGAATGCTCATCCTGACTTGACTTTGGGTTGTTTATATATCATCCTGTCAATTTGCTCGTCCCATACTTTGTGATGTTAGGAAAGTGACAGGGAAATGAATTTCAAAGTCCTTCAGAAAAAAGTGGATTTGTTGCGCTAAGGTAACAGAGTGCTTTAACCTACTTGAATTGTGCACACCTAAAGTTTTGGTGTGTGCTTGAATCCCTCCTGAAAAACACTAATGGCCTTTGGGGGGGGGGATGGGAGTAGGGTGTCCTTTGGTTTTAAATACCTCTCAGAGCTGGCTCTGCTGCTCATGTTGTCCCTATCTCCTGTGCCACAGACTGCTGATCAGAATGTCACCTACTGGGATGCATAAGGCTGTTTTCACCCATCACTTGGAAATGGGGCAGAAGCAGGAAGTGATAGAGGTAAAATGGTGTTTGTGCGTGACAGTAAAGTGCATGCTAGCTAGCAAATACCCGTCACACCTAGAGAGCAAGGATGGTGCTGCAAAGACTTATTAAATGCTTTGTGTAGAAAGAGTTAGGAATAGTGTTGCTGCACCCAGGTATGTGTATTTGGAATTTTGTAGGAATATACTTTTACAATACTGTATACAGCCATCTACTTGTGGGCTATTATTATCTGCATTGTAAAATATTGTGGTTTTAAAATAAAAAATAATAATTTTGGTTTGGAGAATTTGGTGGGTTGTTTTATTATTGCTGGTTCACTGGGGGTGTTTTGTAGAAATAACCTAGTATTTTACATTTTAAAATTGATGCTGTTGTATTATTTAGTTATATTTTATAATGTAAACTGCTTTGAAAGAGTTGTTCTCAGGAAGGCAATCTATAAATATTTTAAATAGACATAAATAGTCAAAGCTAGTTACTACAGGCCTCTGGATATAACAGAATAACTTCATAATTGCCTTTTTGTTAACATGAAATCTGAGATTCAGCCACGGATGAGAAGGAAGGAAGTCTGCAGTATTATGTGTGAAACATCTAGGGAATCTGCCTTTATGGGGATACATAGGCTGACAAAAGGTGAGGGATTACATGCACAGTCCCTTGGGACTGGTATCACTGGGCACATGTCTCTTAAAATCTGGCACTGCCCTCCCTCACCTCTTCAGCTCCCCCATCTTTTTCAGTCCTAGCAGTGGAGTCAGGGAAGAAAGTGGTTATGGTGCTTGAGGAAATGTAGCAGGCCTGTTGCATGGTAGTGGTGGGCATTGGCTCTTGCTGATTTCTGTTTCTCAGCAGGTCTGGAGCAAGAGTGGAAGGGTGAGAAGCATTAATCTCACAGCACTGGATAAACATGGCAGAGTATACACAGATGGTAAGGGCAAAAGAAGTGGGCTTGGCTGTATGCTGCTACTCTGCAGGCAAAGCAAGTGATGTTCCCTCAGTCCTGTGTGCCCTGCTCTCTCCCAGCACAACACTTGCTCATGCTTCTTCCTATTAACATCCTCTCCCTAACGCCAAAGGAGAATTTGGTTATCCTACGCTATATTCTTTCCTCTTTCACTGCCCTTTCAGGCATCTCTGGCTGGCATTCTTAAAAGGTCCTCCCTAACTCTCACTGGAACGAGGTTTTCAGATCTTAGTGAAAAGGCTAGGCTGAACTGCTTTGGTGAATGTCACACTAGCCATGCACCTAGGTCACAAAGCACACACGCCTTTACATGTTTCTGCCTGTGAAAACAGTCTGAGGTAGAATTCTGGTGAGGCCACATTCATATTTAAATATGCAGCACAATTTGAGACCCGGTCTATGCTACTTGAGATTTCACTTTTTCAAATCACAGATTTCACATTTAGATAGCAAATCCTGAGCTCTTTGCATCTTTAGCATCAAACTTCCACACAAAGGGGGAGCTTGCTTTTTAGGCACAATGAACAATTATAACTCCACAAGTAGAGTAGGACTATCTTTGGCTGATATTTACACACTGTTTAGTAACTTGTGGCTTTTCTCAGGTACAGATTCAACCAAATAGTTGCATCAGCAGTGCAACAAGTCCTGCCGATGCAATGGGGCTTCCTCCCCCCCATGCAATGGCTTTGGGGAAATATCAGATCAGTCAGTCAACCTGTTACCCATAGTTGTGTGCTCAGCATTATGAACTGCTTCTTTTCCCACTTGCGTTCTGCTTTAGTGAGAGGGGTCAGCCTTTACCTTTACCTTTAAGGAAGATCATTACCTATTTTCCTATCTGACCTTATGCCACCAGAGCAGTTTGGGTGTTTTGCCTGGTCCAGTTCAGAAACACAGATCCTTTATGTTGCTGAGAGAAGACGCCCCAAAAGGCAACCACTTTTCCCTCAAAGCAGGTCCCCCCCAGGAGAGGAGCCAGGTGAAACAAGAAAGGTATCTACTTTTTATTATTTGGCATTGAGATGCTTATACTATGCCACATGCTTTACCATCTTTATTCTGTCATAGAATCAGAATTGTAGAGCTGGAAGGGGTACCAAGGGTCATCTTGTCCACCCCCTGCAATGCAGTAATATCAACTGCAGCATCCATAAGAGATGGTCATCCAACCTCTGCTTAAAAACTTCCAAGGAAGGAGAGTCCACCACCTCTCAAGGGAGTCTGTTCAGCTGTTGAAGAGCTCTTACTGTCAGAAAGCTCTTTCTGATGTTTAGTTGGAATCTCCTTTCTTGTAACTTGAGTCCATTGGTCTGGCTGCTACCCTTTGGAGCAGGAGAAAAGAAGCTTGCTCCATGTTCATGGGACAGCCCTTTAGACATTTGAAGTTGGCTATCATATCTCCTATCAGTCTCCTCTTATTCAGGCTAAGCACACCCAACTCCCTTAACTGTTCCTCATAAGGCTTGGTTTCCTGATGCTTGATCATTTTGGTCGCCCTCCTCTGCACACATTCCAACTATTAAATATCCTTCTTAAATTGTTGTGCTCCAAACTGGACACAGTATTCCAAGTGTGGTCTGACTAAGGCAGAATAGAATGGTACTATTACTTCCCTTGATCTGGACACTATACGTCTGTTGATGCAGCCTAAAAGAGCATTACCTTTTTTTTTTTTTTTGCTGGTGCATCTCACTGTTTAGCTTGTGGTCTACTAAGAACCCTAGATCCTTTTCACATGTACTGATGGCAAGCCTGATGTCCCTCATTTTCTATTTGTGCAGCTGGTGTTCCTGCCTAATTGCAGAACCTTATATTTGTCCCTATTGAAATTAGTTTTGTTCATTTTCTTAGTTTGAACCCAGTTCTCCAATATGTTAAATTGGAAAATAGGGACACTTGGATGGTCTGAAATAGTCACATTTGACTTCAAAAGAGGACCAGTGGTCAGGGATGATGGGAGTTGTAGTCCAACAACAGCTGAGGATTCAAGTTTAAGAAACACTGGCTTAGAGAATAGTTTGTGGATTAAAATTGCAGATAAGGTCGTGCTTATGGAGGCATAACTGCAGAGGCTGTCTGCAGAAAATTCTGGTGAGTGAAAAAAGCCTTTGCATGACATTGAGGTCTACATGTCTTTCTCATGGGAAACTCTATACCTGTATTCCTGAAGGAGCGTCTCCACCCCCAGCATTCAGCCCGGACACTGAGATCCAGCACCAAGGGCCTTCTGGCGGTTCCCTCACTGCGAGAAGTGAGGTTACAGGGAACCAGGCAGAGGGCCTTCTCGGTAGGGGCGCCCACCCTGTGGAACGCCCTCCCATCAGATTTCAAGGAAATAAATAACTATCTGATTTTAGAGGACATATGAAGGCAGCCCTGTTTAGGGAAGGTTTTAATATTTGATGTTTTTTCATATTATTATTATTATTATTATTCTGTTGGGAGCCGCCCAGAGTGGCTGGGGAAACCTAGCCAGATGGGCGGGGTATAAATTGCTGCTGCTGTTGTTGTTGTTGTTGTTGTTGTGTTTGTTGTTGTTAATTATTATTTGGATCAGGAATCTTCACAAGACCTTCCCCTCTGCTTTTTTCCTAGGAGGAGCACTTTGTATACTATGACAATTGGGGAGAAGCACTGAGTGATAAAAGCTTCCCTGTCTTGTGCCTGGTGAATGTTGAAACCAGTGAAGTTTCAGTGCTAGAGGGCATCCCAGGGCATATCTCACCTGGACAGGTTAGTGCAATGCAGCATGGGAATTTAATGGGACACTCCTCAAGCCACCATGGATTGCAAGCATTTCAGAATAATGAAGCAAGATTTAAATTAATAAAATGGGAGGAGGAAGTCTCTGACCCATTAGCTTTATTTGGCTTGCAGAAGAATGCATGAAGCGGTCATGCTAGGTGTCCTGGGTCCTAGAGGTGGTTCTGAGCTCACAAATTGTATTTCTCTTTATGATTCTTGCACTTTTTGCACCCTTAGCTTTTGAATAGTGTTGAACTGAACAAGGGAATCCGACAGTGGCTTTCCATATCCTCCTAGAAGGTGCTTTTTCAGAGCCAACTTTCCCTCAGCCCAGAAAGAGGCTTCCATGTACAGGCAAAAAGAGGCAAACCATCTCCCAACCCATCCTGTTGCCTATTGCATTGCCTGTTGCAGTTGACGATCTGTTTGGTACAGGATGCTGTCACATTCGCTCCCGACTTAAATGTAGAAGTTCACATCTTCTCTGTTTCATGCAAAAAGCACCTTTGCAATGGGTGGAACCATGCATACTGCTAAAATTTTAAAGGTAGAAAGTTGCTGTTTAAATAAATTGGTGCTGGAGTACAGAGGTTTATTCATTTGTGCAACATCAGTTCAAGTACTAGAGGCTGGAGCTCAGCAGAAGCCTGCTGGAGAAAATGCTGCTTTCTCAGATCCATCACCTGACCCTTCATCATGTGCAGAGGCAGATACATACCTCCCATGCTTTCTGCTTCCAAACATTTGTAACAGTAAATTAGTCTGCTGCCTGCAGAGCCCTGATGATTGGAACATCTCCCAGTAAACAGCCTTGTTGCATTTCAGCCGCTGCAGCAGCATTCTGCAAATCTTACGGGGAGACAAAGTTTAGCCCATGGTGCAGCACACCCAGATGTGAATGGCTAATATTTTGCTTTTGCTTCCCTGGCCAGGCCCTGTGGTCCCCAGACGACAAAGGTATACTGTTCGTTGGCTGGTGGCACGAGCCCTTCAGACTGGGTTTGAATGCTTGCTCCAACAGAAGGTAAGCAAGTCACTCTTAAGTGTGAAACCATGGATTAAGCAGGACCAGCCACTGCCTCAGGGAAAATTATGAGGACAACATTTTGCTCAGTTTAGAGGAAAAAAATAAAACAAAAGGGGGGGGAATACATGTCCTGAACAATAATGAGATCTTAGTCAGTGATCTTGGTGATCATTTCTAAAATGTAGAATCGGCAGAAGTGATATTCTTGGGTTTGGAAGGAGCCAAATGGGTTATTTGTTAGTCCAGCTCCACCCCTGTCCTTCCTAAAATAGTATAGACTATATCTAAATGATTCCTGATGGGTGCCAGCCCATATTTTCCTTGGTGAAAACCTCCAGGGAAATGCATTCTGCTTCTCTAAAGTAGCCTGTCCCACACACAAAAAATATATATAAATAACTTTGAAGGTTTTCCTAAATCAGTGGAAGGTGGAAGGGAAAACCTCTAGATCCTCAGCTTCACTATATTTTAAGTGCGGAGTGTGAAAATTTAATCCTATAGTTACTAGCATTTAATTCATCATGGGGTGGGTGGGCGGGTGAAAAACCTGGTCCCTGTTGGAGACGTCTCACCCATTCCCCTCTCCCTGCCATAGGTCAGCCCTTTTCCTCTTCGATCTCTCTGAAAGTAGCTGCGGTAAGTCATCTTGGAAGCAGCTTATCTCTTGTCTCTCCATGCAGCATCTTTCCTTCCCATATTTTTCCAACAATGGTGGGGGTGGGGTGTACCTGTAGCTTCTCAGTCACTTGGAGCCCTGGGTGGATTTCCTGACCGTGACAAATGTTTGCACAGTTGGTCAGGGCTATCACATTCAAATATGTCAAGGATTCTTTGTTGTAACTTCACAAATGGACACATTTCAGCAGAAACAACTTTTCCTGCCTTAGTACTGCAAAGAAAGAGCAACAGTGACTGCCAAATTTACAATCTGTGTGTATCTGCAAGCCAGAAGAGCCCAGTCTTCCATAGAATTCTGCAGCCCAGCAGAATCTCGGTTTTGCAGCTTAGTTTGCCTTTTGTAAAGGAGCTTAAAAATGCCCAGAGATATGGCCTTCTAATGTTTCAGCAATCAGACATGTGGTTTGCATGGCCGGATTTAGGTGTGATGAGGCCCTAAGCTACTGAAGGTAATGGTGCCCTTTATATGTCCAGCTGTCCTTTGTCAACAACAAATTGTCGCTGTTTTTTGTGTTGAATATATTCTATATGGTAATTTATGGACCTAATAGGTCCATACACAACACAAAACACTGTTGCTGTATGTAGGTTTTATTTTATTTGTTTTTTTATCTTCTATTTTGGAAATGTACATCCAGATTTTTTTTCTTTACATTTCTTTTGGGGGGGGCAAGAGAGTGGGGCCCTAAACTATAGCTTGTTTAGCTTATACATAAATCTGGCACTGCCTTTACAGGTTACTAGTTTCAAACTTACTTTGCTTTCCAAAGATGTCTATAGTTTCTTCAGTCACTATTGCTCCTTTCTTATATGTTTTATTTTTTTTCAAAATGTGAGTAAAGAAGCGCTGTCAGAAGAAACCTCAGAGGTAAATTTACAGGGACTTTTCAGAAAAGGAATTTTTCCACTGTTAAGGTTTTTCTAATTTCATCACCTGGGGACTTCTGGCCAATTGCCTTTATGAGATGGGTCTGTATGTCGTGATACTGCATTGTGTCTGTGGTTGCAGAGTTGCTGTCCTCAGATTCCGAGGCTGTTTCCTCTCCCCGGCTCAGCCCTGATGGAACTCGCCTGCTATACCTTGAGTGCCCTGTATTTGGGCCTCATCGCCAGTGTCTGAAGCTACAGATGGTAAGTGTGGCGCTTCTGGTAGGTAGTTTCTTGGAAGAGAAGGGACTGTGGGTGCAGGCAGGTCATAATAGCAAAGGAACTGTGGAATTTGAAATGAGTATGCAACAACAACAAAAAACATTTAGAGAGTAGAAAAGCTGAGTTCAACATGGCCTTATTATAAGAAGTTAAAATGATATAGTTCTTAAATGCAACTAATTCTGATTGCAGAATTAAAACATTGTAGAATTTAGCATTTATTGAAAGATGCTGTAAGGGAGATTAGCTTGGAATCGACTACTGAAAAGATGCAGAGCAACTGTTCTGTGGGATTCAGTGGAGGAGGAGTGTGAAGTTTGCTGCTTTGTATTCATTACCTGATTTTTTTCCCTCCTGCTTAGCTCAACTGGCAAACTAAACTCACATCTACAGTGGTGGACATAGTCAGGACTGCCACATCTGGTAAGTCTCAATTTCAGAGACGGAGCATGCAAAATTAGAGTTGCTTTTTTATCGCCTTGCCTCTTTAGTTCATACATGTCCTACCACCCAGCTCCTGCTACCACATACAAAAAGAATGCTAAGGCTTGCTTTTGTTACCCAAAAATGGAGAGTCCTGCAGTCAGCCATATACCTCCATATACACCGTATTCCACACAGTGTCTTTTTATAATATCTGTTTGATGCTGTTCTCCAACATTTCTCCAAAGCTCCAGACTTCAGCCATGTTTTACTTTAACCATTTTCTCCCATTTCAGGGTTTTTTGGGATTTACTCAGGGGCACTGCCTCTGCTTTGTTGGGCTGCTGACAACCATAGAGTCCTGCTTAGCACTCCTCAAAGGAGTAGAAAGGTATGCTGAGACCAGAAGGGAAGACTTTGGGGTGTGAAGATGGTGTACCAACGAAAGTTTGCAAATGCTTTCCACCAGTCCTGAGAACTTGCAGGATGTATAGGAAGATGTTCAGGTTTATGTAGTGTGAATGCAAAACAATTGGCTTCATAGAAAGTGTGTGTGTGTGTGTGTGTGTGTTTTCATATATTTGTCTTCCACCAATAACCTCAGAACAGAGCTTTAAGACTCACAACAATCTTTATGATGTTGGTTGGGTTTAAATATTGTCGTGACCTGCTCAGTGAGCTTTGTATTTAAACAGGGATTTGATCTTGGCTTCTCCATGTCCTAATAAAGCACTTTTGCCACTCAGACACACATTTCAGAAATGTAAGAGCCAAGCTTTAATTACAGCTGGGGAACGTGAACCATGTGTACTGAACCTGAAAAGGCTCATGAGGGTGTAAAAAGTATCTGTTGGAAATCAGAGATGAAGAAACTGTGATTGAGAAGCTGGCATACAGGAGGCCTCAAGGCAGCAGTGGCTTTACTTCCCTCACTGCCTTAGACAGACAGGAGCATGGGATCAAACTTGGAACTAATTTGCCAGTTCCTGAGCATCCTCCCCAGTTCCTTCCCTGCCTTAGCTAGGAACTGAGCCCCTAGTCTTTCTCTAGTCTTGGATTACTTCAGAGGCAGCAAAAGTTGTGTCCTCCGGATGCTGCTGGACTCACATCATCCCTGAATACAGTCATACCTTGGTTCTCGAACAGCTTAGTTGACAAACAAATTGGCTCCCAGACGCCGAAAACCCGGAAGTAAGTGTTCCGGTTTTTGAACGTTTTTCAGAAGCTGAACGTCCGACGCTAATTCCACTTGAGTGCAGGAAGCTCCTGCAGCCAATCGGAAGCTGTGCCTTGGTTTTCAAACAGTTTCAGGAGTCGGATGGATTTCCGGAACGGATTAAGTTCGAGAACCAAGTTTCCACTGTATGCTGGCTGGGGCTGATGGAAGTTGGAGTTAACACTATTTGGAGCGTTACATTTCTTCAAGTGGCTACAGCACATTTCCCCCCGGGATTACACAATAGATTTTGGACATACTGTGGTTCCAATCTGCGTCGTTCCTGCCTCAGAAGGATGTTCTCTGCCTTTCTTGTTCTCTGTGCTTTGACTCTCCATCAGGATACAGAACTGGGGATACAGAACTGGCCTTAGGACCTTGCTAGTTAGTGCAAAGTTTGATCACGTATCCCTGCCTTTGGTGACTGGGTTAACACACACAATGGTGCCCCGCAAGACGAATGCCTCGCAAGACGAAAAACTCGCTAGACGAAAGGGTTTTGCGTTTTTTGAGTCGTTCCGCAAGACGAATTTCCCTATGAGCTTGCTTCGCAAGACGAAACGTCTTGCGAGTTCTTGCGAGTTTGTTTCCTTTTTCTTAAAGCCGCTAAGCCGTTAATAGCCGCTAAGCCGCTAATAGCTGTGCTTTGCAAGACGAAGAAACCGCAAGACGAAGAGACTCGCGGAACGGATTAATTTCATCTTGCGAGGCACCACTGTAGTTATTTGGAGGCTTCTTGCACACCCACTGACAGGAGCCTTTGTGGTAGGTGGCCAGTGTTCCAAAAATATTCTCTGAGATTATGTATGAGTGGGGGGAGGAAAGTGAGAAAAAGCTTTTTTCCCATTATTAAGTTTCCATGGGCTCTTGTAACAGAGCTGCCGCTTTCCCAGCCCTCACTTTCCTTCCTTTATTATCTCTTGCAGGAGCTGCTGGTTGTGGATACTGAGCTGGGGAGTGTGAAGGCTGTTACAGAAGGTACAATCAAATCTTAGCTTGCAAAGTCCAGGGGCCGTATTGTGTTTGCTGAGATCTGTCCCAAAGACCAGGCACGTTAATTGAGAAGTCTCCCATATCCTGTATTTCTGCCCATTTCCGAGATCTCGGGGAAAAGGAAGGGGCTAGAAGGCTACAGCCAAGCTCTTCCACTTCCTGTATGCTGGCTTACATTCTCAACAAGAGGCAGCCACTAGTAATCCATGCCAGATCTAGTTCCCTTTCTTTATAAGGGGTCTTTTTTTGAGGCAAATGAAGCTAGAATATTGGTGCTAGACTACTACTTCTGTTCATTGTGTACCTGTTTTTTATATGTGTATAGAACTGGCCTCAGCTACATTTCGCATCATTCCTTGCTGGGGCCAAAAAGCCTCCTGAGTGTTGCTTGCTTGCTTGTTCTCCTATGAGGCAGCCAGCATTCCGTTACGTCTGTAGTTGTAACCCATTAATCGTGTGGCACCTAGATGTTTTCCATTGAGATTATGATCCCAATGTGGGGTCCCACTGAGATTGGATACGAATGTGCCCTTGAGATACATCAGTAAAAAGTTCTGGCGGATCCTTCTATGCTGTTCAGGATGAGAAGGAATTCTGTGATCCTCTGAGTAGGCTTCTTTGCTTTATGCTTCAGCTCCCAGGGGACTCTTTCAGAGAGTTGGGCCTTTCATCACTTGCTCCATTCAGAACATGGTTCCTGTTAGATGTTAGTAGCTGCTCCTTGCTCCCCCGTATTACTTGGGTATGCAACTGCTCATCTAATTTCATCAATAAAACCAGTTCTCCTCTTTCCCCATTCCCTGTGTGAACATTTGCATTTTAATATCTTAATTTCATTTCATTTTTGAGGATTATGCCCACCCCCTCTCCAGGGAAAGAGCACCCTCCTCCTTCTCTTCTTCTTCTTCTTCTTCTTCTTCTTCTTCTTCTTCTTCGATCACTCATAGCCGAGTAAGATTGTCTTCAATGAACACCGTATTAACAGTGAGTCCATAAGTGATTGTGAAGCCCAATTTTGGATCCGCCCATCCTACCACAGTGGGGACATAGGTCTCCGGGCAGGAGTTGATCATGGTGAGAGTTTGACAAACATGCCTTCCTCTTAGCATGTTTCTCCCTTTCGTCCTGAGTTCAAGTGTCTTCAAAGCCCATGACACCTTTGGTAAAGGCTGTTCTTCAAATGGAGCACTCACAGGCCACTGTTCACCAGTTGTCGGTGTTTATACTACAGTTTTTTAGATTTGCCTACCTACCTACCCACTCTATTCTCTTTCCCCCTTTAAATAAGCAAAGAGCAATGTAGCAGGGAGACATTTTCTTTCAAAGCCAGGTGCTTTCTTTCCCTCCTCCTTCTCCCCTCCTTCCCAAGTCATAGCTGATCTGTTGAGTCACTCACTGACAGCCCCAATAACTCCTAAGCAGTACTCTCTGTAATCCGTCCCAGGCACTCCAGAAGGTAGCTGGACCCTGCTGGGAATTCAGCAGGATCTCCTGGTGGTGAGCTGCTCATCTCCCAATTGCCCTCCAAGCCTGGTAAGAAACTTACCTTGCAGGTCAAGGTGTGGGTTGCTTCACCCTCCAATCCCCTCTCCATTATTTCTAGGGGAACCTGATAAAATTGGCAGGTGCCGGAGTGAGCTTTCATACTGTGCTCTTTTTCACAATGCTTGTATGTGAATTTTAAGCAAGGCTGTAGCCAAAAAACCCAATGTGAATGTTTCTTTAGCGTGACTATTTAGCTTTGTTCAAACCACAGATATGCCTCTGTAGCCCTCCAGATGTTGTTGGACTCCAACTCCCATCAGCCCCAGTCAGCATGGCCAGTTATCAGGGATGCTGGGATTTGCACTCCAACAACATCTGGAGGGTCATAGATTTCCCATTCCTGATTTTCACACTGGCCTAGTTCACACTGAGCCATGGTTTGTTTGCTAGCAGCAAATCACAGTGTGAAACCAAGGTTTATTTCTGGCTTAGGAGTAATGGTTTGTTATATCTGTGGTTGGTGCTATGTCCATATTAGGCAGCCTTACTTAACCATGGTTTATTTGGCCACTTCACCCATATCCTCAACAGGCTACAGAGGAATTGAGGAGAGAATAGCCGGAAAACAAACCAAGCTTTAAAAAGCTGTGGATTGTTTGCTCATATGTGAGATGATATGTGGTTTGTTGAACAAATTGTGGCCAATACAAATTATGGTTTAGCATTACATTTTAATGTGGTCACTGTATATAGCAACACAGAAACAGTAAGCAATGTCATCTCGGGAATACCTTCAGAAAGAAAGAGAGCCAGTGTGGTGTAGTGGTTAAGAGCGATAGTCTCGTAATCTGGGGAACCGGGTTCGCGTCTCCGCTCCTCCACATGCAGCTGCTGGGTGACCTTGGGCCAGTCACACGTCTTTGAAGTCTCTCAGCCCCACTCACCTCACAGAGTGTTTGTTGTGGGGGAGGAAGGGAAAGGAGAATGTTAGCCGCTTTGAGACTCCTTAAAGGGAGTGAAAGGCGGGATATCAAATCCAAACTCTTCTTCTTCTTCAGCCCAAGCCCTGGAGCCCATCAGCCTTGTGCTGGGAATAAAAGCTCATTCATGATTTGTGCTAATTATAGTTAAGACACCATAGGCAAACCATGGTTTGAGCTGCTTGTTTGCTTTAGTTTTCTTTTTGCTCAGCACTCATTTCTCCTTGAAACAATTGGCTCCAGAGGTAGAGTAACATCCATAATTGAAGTTTATGAATTCTGGCAAACTATGGTTTGATATCTTGGTTTGGCAGCTTATCACAAACACTTACTTTTGAAATAATACAAGTTCAGCCATAAAACAAGCCATGATTTGCACTTACAAACCATGGTTTGGCATGTCAGTTGAATATATCCTTAGTGGAACAAACAGTTGTGTAAATTCCCTTGTGGATTGCAACAAATGCAGACTCCATCGAAGATAGATATTTGAGGACAAAGCTAGTGCTATATAGGCTACTTGCAACGCTAAGAGATCTCGTGCAGCACACTGTTTGGTCCTTCAGGTTAGGTAACAAACTATTATACCTGCTTCGCAGAAGGTAGGAGTGCTTCCCCCTGCAGGATGTGAGCTGGAACTGCAGTGGACGAGTGTGGAGGAAGCCTCTGAACTGCCAGATATGGAATGGAAGATTCTCACAGTACATCCTCCCATGACTGAGGACAACCAGTACAGTAAGGATGCAGGAACAGGGAGCCTCAGGCCAGGCACTTGACTCACTCTCTCACACGCACTGTTGGTTGTGCTTTACTCTGTACTATGCAGTAAGTCTGTCTTAAGTGGGACTAGGTTTGGCTGTCTGGGACAGCCTGGCTTATGGGAATGGTCAGGGCTCCTGCATAGGTGAGGTGCATTCTTCATTAATTCATTTTGTGTGTTGTTTTTTTAAAAAATCTAACTAAAGAGTAATCTGAGCTTGGTGTAGAAATTGGGGATAGATTCATCACCTTGCCCTGAGTGCTGGGACAGCCCAAACAGAGTTAAATAGGATGAATGGAATGAAAGAGTTCAGCATTGGGTAGCCTGGATTCTTCATCCATAGTGTCACTGTAATGTTTGAAGCAGAGGAAAATTGGGAAGGACATTGCACTGATGGTCCTTCGTAACATAAGTTAAAGTCTTAAGGCAGGCATCCCCAAACTTGGCCCTCCAGATGTTTTGGGACTACAGTTCCCATCATCCCTGACCACTTGTCCTGCTAGCTAGGGATGGTGGGAGTTGTTGTTCCAAAACATCTTGAGGGCCGAGTTTGGGGGTGCCTGTCTTAAGGCCTTCTTTTGCATTTGGGGCCCTGAGCAGGAGGAGGTGCTAGGTGGAGGAGGAGGGGTGCCTGTAAAGCCCTGGGGTTGCAGGTTGACTCCCCCAGGGTAGTGAAGTTTGAAAAATGGCACTCAGCAGCAAATAGCTAACGTGTGGCCTTTTTTGCAGCTGGCCAGGCATTTGAAGCCCTGTTGCTGACTCCTCGGGGGAACAAACGAGGAGAAAAGACATTTCCCCTTATTGTTTCTCCACATGGTAAGTCACCACAGCTCTTTTCTGCTGCCTGCCCTGACAGCTGGCCCCATCCTTCTTTGCTTCCTTCTCGTCGTTCTGTTAGGACCCTATCTAAGGTGATCATTTTACATTTTTTCCTATGAGAGCAGAAATCTTAAGACTGAATTCTGGAATGTAAAGAGGGCATTTCCAACCTGTTGCCTATTTTCTTATTTCCTGAACACAAACTTCTCAGCTGCCGATTGTGAAGGGGGTATATGACAGATCGGTGGTGCCTTGACTTCTCTGAACTCTTCCCCCAAATTGGGAGATGTCCTTTAAAGCTGACATTCTGTTTCCAGGTGGCCCGCATGCTGTCTTTGATGCTTGTTGGCGTCCTAAAATGGCAAGTCTCTGCCAGTTGGGTTTTGCTGTGCTCATGGGTGAGTGCCAGAAGACCCCTGTCTCCCAAACCCACATACACTCCTTGCTGCTGCTCCTGAGGGCTTGGCAAGAGTGCCAGCACATGCATTTTACTGTGTGTCTAACAATCCAGTGTACAGTTGTGTATTGGATGGGAGAAGGATGCCTTGCTGAAAAAGAATAGCCATTTGACTTCTTGAAGGATGTCCTCAGATTTCCAGTTTCCTCTCAGCCCTCCCACCTGCCCCCCTTGAGAAAAAAATGCCACGAACAAGCCGGGAAGTTATTTCCAGGTCTAGCCTTTTTCTGATTTATTCTTACTCCTTGAGAAATGACTTTGCTTGAGAAATACCTCACAGGTTTAGTATGCATTGTGACAAAAAGAGGGTGAGATTGTCTTGGTGTGTCCTAGCAGAAGTTGGGAAACAGAACAAGAAATTCCCTGTCAAATGGCCCTGAAGGGGTTTTATGTGTGTGAGAAGACAGTGGAGCCTCATTTGACCTAAAGCTAAGGGTATGCAGAGGCAGAATTTTCTGTACTCTGCAACCCAGGCAATGGCTTGCAATTCAGTTTCTAGGCAGCACTTAAGCCAGTTTCCTGGTTCAAATATTATGGCGAACTGGGACTTACCTGGAAACCAGGAAATCCGCTCTCAAGCCAGACATGTGCCAGGAGTAGAGAAGCGCTTGAGGTGAGTGCTTGTTTCCATTCCAACAAATCAGTTTATTGTAATGGCAACATTATGTCTAAACTGGACCAACGATATCCAGTAATTGTGCCATAGGAAACTGAAAGCAGGATATTGTCTTGCATGTGGTTTGTAACACTTCATATTCAAACATAAGTGTTCCCTGCGCTGCATGTTCCCTGTGCCAAGCACACCTCAGGGGAGCAGGAAAGCCCTGAATGTCCCTTGAGGACATAACAACTCACACTTTGCTTTGCCTTTTTTCTGGGCAGTGAATTACAGGGGTTCCCTGGGCTTTGGGCAAGCCAGCATCGAGTCTCTAATCTCCCATGTGGGAGTGCAAGATGTGGAGGACACACAGGTCAGCCCCTTTCCTTTCTTTCCCCATTCCCTAGGGTAAGGCCAAGCTTTGACGATAAAAGAGCAAAGGATGATAATGGCACTGAGTATCAGTTTGCACTGCTTATAATAGCAGGCAACCCATTTCCCCTTTAGCAGCTGGTGGGGCTGCATGGGTGGGGCTCTGTCGCTGTCCTGGCTTCCCAACACCATGGGCTGCTGCAGCTTACTGAAGGCTGAGGGGTAAGGAGTTCAGCGCATAGTGGCAGAGTCATTGAATGGGCTCACAGTGCACCATGCTACAGGGTGGGAAGGAGAGGTAATCACAAAGACCACCTAAAATTATCTATAGGCTCTGCACACATGAAGACTGTTCCTTCTGTTCAACTCCTTTCTCCCTTTCATCTCAGCAGCTTGTGAGAAGTCATGGCAAAGCCATACCTGCCAGCTTCACTGATGGCATAGATCTTCTTGGTCAAGTGTGAGATATGTTTTTGAACAGCAGAACACCTAGACCTTGAGCCCCGGGGCGCTAATGGGACAGCTCTATACAGAGACATCTGTCCGCATCTCTCTGCCAGCATCCCTCAAGAAGACATACTCTGCCTTGTGCAATCAGTTGATGTTCACTGAGCTTTGGGGGATGAAGTCAGGTGGGGCCGGGGAATCACATGTGAGAGTGGATATGATAGGCTACAGGCTCAGGATTGAGGGCTGCCTTCCCCACCCCTGTTGGTTGAGCCTTTTTGGAAAGAGGTTTGCACCAGTCCCTGCAAACATACATGACTTTGACTTATTTCGGCTCTGGCAGCTGGCAGTGAAATTGGCATTACGGACGGAACCTCTGGACCCAGACAGAATTGCTTTGCTGGGAGGGTCTCATGGTGGCTTTGTCTGCTGCCATTTGATTGCCCGATACCCAGAGATGTACAAAGCCTGTGTAGTCAGAAGCCCTGTCATCAACATGGCCACTCTACTGGGGACCTCTGACATCCCTGACTGGTAAGGAACTTCATTTTTTTCTGCCTTGCCCAACCCATTTTCATTCACCCATCTCTCTGCCATGTCCCCTTCCTGTGTCAGTTTGAGCCAATCTCCCTAATCCTCACTATTCAGGTTGCATTCACCCTCTCTTCTTCTCTGACCCCATTGCCCCACTCAACAAGGCCACTTCTACAGCTATCTGAAAATAGTTTTTTGTTTGGCTCTTTGGTAGAGCTGAGGATTGAGGGCATGATGCTAACGGACTGCATCGTTTCCATAGGAGGTATGCAGTGCTAGGTCTGCCATACTGCTTTGAGAGGATTCCTACTGAGGAAGACCTGATTGCCATGCTGCTCTGCTCCCCTATAATTCATGCTGCAAAGGTAAGAGACAGTTAGTAGAACTGTTCATTGGATGTAGCATGTGTCCCTCTAGGAGGTGCCGTTTTTTGTTGGGTCGTCCCCCAGCCCACCCTTTGTGCCATATGTAGGGCTCTGTGTATTGCCCCAGTTTGGCACCAAAACTGTACTGCTGCTTAATTTGCATTTGCAGTATGGAATTCAGCATCCTGAGAACCCTTATGGCTGAAGACAGACTTGACTGTACATGAAAAATGCTTCCTGATATTTGAGCAGCCAGAAGAAAAGCTAAATAGGATTTCTGGAGTATGTGTGCATAATCTCATTGTCCTTAATGGCAACAGGGATGCCCTTGACTATATCTATATATAGCAGAAGCCAAATAGGCATCTAGGTTCCACTGGCTTCATTTGCATGGTCTATATAGTTGCAGGGTTCTAATTTTCTTGGCACAGCATTTTTATTTTTTACTTTAGTGAAAAGGCAGATTTTGGTACTTGGCTCCAGGCAAGAAGCAGGGCCTTGTTTTTGTTAGTCACACACTCCTTCTGCTACAGGTGCACACACCATTACTGATGTATGTGGGTGCCAAGGACCGGCGAGTGTCTCCGTACCAAGCTCTGGAATATTACCGTGTGCTGCGAGCCAGAGGTATCCCTGTGCAGTGAGTTCTCATCCTTTGCCTTCCACATATTTGGGTTAGCAATCTTCACACTTTTGCTTGAATGGAATCCCATGCCTGGTAGCTGAGCTATTCTCTCTTCCAGAATGTATTGAAACAATCAGTGTTTGTAGAACACAAGTCTCTCTCAAAACTAATCCAAATCTGAGAGCATGCATACTTTGAGGAGTGTGTGTGTTCCTTGTGCAATCCTTCTGTTCCCAAAACATGCCAGGACCCTTCTTCCAAGCTTTTCACATTGCATATGCATAACTGCTCTGGTTTCTCCTCAGTGTTGTTCCTTATGTTTGGCCAAGGCCTTCTCTTAAATATGGAGAGTGAACACACCAGGGAATTAAGGTTTCTCTATATTTGACTACAGTACGCTTGGAATCACTGGCTTGGTGGCTGTTGGTGGAATAACACCCTCAGTCACTTCCACTTGCTGTTCATGAAGCTTCTGAGCCCTTCCTCGGTTTGCTGCCCCATTCATCTTGAGGTGGTGAAAGTGATTACCTTCACACCCTTCTGGAAAAGTGCATGGAATTGAATGGGGAAGCTAGAAGAGTAATGCTTCTCACTTCCTCCTGTATATGCTTAGACTCAGGTCAGTACCTGAGTGGCTGAATGGTAAGCAGAATAACTAAGAGGATAGGAGAGGAAAGAAAGCAATTTGGGAGTCTAGGAGGAGGACAGTGGAGCAACTGGTAGCAGGTGGAGGGAGGAGGCAGAGAGATGAAAATTGGGTGCTGCAGGAGTCAGTAAAGAAAGAGAATTAAGTGCCAGAGAGCAAAGGCACACACATGTATTTTCAAGTTGGATACAGTAAAATTGACCCTCTTGAAATGACATAATTTATAATTTATGACATAATTAAGCATCACCAGCATCATTGTGTATGTCTGCATTGACTGAACCATGAAAATGACAGCTCTGGAACTTTCCAGTCCTTCCATGGCACAAAACCATGGATCCAAGGCACAGATCATCCTGGGAATTCTAGAGGATCAGCTTTAATTCTACTGGATCTGATTTTTACCCAGACCCCATAGGAAAGCGAAGTCTCTCTCTGTGTGTGTCCGTGCATCTGTTGTGAGGGGAAATGATTTGAGAAGGTGACAAAGAGAAAAGAACAACTGGAGGGGGTGGTGCTGATGGCAAATGTTCCCAGAGGACCGAAAAGGTTGGTGACTCCTGAGCTATGCCATCCTTGCCTCCTTTTGCCCATTGTGTCCTGCCTAAATGAGGTTTCTTATCAGGAGAAGCAGCAAGCTAACCAGTAGATGGTGCTGGTGCTTCAGTATCTACCCTTTCAGTCAAAGGGGAGAAATTCCCTATGCAAAGCGTACTAGGTACACTATATTATTGCTACTTTGATCAGTTTTCACTCAGTTAAGCAATTGTCCATACTTTGGATACTCCTTAAGATCGTTTTTTGCATGTCTGTGTTGCATAGGTAAAGGTAAAGGTACCCCTGCCCGTACGGGCCAGTCGTGTCTGACTCTAGGGATGTGCACCCATCTCACTCAAAAGGTGGGGGGCCAGCGCTGTCCGCAGACACTTCCGGGTCACGTGGCCAGCGTGACAAAGCCGCATCTGGCGAGCCAGCACAGCACATGGAAACGCCGTTTACCTTCCCGCCAGTAAGCGGTCCCTATTTATCTACTTGCACCCGGGGGTGCTTTCGAACTGCTAGGTTGGCAGGCGCTGGGACCGAGCAACAGGAGCGCACCCTTTCGATCGGCAAGCCCTAGGCGCTGAGACTTTTACCCACAGCGCCACCCGCGTCCCCTGTGTTGCATAGTTTCTTTCATAATTGTAGTATCAGGAAAATGATGCAATATGTAACAGATCTAAAGTTGAACAGCTCTGTATCTGGAAAGAGTAACTTCAGCATCTAACTTGCATTACAAAAGAGGCTAAATGGACAGGTACAAGATAATCTGTTAGTGCTAGAAGCACATTATGGAGGACTTCAGCAATAAATATCTGTGGCTGGGTTGCAAGGCATCAATACCAAAGGGAAGTAAGGATTGAACTGAGAGAAGATATGGAAGGATAAAAGAAAACATTTCAGAGTTACTTTTCTATATGGTAGTTGCGTGGACATTTCGGTCATAAATAACAGTATAAGGCAGGGGTGGGACTTGGATGAAACTACATTTTATAATCTGTTCTGTTTTTGCTAACCTGTAAAAAAGGCCATGTACAGCCCATTGCCCACAGGAACCATGGTGCCTGCAAAGACTGTAACTGGTGCTTACAAGCAAGGTCCCCAGACTCTGAGCTTCTTCTTTTTTAAAAAATGAATGTCTCTAACCCTCCTAGAAAGAAGTTATGGAGCAAGCTGGGGAGGTACCCTTCTAAATGATTTCTGTAAAATGAGTGAGGCTGGCTTCTCCTGCTTGTCATTGTTTCTAATTATTGAAGTTAGAGCTGTGATTGATAAGTGAGTTGTTTGAGCACCAGGCAGCAGGAATTGCTGGGGTTCTAAAGAGCTGCTGTGTCCCTCACCCTTTTAGTGTACCCTTCCTGCTCTGTTTTTCTAGGAGTCCTTGGAGTGCCTGGAATCTCCACTATTTGCCCTACTCTTTTTCCCTATCAACCAGGATGCATTTTTCCTGTGTTGATTTTGTCTAAGATCACTGTTATTTTCTGCAAATAGTACTACACAGTAAGTGAAGCTAGGTGTTAAAGAATCCCCTCCTCAAATAGCAAATGCAAAACATTGCAATGAACCTTAAGACATTTCTGTAGGTGCGGGAACTGTTGTCCAGGCACTCGTTTAGAATTAATTGTATAGTTAGCTTAAAGTACAATGGTGTACATGTCTTATTCAGAAGTATTTCTCCTTGTGTTTAATGGGGCTAACTCCCAGGTAAGTAGGTGCAGGATGGCAGCCTAGGCTTTGGTTTAGGATTGGCATGGAATAAAACAGGGTTCTTGATCTGTAACTCCGCACTGACTTCCCGTGATAAATTTGAGGTATTCTGGTGGACAGGGGAGCAGCAATGACTGTACGCACTAATTTTGTGTTACGTGTGTGGCAGCCATTTTGTGACAGGCACCCTCAGCACTCTCAAAATTCAAAATGTGCTCAACTGGTCCAAAGAGGTTGGCAACCCCTGTCTTATATGCTTATTTACTACAAAATCATGGTATGCAAAATATTGGGGAAAGGCTCGGATGCCAAACATGACTGAGTGGGAATTGAAAATTTATTAATAGGAAGTAATGGGGAAGCTTACAAGTTATATAGGGGTTAATGAAGGGAAGGAAATGATTAAGAGACTTGTTCAGAACTGGGGAAAAATGTATGTTTTTTATTGGTATAATAAGGCACATACTTCAGGGACTTTACATTTTTTTACTTGACATGCTGTAACAAGAAACAGGTAGTGAAGGGTAAAATCAAAGTATGGATGTACTATATAGTGTGGAAGTGTTGCGTAGCCTAGTTATGTTATTAAACTTGATATGCATATGCGTTGCATTCCTAAGTAAATTCCAAATGGCGGCTGCAGTACACAGTGGAAACCTTAGTTCGTTTTTGGTTGCACTATTATGCCTACAAGGTAGGTTGCAAACTTTCAAATCTTGTATGTTCTTTCTCAGACATAGCTATTTAGAGGAAGTCTTTTTTTAAAGACTATGTTCCGTTTTATAGCAGAAGAGCCTAAGGGAAACAGAAGGGTGATGGAAAGGGTGGCACAAAGACCACCCCCATTAGTACAATCAGTTTCCTATATCCACAGGCATCAGAATATAGTACAGTGGTACCTCGGGTTACATACGCTTCAGGGTACAGATGCTTCAGGTTACAGACTCCTCTAACCCAGCAATAGTACCTTGGGTTAAGAACTTTGCTTCAGGATGAGAACAGAAATCGTGTGGCGGCAGCGGGAGGCCCCATTAGCTAAAGTGGTGCTTCAGGTTAAGAACAGTTTCAGGTTAAGAACGGACCTCCAGAACGAATTAAGTTCTTAACCCGAGGTACCACTGTACATGGTCCACAGATAATATAACTGGTGTCCCAGAACATCTATTAACATCTCATCCTGCAGAGCAATATGGTTCGTTCTTACAAAGCCAAGTAGGTTGTGGAACACCCATGATTTAGCAGACCTATTTTCCCATGCCTAGGCTAGGCTGTAGGATCACCTGGAGTAGCCAGAAGATGAAGTGATGTCTGAGCTTTGCCCTGAAGGGGCAGTTCAGACATCATTAGAATTGCTAACAGAAAGCCGCACAAATGCCTTGTGCTTCTACTTTTTCATGTTTTCCAAACATCTCAATATAACAAACCTTTGGATATCACAGCGTAGGACTTACATCAACCTCGACTAATGGTTTTCTAACTTTCTTTCTGATTTTGCATATTATTTTATTTATATTTTTTCAAATGCTTATTATTGAGATTTAAGTTATTGCGTTAAAATCCAAATCCTAAATAAACTCCTGCTTAGTCCTTTTTCGCAATAATTCATATAATGCTCCTTACAAAACTTTTTGCAACCCTACAAGCGATGTCAATTGATTGCAATTGTCTTCCAAATATATCATAAATTTCTTCCAATCTTTCAGGAAAGTCTGGTCTTGCTAGTTCTGAATTTTCCCAGTTAATTTTGCCAACTTGGCATAGTCCATCAGTTTCATCTGCCACTCCTCTTTTGTTGGTAGTTCTTGCTTCCATCGCTGGGCTAATAGTATTCTTGCTTCAGTTGTTGCATATGAAAACAATTTTTTATCATGCTTGTAAATCTCTGTACGTCATTTTCATTATATTTTCCTTTAAAGCACTGCTGGCAGTGAAATTTATTCCCTCTTTCCATAATTTCCCCCAATCTTCTAATTGTATATTATGACCAATATCTTTAGCCCAGTGTATCATAACTGATTTAACGTCTTCATCTTTCAAATGCCACTCCAGTAATAATTTATACATTTTGGATAATATTTTAACTTTGGTATTTAACAGTTCTAGTTCAAATCTCGATTTTGTATATCCAAATCCATTTTTCTTTTTATCATCTTTAAACATTTTGTTAATTTGCTGATAATGCAACCAATCATTCACAAAACCTTCAACTTCCTCATAAGGTTTTAATTTCCATTGGTTATCCATCTCCACTATTTGTTCATAGGTGGCCCAATTTTTATTCATATTTTTTTTCCACACTCATTGTCTCAAAATGCATCTATACTCTTAAAGGTAAAGGTAAAGGTAAAGGGACCCCTGACCATAAGGTCCAGTCGTGGACGACTCTGGGGTTGCGGCGCTCATCTCACTTTACTGGCTGAGGGAGCTGGCGTACAGCTTCCGGGTCTTGTGGCCAGCAAGACTAAGCCGCTTCTGGTAAACCAGAGCAGCACATGGAAATGCCGTTTACCTTCCCACCAGAGCAGTACCTACTTATCTACTTGCACTTTGACGTGCTTTTGAATTGCTAGGTTGGCAGGAGCAGGGACTGAGCAATGGGAGCTCACCCCATCGCGGGGATTCAAACCGCCGACCTTCTCATCGGCAAGTCCTAGGCTCTGTGGTTTAGACCACAGCGCCACCTGCGTACTCTTAAGAGGACTCAATTCCATGAAAGGTCCTGAATGTAGAGCCTGAGCGGAACCAAACTTAATCTCTCTCTCTCTCTCTCTCACTCACACACACACACACACACACACTCCAAAAGCAAAAAGTTAGTACTATCTAAAAGGTCCAGTCCCTGCTCAACCATACTGATTGTTCAGAATTGTGGACAACAGCAAAGGCTATCCCCAAGTATACAACATGCTTACATATATGTTGACAGGATTTTGTAAAGTTGAATATGATGTAGTGTCACATGTAGGAGTATGCCACTGTTGCTGAAATGTGATTGGAGCATGATAGAACAGAAGTGTAGGCAGAGAATGGGGGGCATTATTTGGAGAAGCTACTGCTAGCAGCAGAAGGCAGATAAAAAGTTAAGGACTGTGGCGATCACACAGGGTCCTCGGACGTTTAACGGTCTATTGATCCCTGTGCCACCACTGTGCTTGCTTCCCCGCTGCCACCAACCCGTTCCCTCAGGTAAAACACTTGAGTCCAGACAGTTGTTAAAAGTGAACCAAATAAACAAGTTTATTTTATAAATATCAACAAGTTTATGGTTTCTCAGATAATATTCCTGTCAGTATCTTAACTTTAGTTTCTTTACCGGCCTATACCTTCCTAATACCTTCTGACTGATTATCTCAGCTGTTTGACTGACTCCTCTTAACAAATTCTCTCACTCTCTCACATCAGACTAGCCTAACCCACAGACTTATCCTCTCTGCCTCTTCTAACTCCAGACTGTCTTCTCAACCACCCTAACTCTAACTAACTCCCTTCCCTTGGGTTCCCATTGGTTAGTCATTTTACAATTAGTTAACCCTTTCCTTATGAACCCAGTATGATGTCACACACCTAGGAGGGCAAACGCCACAAGGACGCAGTAGATGAGCACAGCATTTGCTAAAGAAATGATTTTTAAAAGTCCAAAGCAATACATAGAATTATCATGACTATACAAGCATTTCATCTGTTTCTTCTTTTCGTATGTGTCAATTGCTGCAATGTCTGTATTTCAAAAACAATTTGTAGATATCCTAATAGTCTGAAAACCTAAAGGTCCACAGTTGTGAGTTTGCATTAACCACAGTTTGAAAACAGTGACCCAGTGTTGTTACCTATGCATCATTTCAAAGATAGAGTATTATATGTTTAAAATGCCATTACAAAGTGTTCAAGATTCACAGGATGATGGGGGGGGGCACTATTGGATTGTTGTTTTATTTTTATTAGGTATTTTGTGGTTTTATATCTTGATTTTATTCTGTGAACCGCCCTGAGACCCCCAGGTATAGGGTGGTATAAAAATTCAATTAATAATAATAATTAATAATAATAATAATAATAATAGAATCATTCAGTCAACCAGTGCTAGAATAAAGTTCTCTTTAAAGTGGATGAGCTGTTGAGGATCAGATTAAATTTGAGGTTTGCTTGCTTGCTGACTGGAAACTGTGGGAAGCAAAAGATTGAAGCCACCTGTCACCATACCATAGTCCCAGTCCAGCTTCCCCATGCCCTTCAGTGTCAGCTCTTTACCTTAAAAAAACACACACACCCAAAAAAGCAACCTAGGGCAAACTACATGACAATTATGACATTTAAAATACCTGTGATATTTTTTAAGGCTTTGCTCCTGAAAGAATCTGGGTAGCTGCCTGCTTGAGTTTGGGATTAACAAACACCAGGAGGATACCGTAAGCAGAGGGGCACATTAGCTGCACCACTGAACACATTATTGAACCAAATCTCTGTTCTGATTTTTCAAAGTATCGAAATACAAGCAATAGGTGTGCCATGTAAAAAGCGACATAAATGATCATGAAGGAGAGCACTGTCGCAGCTGCCTTGATATGAGCTTCTGTTTGGCGGCTCCTGAAACTGGCTCCTTTACCTGTCATATTGCAGATATGTCTGCAGAGCGAGGCTACAACCATGATGGAGCAAAGTAAAGTCACAAGAAGGGGACAGCTTGAACCAGTAATTAAAAAGAAGAGTTGTAAAGAACTGCCAGTTTCTATCCATGAGTGTCCTTGAGTCATGTTTGTTACGTTGGCTGTTGTGGTGTTCTGATGTTGCACTGAAATGTTATGAAATGCATAGACAGAAAAGAGCAAGGAGGCAGCTAGAGATACTGCAAGAAGCCAGGGCACCAGGTGTGATATCCTCAGCTTGCACCAAAGGAAGAGGGAGTGGGTGCTGTTCACTATCTTGATGCAATAGAAGACGCAGAACCAGGCAAGGAGCCAGTATCGGAAGAATATGACACAGCTTGCAAAGACATGAATCATTCTCAGCATTATGTGGTTGAACTCCAACTTTAAGTAGTAAATGATTATTGCTGGAATCATCAGAACTGTGACACAGATACTGGACGTTCCCATGGACAGAAGAAGTTGTTCCTTGGCATCGAGGGTCCTGCATTTAGCCCATTCAACAACCATCACTGCAGTTATAAAGCTATTGGAGATGAACCCACAGAGGGCCATGTCGATTACAACCACCAGAAAGGCAATGATTTGGGAAGAAGGCATATTTCCGGATTCTTGCAGATTGCTGTATAGGTAGTCGTTTGCCAGCCAAAGTTGTTGAGTTCAAATGGAGGGTGCAAGTGTGGTAGCAGATCAGCGACATGCTTTTTAATGCATTGGGAACTATGCAAATGAAGTGTGCATCAAACTACCAATTTCCATAACGCTTTTATCTGGGGTAGTGGTGTTGATACTAACTATATAGAAGGGCTTCCTATCACACAACTTTGTATGTATCAGGATTGCTGCTTCAATTTGGTGTTTATGTGAATAAGAAAGTTAGCCATAGGCAACCCCTTTGTGGCCCAGATTTTATTGCTCACTTTAAAGAATAACAGGAGCTAGAAATACCGCTGTTGAAACAAGGAATAATCCGCCTCTGTAAACCACATTTGGAAGATGTTAGCTGGCTTGCTTACCCTCAGGTCCCCCTCATTTTGGTTTCCAGGAACTTCACAGCCAATTCTTATATTTGCTCCCAGATCATAAGCAAATTCTCAGGCCCCAAACCAAAAGCTTGTACAGCCCTTGTCAGTGCAGTTTACCTTCCTAGTTCCTAGCTGCTCATCTCCTCACACGCTCCCCCGAAATATTGTTTCTTCTTCATGATAAGATGCACAATGGATGAGGCAAGCTAAAAACCAGCATGGGACGGTCATAGTAGCAAGGCTGGCTCAGAGGCCTGTGGTAAAACACTCTTTTACTTTTTTAAGCTTTACCAGAAGCATTTCTACTTATTTGGAGTAGTGTATAGTTAAACTATGGAAGCATATATTTTGGTGACCAGTTCTCAGCTGATTTACTGAATATGCTGAATGCCTATTGATGCTTAAATCAACCTCAACTCTGCACTGTCCCGTAGGACATGCAAAATGTGAAACAAGCTTTTAATACTGTCAGGTGCTTTCATTTCTTCTTTTTAGTTTTCCCCAAAGGGCCTCAATACTTGTCATGCTGAGTAAAGAAATTTACAGTGCTCAAGGATGCTGTCCATGCCAAGATCTTATACTTATACTGAGTCAACAGACACAGTCCAACTCAGTTTACTTATTGGCAGTTTTTCTCACCCACCATTCACTGAATATGTCTATTTGAAAGTTAATCCTATTACGTTATATGGGCTTATTCTTAGGTGGGCATACATAGACATCTAGGTAATTGATGTGTTTATCTTTCAGATTACGATAGGCTTTTTTTATTCTTTTGTGCAGGAAGGAGAAACCTATAGCCTCCAGATGTTTCTGAGCTACAGATTCCATCAACTAGCTTTGTTCAGGGGTGATGGGGGGTGTAATTCAGCAATATCTGGAGGTTCACCACACCTGCTTAAAAAGCACTTAGGTTTGTTTACAACTATTTACCGAAAGTAAAATGTAAATATGGGTCCCCGATAAAGCACAGTGGTAACTATATCCATTCTTTATTTGCATTCCTGTAATTGCCGCTGGGGATTAAGTAGACTTAAGGTGACAGCAGATCATCTATTAACTATGAAAATATTGTTAGGGAAATGTAATGGATATAATATCCCTGTTTACGCTGGATTCATCTATTTTAAAAAAGAGAGCCTTCAATACAATCGAAACCTGGGCTATACGGTGGGTGATACAAAACTGCAGATTTGACAGCAGATATACCCAGCTATTGCAAGAAAATAGGAAATAAGGCAACAGCAACATATCATCTCCATGTAAAGACCCACCCAGTACCTTTAAAAAGAGGCCTAAGCCAAGACGTTAGCTTACCACCTAAACTACACTCACCTAAGCTATTTACATTCACCTTGGAAGGTGTGTTAAAAGCTGCAGTGGTAAAAAAAAAAAAAAAGGAATCTGTGTTAACAGAAGATATCTAAATTTTCTATGATATGCAGGTGTTGTAATAATGAAAAGTCGACAAGAACTACAAGAAATGCTGGAATAACTGAACAAAGAATCAAATGAAAAATAAAAATATTTCTTTAGACTCAAAAGCTAAAGTGTTCAATACAGTGGTACCTCAGGTTAAGAACTTAATTCGTTCCGGTGGTCCGTTCTTAACCTGAAACTCTTCTTAACCTGAGGTACCACTTTAGCTAATGGGGTCTCCCGCTGCCGCCACACGAATTCTGTTCTCATCCTGAAGCAAAGTTCTTAACCTGAGGTACTATTTCTGGGTTAGCGGAGTCTGTAACCTGAAGCGTCTGTAACCCGATGTACCACTGTATGTGCATATTAGCTGTGATGTGTTATGAAGAACTGGGCACACAAAGAAACATGAAAATTTAAAGAATAATACAACATGCCACGGGACTCACAATGTTAGGAATATCATTAAAAGATAGAAAAACTAATAATTGGGTACAAAAAAGACTGAAAGTTGTGGTTGTAATGGAAAAGGCCATGAAGCTAAAGTGGGCAGATCATGTGGCCAGAGACGATTCAGGCCAATGGAATAAAGCAGTGTTAGTATGGTGACCCTACAGACCACCTATGTTCTCTAAGAAACCAGAAATATTTCTTTTAGGCATAATGACATCTGATATTAAAAACAAAATAAGACCGCAGTCCATGTATGCAATCACCACCGCCAGGAATCTAATAGCCAGAAATTGGAAAAGGGAAACACCACCAACCAAGATAGAATGGCAAGCTAAACTGGTAGAATATCTAATGTTAGCGGAAAAAATGGAACCAGTGAGAGGAGCCTCAGAAAAGGAGGTAGACAAAGAATGGAAAATGGCGAGAGAATATCTCCAAGGATACTGCAATAGTAGAGGCTTTCTGACATTAGAAGAATGAGTAACAACATATGGTATTAATACAAAAAACAATAATGACGAAATTAAATAATGTATATAAGTAGGAAGACGATGTTTGGATCTAATGGTTACAGCAGGAAGAGTATTATGGACTTAATCGGAAGTGTTCACATTTCTTTTTATTTCTGTTTGTTCCACTGTATATAGGCATGTTAAATTATATGTAGGTAGCTACGATTAATTGAACTGGAACATAGATTTGAGCAGTTTGTAAACTTAAATGCTACCTTTTTCCTTTATGGGAAATCCTTTGCTATTTGTATTTTCTTTCTGATTATTATTTTCTTTGTTTATAAACTCAATAAAGATAATTAAAAAAAAAAAAGACCTATGTGATGGTTGGACCATCCAAAACTAACAGCAGAGCTTATGTGGATGCAGGAAGCAAACAACAGAAAGTGATGGAGAGAACTTGAAGAGGGGTATATCCAAAGATCAGTGGAGGTGAGGAACAGGTTTAAGGATTAAAATTCTACAAGGCAGGCTTAAGCAGTATGTGGACTGAGAACACCCAGAAGTGCAAGCTGGATTTCGAAGGGGCAGAGGAACCGGAGACCAAATCGCAAACATGTGCTGGATTATGGAGAAAGCTAGAGAGTTCCAGAAAAACATCTATTTTTGCTTCATTGACTATGCAAAAGCATTTGACTGTGTCGACCACAGCAAACTATGGCAAGTTCTTAAAGAAATGGGAGTGCCTGATCAGCTCATCTGTCTCCTGAGAAATCTCTATGTGGGACAAAAAGCAACTGGATATGGAATACCGGTAACTGATTGGTTCAAAATTGGGAAAAGAGCACGAGAAGGCTGTGTATTGTCTCCCTCCTTATTTAAGTTATATGCGAAAGGCTGGGCTGGATGAATCCCAAGCCGGAATTAAGATTGCCGGAAGAAATATCAACAACCTCATATATGCTGATGACACAACCTTGATGGCAGAAAGTGAGGAAGCATTAAAGAACCTTTTAATGAGGGTGAAAGAGGAGAGCGCAAAATATGGTCTGAAGCTCAACATCAAAAAAACAAAGATCATGGCCACTGGTCCCATCACCTCCTGGCAAATAGAAGGGGAAGAAATGGAGGCAGTGAGACATTTTACTTTCTTGGGTTCCATGATCACTGCAGATAGTGACCGCAGTCACGAGATTAAAAGATGTCTGCTTCTTGGGAGAAAAGCAATGACAAACCTAGACAGCATCTTAAAAAGCAGAGATATCACCTTGCCGATAAAGGTCCGTATAGTTAAAGCTATGGTTTTCCCAGTAGTGATGTATGGAAGTGAGAGCTGGACCATAAAGAAGGCTGTTCTCTGAAGAATTGATGCTTTTGAATTATGGTGCTGGAGGAGACTCTTGAGAGTCCCATGGACTGCAAGAAGATCAAACTTCTCCATTCTTAAGGAAATCAGCCCTGAGTGCTCACTGGAAGGACAGATCATGAAGCTGAGGCTCCAATACTTTGGCCACCTCATGAGAAGAGAAGACTCCCTGGAAAAGACCCTGATGTTGGGAAAGATGGAGGGCACAAGGAGAAGGGGATGGCAGAGGACGAGATGGTTGGACAGTGTTCTCAAAGCTACAAACATGAGTCTGACCAAACTGTGGGAGGCAGTGGAAGACAGGAGTGCCTGGCGTGCTCTGGTCCATGGGGTCACGAAGAGTCGGACATGACTAGATTAAACAACAACATATCCAAAGATGGATGTGAAATGCTGTAGAAGAAGAAAGAAAGATGGCAGTATCTTCATCTAGATGCCTGAAAAGTCTAATTCTTGCATTTCCTCTGTGCTTCAGTTGTCTCTTGGGATTTGGATAATAACTTTCATATAAGGCAGGAGAAAATGTAGACTAATGTTGAAGAAAGAATGTGTGATTTGAGCACACAGAAAATGCAATTTTACACAATGTTGAGGGAGACACATTTGGTGTACAGTGAAGGAGAAACAATATGCAAAGAACTGATCATACAGAAACATCAGAGCACGGGGGGGAAACCGTATGCATGTTTACTCAGAAGCAAGCCCTACTCTGGTCATTTTCTTCTGGGTAAGCAGGCATAGGATTTGGCATTGTTCACTTGATACAACAGAAGACGCAGAGCTAGGCAGAGCCAAAATGGAGAGAATTTGACAGGGTGCAAATAGAAAATGCTGTGAATTCTCCAAGTGGTTCCTAAACACTTTATACAGTAATTAATGAAAATTGGAGTCAGTAAAACTGTCTCTCAGATATTGGGCATAGTTTGGGATGGAAGATGCTAACTAGTTGTGAGGCTCCCATGTTTAGCCCATTCAGTGATTATAACTATAAAGTCATTGCAAATGAGCACACAAAGGACCAAGTCAGCTACAGTTACCCAAAAGCCAACGTTGCAAACATTGCCCAAGGAAATACATGGGTTGAACCCTCTTCTTTTCAGCCACTGGTTCTGGCTGTCCCTTTCATGAATCCCCCCCCCCCCCCCCCAAAGCTAAGCACTATTATTCATATTGGTTAAGTGTCATGCCACAGGGCAGAAGCTCAGCTCTGAGGACATCACCATCCCAGAAATCTCATCCTCACAAGGTGTTTTTGTCTTTGCTGAAAATAGGGATGAGCTTGAAGCTCCCATGAAATGCAAGGAGGCACTTGGTTATGCTCCTAGGCTGAGAAACATCCAGGCCCCAGGCAATAATCAGTGGTAGTAGTATTACAGTGGTACCTCGGGTTACATACACTTCAGGTTACATACGCTTCCGGTTGCAGACTCCGCTAACCCAGAAATAGTGCTTCAGGTTAAGAACTTTGCTTCAGGATAAGAACAGAAATCGGGCTCCAGCAGCGCGGCGGCAGCAGGAGGCCCCATTAGCTAAAGTGGTGCTTCAGGTTAAGAACAGTTTCAGGTTAAGAACGGACCTCCAGAACGAATTAAGTACTTAACCCGAGGTACCACTGTATAAGCATTGTTTGCATTAGACATGACACTAGGTTTTTAGAAGATCAGCCACAACAGCAAACTACTGCCTCTGGTTGAGAAGTGCTGAAACCAGGACTGGCTTATACCATAGAGCAGGCATTTCCAACTCCCAAGAGATTGTGATCTACTCCCAGTACAAAAAAAATGGCAGTGATCTACCCATTGTCAGTGGAGGGAGGAGGAGCATGCGTGGGGTGGGTGGGTGGGTGAATTCCCCAGAGTTGTTGAGCTTTTGGGGGGAGGGAGGACTGCACAGAGTTTTTTGGCTCCCCCCCCAATGACTTTTTGTACACGATAAGGATCCCGCGATCTACCAGGATCAGCCGGGGATATATCAGTAGATCACTATCTACTGGTTGGACATCCCTGCCATAGAGGTTTTTCCTGACTTACCACAGGGACACCCTCATTCCTCAGAACAAGTTCCAGCTGAACTGAGGTACTTGGTAACAATAAACTTAGAGTTGGAAGGGACCCAGAGGGTTGTTTAATCCAACCCTTCAATACAGGATTGATTGCTGCTTTAATTGATATGTTTATCTGTCAAATTCTGATAGGTTTTTCTTTCATCAGTATCTTTAAAGGCATAAATTTGTTTGCAGCTGTTTACAGAAAGGAAAATGCAAAGATGTGTGCCAGAGATAGCAGAGTGGTAAATATATCCCTTCTGTATTTGCATCCCTGTGATTGCTGGTGAGGATTAAACAGGCTTGAGACAGTGCCTTTGTTTAGATTTATGAAACTTCTAATTCTTTCATTACCTCTCTGCTTCAGTTGCCCATTGGGATGTAGATAACAACAGAACAGAAGGAAATGCAGACAATTCATTTGACCAATATGGTTCTACATGTCTATACTTTTGAATAGCTGCTCTTTTTTGTATAAGTGAATATGGAAGGTCAATATCCAATCAAATGGCTCTGAACTAAAGCTCATACATCAGTCATAAGGATAATCCCACTGCCCTGCAGATGAATAGATAGGATTGCTAATTTCTTTCTAGTCATTCATATTACTTACTCATTCCGACTAGGCATAAACATTGCTAGCAAGGTACTCAAAAGGGCTGTTGAGATGCCTATAGCAACAAATCGTTCATTTGAAGTTACCCACCAGCTCCTAGTTTTTCTGCTGAAATAGACATCTCAGTAGCCCTTCTGTGTTTTGTGCAGTGCAATTTTGGGGAAGATAGCTGTGGAGTTGGAAGGTTCTCGTAGTGACTTTGTTGCCACTTATTTGGTTGATTCCCAGAGATGCCCAAAGCCTATGCAGAAAGCTGCCCTGTCATCAACATGGCCACTTTACTGGGGAACTCCACCCACCTCTAACTGGTAAGGAACTTACCTAGTACAATAGTTCTGCCTTATTAATTGTAGAGTTGGAATGTTTAGTCAGAGTCTTATTTCTTGTTATATGAATCCATTGGTTCAAGTCCTGCCCTCTGGAGCGGGGGGGGGAGCTTGCTTCGTCTTTCATATGACAGCTGTTGAGATATTTGAAGATGAGGCATATCACCTCTCAGTCTCCTCTTTTCTAGGCTAAACATACCCAGCTCCCTCAACTGTTCCCAATAAGGCTTAGTTTCCGGACCCCTGATCATCTTGGTTGCCCTCCTCTGCACATGTTCCAGCTTGTCAACATCCTTCTTAAATTGTGCTCAGAACTGGAAACAATACTTCAGGTGTGATCTGACCAAGTCATAATAGAGCGGTACTCTTGACTTCCCTTGATCTGGACACCATACTTCTGCTGATGCAGCCTAGAAGAGCATTAGCTTTTTTTGCTGCTGCATCACACTCTTGACTCATGTTACACTTGTGGTCTACTAAGACCCCTGGATCCTTTTCACATGTACTACTGGCAAGCCAGGTGTTCCTCATCTTATATGTGTGCAGCTGGTATTCCTGCCTAATTACAGAACCTTATATTTGTCCCTACTAAAATTAATTGTGTTAGTTTGAGCCCAGTTCTTCAATGAGTTAAGGTCATACTGAATCCCAATTTTGCCTTTTGTGGCATTAGCTATCCCTCCCAGCTTGGTGTCACCTGTAAATTTGATGAGCATCCCCTCAATTCCTTCATCCAGATCTTTTATAAAGACATTGAACAACAGCGGACCTAGGACAGAACCCTGTGGCACCCCACTTCTCACTTCTTTTTTGGATGATGAGGAACCATTAGTGAGAATTCTGGGTTCAGTCAGTCAGCCAGCTACAAAGGCCTGAGACCTGTGGGTATAGGGTGGTATATAAATCCAATAAATGAAATAAAAATCAACCCAACAGTTACCTTGTCCAGCCTACATTTTACTGCTTCTATACAGGAAATAGTAACCAATAATAGCCTAATTAATGCAACTCATCAATGCAGTTATCTATGCGAAATATGGAGATGTATGTTAGTAATGTGTTTGGGTTTGATTCAGGTATTTTTCAGAAGCAGGGCTAATTTGCACGGTTTACCTTGGAAAAATGTTGGGTGATATTTCAGAGTACATTTGCTTTGTCAGGAGACAGATCAACCCTAATGGTATTCACACTGCCATGATTAGTACTAGATGATCATTTCTTTCCATGTCTGTTGTGATAACTGTCTTCGTATGCAGGGAAAGTCCCTAACTCACTGAGGGTTTGAGACCCATCGACTTCCCTCACCTGGTTTATCCAACTATTCGAAGCTATTACCAGGATGTGGCCACAGTTGCATGCTGACAGCTTCCAGAAGCCACAAGTGAGAGCTGAGTGCAGGGTGGGGCCCAAACATGGACAAACTACACTAGAAGGAGCACAATGTATTCCCCATCAGAGGTACTACCCCTTCTAGCAACTCCTGAAGCCAAGCTGGTGCCAAACGTGTTGCTCTGCATTCCTTTAGACTACATCAGCAAGGCTGAGAGAGGGTCTTGTTGTCTGGGCAGCCCAGGACCTCCCTACACACTGCTCAGGCTTGCACTCTGGAGAGGTCACTTTGGTTTGAGAGGTCACGCTGCTAACACAGCGGTTTGTCTTCACCCCAGAGGCATACTCCATTGCCTCTTGGCACTGACGGAATGCCAATAACAATGTCATACCTGACAACACAGCTACAGATAATGAAAGGTCAGCTTCTCTATCTAACGTGTATGACAGGAGATGCAAAATGGCCAGGTACAAGACAACCAGTTAGTGCCTTGGGTATACCAGGAAGGAGCTCATTGTTAGGGTTGAACAGAAGCGTTAGGGTTGTACCACTTAGGAACATTTAATAGTAGGCGAAGTGGTCTGAACCACTGAGCCTCTTGGGCTTGCCGTTCAGAAGGTCGGTGGTTCGAATCCCTGTGACAGGGTGAGCTCCCGTTGCTCGGTCCCTGCTCCTGCCAACCTAGCAGTTCGAAAGCACGCCAAAAGTGCAAGTAGATTAATAGGTACCACTCCGGCGGAAAGGTAAACAGCGTTTTCGTGCGCTGCTCTGGTTTCGCCAGAAGCGGCTTAGTCATGCTGGCCACATGACCCGGAAAAACTGTCTGCAGACAAACGCCGGCTCCCTTGACCTGTAAAGCAAGATGAGCGCCGCAACCCCAGAGTCATTCACGACCGGACTTAACTGTTAGGGGTCCGTTTACCTTTACCTAAAGGGAAATTAAGCAAAAGCTTCTGTACTTGAGTAAGGATTAATTTAGAGAAGGAAGGGAAGAGTCAAAGAAAACATTAAAAGTTATGTTCTCATATGGTATCTGTGTAATGAAGCAAAGAGGTTTTGGTCATCGATATAGAATATAACAGACAAAAATGACACTGCGACAATTTAGATTTTAGAATCCATTATATTTATACTAACTTGTACAAATGAGTCCATGGTCTTAATGCCATGTATCATTGTAGCTGCGAGATTGTGTTATGCAGAATAGGTAGGGAAAGGTTTGTGGCAAAGTGGGCGACATAAATGTAGGAATATACTGTAATAGGAAGTTTAGGCATTGCATAAGGGTGAAAGGAGGAGGCAAAAAATTAACAGATTTGTTCAGCATTGGAAAACGTTTCTTGATTAGTAGCTAAACACACACACACACCCCGCGTCCACCTTCTAGTTTTTCCTTGTGAATTTAAGGCTATGTTTTTGGAAGCATCTGCCTAGCTGCCTGCTTGAGCTTGGGATTAGCCAACAGCAGGATGGCACCCTGTGCAGGGGAGTACATTAGGATCACTGTTACACACACTGAATAAACAGAGGTGATTCTTTCAATATTTTCAAATACAATTATGGAATGTGCCACGTAAAAAAAAATGTAAACGATCAGGAGGGAAAGCACTGTCGCAGCTGCCCGGATATGAGCTTTTGTTTGGAGGCTTCGAAGACTGGCTCCTTTACCTGTCATCTTGCAGACATGTGTGTAGAGTGAGGCTACAATCACAATGGAGCACAATAAAACCACAAGAAGGGGACAGCCAGAAGCAGTCATTAAAAAAAAGGCTTGCAGAGAACGAGAAAGTTGGGTTGCTTTCTTTCCTTGAGTCACATTTGAAGTGTTGGTTGCTATGTTGCTCTGGAGCTGAAAAGAAATATGTGGGATTGTAATCAAGGAAACAAAAACCGAAAAGACTTGGGATCCCACAAGAAGCCAGGGCAGCAGCTGTGATATCCTCAGCTTGCACCAAAGGAAGAGGGTGTGGTTGCTGTTCACTATCTTGATGCAATAGAAGATGCAGAGCCAGGCAGTGAAACAAAATCGGGTGTATGAGACAAAGGTTGCAAAGAAGTAGAATGTTTGAAACACTAAGCCGTTGCTTGAGTTGGTTACTAAGAAATTAGTAATGACTGCAATCTCACAGGCAGTGGCAAAGATATTGGACGTACCCAGAGAGAGAAGTAGTTGTTCACAAGTTGCAAGACTCTTGCATTGAGCCCATTCAGTGACCATCACTGCAACTATAAAACCGTTGGAGATGAGCCCACCTAGAACCCAGTCACTTGCAGCCACCAGAAATGCAATGATTTTGGAAGAAAGCATATTTCCAGATCCTTGCAAACTTCTGTACAGGTGGACTGACCAAAGTTCTTGAGTTCATGCAGCGCACAGATGTGATGGTAGCAGATCAGCAGCATACTTTTTAATCCATTGGGAACTATGCAAATGAACTGAGCATCAAACTATGTAAATCAATGTGCTACCAAGTTCCACAAGGCTCTTATTTGGGAGAGTGGTGTTGATACAGACTGTATAGAAGGGCTTCCTGTCACACAACCTTTTGTGAATCAGGGATGTTGCTCCATTTTGGGAGTTATATGAATAAGAAAGCTTGCCGCTGGCATCCACTGCAGTGGCCCAGATTTTTCTCTGCAGGGAAAAGGTGTTAGGAGTTGGGGAAATGGCCCTTGAAGCAAGGAAGGAACATCAAGAAATGGCATTGGAAGATACTCGTCGTCTTGCTTACACTCAGACCCTCTTAGTTTTGGTTTTCATGACTTTTTAGCCTATTATCCCACTTCATAAAAAATATTATTTCCACCACAGGAAGCTATCTCATGCCCCAAGCTTAAAAGCTTCATAAAGTCTTCACTGGTACAGTTTACTATTTTTTGGTGGCTGCTTATTTCTCTGACCCCAGTCCAGCTGTTGACATCAATCTGTCATGTTTTTTTTCTTTATGAACAGATACACAATTGAATGACGCAGTATCAAACTTCAGCAAGTGACAGCAATGGAGTTAGCTCAGAGATCATTTTTCCAGTGCACGTGCTGCAATTGCTGCTCTGCTTAAATCAGCTCTCCACTGACACACAGTATACTCATAATGTAGAGCCAGTTTTTAATACTGTCAAATGCTTCTGTTTCTTCTATTTAGTGTAGCCAAAAGACTTCATTGCCTGTGCCATTCAAAGTAATGTTTTTGATTGTACTCAAGGGTGTTGTTGCCATGCTAAACCTCTGAACTTTTTAAGTATATATATGCATTAAGGGACATAAACAGCCCAAGCTATACATCCTTGAAATTTAATCATACTATATTCAATGGGCTTACTCTATGTACAGTGTGCATATGATTACAGCGTTAAATGATAGGTTTATCTGTGAAATAATTATAGGTTTCTGTTTCCTTAGTGTATTAAAAGCACACAGATTTGTTCGTTGCTGTTTTCCAGGATGGAAAAAGATTTAGTGTCTTTTACTAAGTCTAGTGGTAACTATTTCTTTTGTCTTGCATCGCTATACAGTGGTACCTCAGGTTACAGACGCTTCAGGTTACAGACTCTACTAACCCGGAAATAGTACCTCGGGTTAAGAACTTTGCTTCAGGATGAGAACAGAAATTGTGCAGCGGCGTCACGGAGGCAGCAGGAGGCCCCATTAGCTAAAGTGGTACCTCAGTTTAAGAACAGTTTCAGGTTAAGAACGGACCTCCAGAACGAATTAAGTTCTTAACCCGAGGTACCACTGTAATTGCAGCTGAGGATCAAATAGGAATAGGACAGAATCTTTTATTAGAGTCATGAAACATTTAATTCTTGCATTGCTTCTGTGCTTCATTTGCCCCTTGGGATGTGGATAACAACCTACCTAAAGGGTGGGCGGGGGAGCAAAAAATTCAAACTAGCATGTAATAAATGTGTTGTGCTTAGAACACACGGGAAATGCAATAGCACCATGTTGTTTTGAGACCTTGTTGTACATAAATCAAACTATTCAAAGTAGATAAGAGCACAGTATGATCAGAAATGTCTGACTCCAATAAATAACAACCAACCACATGTTCCTACGAGTCAACAGAGAGCACATAAAAGTGATAGTCTACCTATTCTTTCCACCTGCAGCATGCTGAGTCTGTTTCTTTCCACATGAAGGCTCCATTTAGCTATTCTGATGAATAGCCATTGATAGACCTGTCCTTCATGGTGTATCTAATCCTCTCCTAAAATCCAGGGGGGACAGCAGGTGGCTTTGAGGGTGGAGCAGGTCATGGCAGACTTCAGAGGGAGATGAGGCTGTGATGGAGACAGGCCTTAGTGTCCTTACAAAGAAGAAGATGGGACTGAAGGGAGTACATAGAAGCTATATATGAGAGTCTTCGCTCATCATAGTCCACAGGAACTTCTAAAATATAATTTTGTGTTGTTCCCTTTGCAGGCTGTTGTGGTACCCAGAAGAGAATCATGCTGTAAGTGGAGTGGAAGCTGAAGCAGATGTCTTTATGAACAGTGCACAGTGGATTATGCATTACCTTTCTAAGGAAGCGGACTCTGAAAGTCAGCAGCCAGCTGAGAAATAAAGGATCTCAAATATTAAAAAGCAGCCAGCCTGTGGAGATACATACCATGCCACATGAAGATTGCCAGATAGAATAGATATGCAGTCAGCAAACTTTTTCAGCAGGGGGCCTGTCCACTGTCCCTCAGACCTTGTGGGGGACCGGACTATATTTTTTTTGGGGGGGTGGGACAAAAAAACAAATTCCTATGCACCACAAATAATCCAGAGATGCATTTTAAATAAAAGCACACATTCTACTCATGTAAAAACACCAGGCAGGCCCCACAAATAACCCAGAGATGAATTTTAAATAAAAGCATACATTCTACTCATGTAAAAACATGCTGATTCCCAGGCCGTCCGCAGGCCAGATTTAGAAGGCTATTGGGCCGGATCCAGGCCCCGGGCCTTAGTTTGCCTACCCATGGTATAGATTTAGCCTTTGCATCCCTGACAGGAATCCCTTTCCTCTTTCAGTGTATTCTTAAAAGATGCGCTGCTGGTGCCTTGAAAGCAGCCTTGTACAGAGTCAAACCTTTGACCTCTGCAGCCCAGTACTGTCTATGCTGACAGAGAGCAGCTTCCCAGGATGTCAGATTGCGGGCATTTCCAGCCCTATCTGAAGATGCTGAGGATTCAGGCTGGGACCTTCTGCATGGGCAGATGTTCTACCACTGTGCCACGATGCAGGTCCTTTTCAGAAAATCTGCAGCAAACAGTCAACTGTCTAATTGAACTTGACTCTTGTAGCAAAGCTGACATCTTAAGAATGTGTATTGCTGCTTATAACTACAAGGCAGTGTGGATAGTTCTTACTTATTCATTTACAGGACACCAGATCTTGGAATAATAGGTGCTAAAATAAAAAACTCAACCTTCTTATTTTTATTGTTATATCTACTAAGCTATACATAACCAAACTGGTCCCTGAGGGAATTAAATGTCATATAAGATTATAGCTTCAAGACTGTGGTATGCAAAATATGTGGGAAACACTGATATACCAACAACAACTATGTCACAGTGAGAACCCTAAATGTAGGAATATACAGCAATGGCAAAGCTTATGAGTTTTATAAGGATGAAAGAAGGAAGGGCAAAAATTAACAGGTTTTCCCCCCAAGATTGGAAAATGTTTGTTGATTATTGGCATAATAAAGCATATACTTCAGGAGATAATAACACTTTTATATGACAAGATAAAAGAACAACAAATAGGTTTAAAAGCTAACACATTTAAGCATGTTATGTTATCCTGAGTGGCAAGTACATATATAAGTATTTTGGGTGTGGAGATTGTAAAATGTGAGGTTAGAGGGAAATGAAATGTGCAAAACCTCCGACAATGAGAATTACGTATTTAGCAGTTGTAGTTCACAAAACAGTTTTTGATGTCACAGATATTGTTGCATTGGTAAATAAATACAATGTGCTAAGAATTTTCTTTTGCTGTTCCGTCAACAAATATAGCAGTGAAAACTCTTGATGTGTATTGTAATTTAGTGGATTCACATTGCAGTGTACAGTGTACCAGACAGTTAAAATGCATATTGCCATTTCTGATGTCCGATTTTTGTCCATTTCTTATTTTGCATAGAGATTGCCCTGTGTAAAATGCAGAAGGGCATAACTGGCAGATGGCATATATCACATGAAGAGGAGAATCAATCCCTTATGTTGCTGATGGCATTATCAGGCCCGGGAAAGGTACTACACTCTAGTTTGGCCCTAAGAATTTTCTTAAATAATCCTTGTTATTGGTATTTTTCAGCACAGGAATAAGAAACCTGTGTGCCTAACAGAACAACACGGGGGGGGGGGGGGGAGGGGACACCCCAAACCAATAACTTAAACACAATGCTCTCTGTATGGCCAGTGTCAATGTCCTTAAGAATTGTTAAGTCTCTGTTTTTGGAAACGTCCTGGCAGCCGCCTGCTTGAGTTTGGGATTAACCAACACCAGGATGGCAACCTGCACAGGGGATTACATTAGCATCACTGCTACACACACTAAAATAACATACGTGGGTGTGTTTTTTACCCTGTCCAATTGTAAGCAAGGTCTCTGTCAGGCAAAAAGAGAGCATCAGGAGGGAGAGCACTTTTCCAGCTGCCTTGATGTGGCTACTGTTTGGGGACTCTGAAAATTCAATCCTTTACCTGTCATCTTGCAGAAATGTCTAAAGCGTGAGGCTACAACCATGATGGAACAAAGGAAAACCACAAGAAAGGGACAGCCAGAACCAGTAAGGGTGGGAAAGGGCTGAAAAATTCAGTCTGTCTTTCCTGTCACGTTTGTTACATTGTCTGGTATTTTTCTGTGGATTATTTTATAAATATTCTGCACTGCAAACGGGGGGGGGGGGGGGAACAGTGAGATGAGATCCCACAAGAAACCTGGTATCCTCTGCTTGCACCAAAGGAAGGAGGAGTGGGTGCTGTTCACTATCTTGATGCAATAGAAGATGCAGAGCCAGGCTGTGATCCAGAATCGAGAGAATGTGACAAAGGTTTTAAAAACAGAGCATTTGCGGCATTAAGTACTACCTAGTGAAAAATGGAACCATGAAACCTGTATAGCAGACACTGGACATACCCAATGCCGTAGTTGTTCGCTGACAGCAAGGTTCCTGCATTCAGCCCATTCAGTGATGATCACTACAACTATAAAGCGATTGGAGAGGGCCAAGTCCATTACAGCCACCAGAAACGCAATAATCTGGGAGAGAAGGTATATCTCTGGATTCTTGCAGACTGCTAGACTTTCACTAGCATTGAGATGGGGGGTCCAAGTGAGGTAGCAGGTCTATAGTATACTTTCTCAATGGGTTGGGAACTATGGAAATGAACTATGCATCAAACTATGTAAATTCATGGGACTCTTGGTCTGCCCATTTCCATGATGCTTCTAGATAGTATAGCGGTGTTGATGACAAACTATATTGAATGGCTTTGTATAAATTGAATTGGTGCTTCATCTTGGTGGTTATATGGAACAAGAAATTTTGCCCAAGAGAACCCTATTGGTGGTCTAGATTTTACTGCTCAGGTAAAAAATAGGAGGAACTGGAAATACTGCTGTTGAAACATGGAAGGACCACCCCTGGTGGTTACAATATGGGGTATCATAGGGCACTATTCTATCCCCATTGCTGGGAGCAGCCATTAGGACTTTGGAGGCCAGGTGTGATTTGTATGCTGATCCTCAGCTCTCTTTGTCCAGAAGTTCTGAATCAGGAGAAGCCATGTGGGCCCTGGGCTGATTCCTTGATACGGACTTGGGATGGATGAGGGGGAATAAGGTTGTTTGTATCCTGGCAAGATGGCTTTGATCTGTGGAACTGTCACGGTTACACAAGCCACATAATATCTGTTCAGTAGCTGTAAGAAATTGATCTTTTAATGTGGTAGCACCTAAACTGGAACTCCCTGCCTATTGATATCAGACATATGCCTTTGCTGTGCTCTTTCTGGTGTCTGCTTAAAACGTTCTGTATGTTCTGTGCAGACGTACAGAAGTTACAGTCGTTTACGTAACCCCTGGTTACATAAACTTTGGGATGAGCGCGCGGCAAACCTGGAAGTATTTTACCGGGTTTCACTGAGTGTGCATGCACAGAAGCGGTCCTCAGGTTGCGGAAACCTCAGGATCCGACCGGACCTCCGGAACAGATCCCGCCCGCAACCGGAGGTAACGCTGTGCATGTGTTTTTCTCTTTTTCGCTACTGTCGATTTTAATTAGTATATTTTGACTGCTTTTAAATACATACAGTCGTACCTTGGTTGTCAAATGGAATCCGTTCTGGAAGTCCGTTCGACTTCCAAAAACGTTAGACAACCAAGGCGCGGCTTCCGATTGGCAGCAGGAGTTTCCTGCACTCAATTGGAAGCTGCAGAAGCCGCGTCGGATGTTCAGGTTCCAAAGGACGTTTGCAAACCGGAACAGTCACTTCCGGGTTTGTGGCATTCAGGAGCCAAAACATTTGACTCCCAAGGCGTTCCAGAACCAAGGTACGACTGTACTTGTTCTTAAACTTTTTATTGAGAATTTTTTTGTTTATATTTTTGTAACCAGTTAGAAGGGTTGTGGGGTTTTTTTACAGTCAAGGGCACATAAATTTTGTTAAATAAAATAAACAGTAACTCCGGCTCTCCACTGACCCACAGTATATTCATAACATAGAAAAAGCTGTAATACTGCAAAATGCTTTAGTTTCTTCTGTTAGTTTAGCCAAAAGACCTCATTGCCCGTGTCATTCAAAGTAACATTTATCACTTTGCTCAAGATTGTTGTTAATTTCTGAAGTATGTTTTTAAATTAAGGGCCACAGACAGCCCAATCCTATGCAACCATGGAATTTAATCCTACTGTATTTAGTGGACTTACTCTAAAGTAAGCGTGCACAGATTGTAGCCCTAATTGATCAGTTTACCTGTCAAAACATGATAGGTTTGGGTTTCTTCAGTGTCTTAAAATGCATAGAGATTTGCTTGGTGCTGTTTTCCAGAACAGAAAATGGAAATATATGTATTTTATTAAGCAAAGCAGTAACTAATTCCATTCTATATTTGCATCACTGTATTTGCAACTGAAGATCAAATAGGCAAAGGACAGTACTTTTTATTAGATTTCTGAAACAGCTGGTTCTTGCACTGCCTCTGTGCTTCTGTTGGCCCATGAGATGTGCATAACAACCTTCATAAAGGGCAGGGAGAGAGAGAGAGAGAAATCAAACTAAGGTGTAAGAAATATGTTGTGTTCTGAGCATGCAAGAGCTGCAATCACACAAAATGTCGAGGGGAGACATTTGATGCACAAACAAGAGCCACAAAAGCTTCTGGTAGTTGGTGTTTAACAACATCTGCAAGTAGTGGGTGGTAGGGTAGCTTTCCAGGCGTCCAAATTGCCTAGCAAAGTTTGAAACGCTTGTGGTTGATGAAAAAGGAAATTATAAAGGTCTAGCCTTCCTATAGACATGCAATATTCTACTGTTGGTCATCTGTCCCAGATGAGGGCATCGTGGAGAAGGGAACCAGTTGCCAAGGGGAAGTGGGAAGAAATCGGAGAATTCTAGGGAGGGAGAAGCTAAATCCATTTCATAGGACACTCTGGATATAGGGAAGGGAAAGTGTGGGACAGAAGTAGATGAAGAAGAAGACAAGGGGGAATTGAAGGAGGTACAATAGGGCTTCATGATCCACATTAAGCCAATGTATGGATGGTGTGCCTATTGAACTTAATCTTGCTGGCAAGGTTCTTTCTTTCTTTCTTTCTTTCTTTCTTTCTTTCTTTCTTTCTTTCTTTCTTTGTTTTTCTTTACAGGGTACCTGATTTTGGTATAACAATTTCTAAAGTCAAAATCTGACCTTTGTCATATTACCCTTGTTATATTTTATTAACATATAAACACACACACACACACACACACACGGTCCAAGTATAACAGAGGGAATTTAAATTTTATGTGAGTAGAGTTTCAAGGCTGGTATGCAAAATGTTTGGAAAAGGCAAAAACCATGACATAGTGAGAATTCAAAATGCAGGAATATGCAGTAATGGCAAAACTTATGAGTTTATACAAATGAAACAAGGGAAGCAAAAAGTAAGAGGCTTATTATTCAAGATAAGAAATTGCTTATGGATTGTTGGCATAATAAAGCACATCAGTAAATAATAAGACTTTTATTTTACATGCTGTAACAAACAAGAACAGTGAAAAGTCGTAAGGCAGAAAATAAAAATAGTAATAATATTAGTAGTAGTAGTAGTAATAATAATAATAATAATAATAATAATAATTATTATTATTATTATTATTATTTCTACCCCGCCCATCTGGCTGGGTTTCCCCGGCCACTCTGGGTGGCTTCCAACAAAACCTGAAGATACAATAGTTCATAAAATATTAAAAGCTTCCCTAAACATTTTTCCCTATAGAAAAAATGTATATACAATTATTCTGAGTTGCAAGGGTATGTTGGGGTGGTGACCGTAAAAAGTAAGATCAGAGGAAATAAAATATGTAAAACTTTGGACAGTGATAATTACATGGTTAACAGTGGTAATTTCCAAAACAATCTTTTATGAAGCAGATATCATGGCACCATTAAGTACAAGGCAAATGGACAAGAAATTATTTGGCTCAGTTCACTCCACAAATGATAGCACTGAAACTCTTGATATATTGTGATTCAATGGTTACACGTTGCAGTGTCCCTTTGAAGTTCCTTTGCTGTAGGACGGCAGCTTTAAGGTTATAGAAGCATTCTGCCAAAGGCTTTTGAATATTGCAATCTCTGATGTCAGACTTCTGTCCATTTCTTATTTTGCATATAGGCTGGCGTGTTTGTCCTGTGTAGAATGCAGAAAGGAGTTTCTGATGGTGGATATCATGTAAGAAGATCGCAGATATCACATTGGAAGATGAGGAGGTGAACAAACTCCTGATGTTGTGAACAGCATTCTAAGGCTGTGTAATAGTATTGCCAGAGTGAATTTGTGGACAGAGATGGCATCTGCGTCTGCCACAGGGGCTGCTGGTATACAGATGCCTGGTGTAGGTATGTTGTTTCTTGGGAAGAGCTGTTCAAGAGCAGGAGGTGCCTGTAAACATCACGTTCCTTTGTTTTTGTTTTGCTGTTCTCTAATCTCGGTCTCTCCTATGGCAATTCTTAGATGTCTTGACCAATGAGCCTGAAGGGATGTTAATGTTTCATTTTAAGAAAGGAAGTAGCTGACTTAGGGGAAGGAAGCAAGGCTGCTTGTGACTGGGGCAAGGTGGGGCAGGAATCTTTAACCACTCATCACCCCCCATCCCAATCAGAACCACAATGGGAGGAAATCTGCTGTTGGCATCAATAGGCCCTTTCTTCCCATGGCAAATGGCAGGCATGATAGGAGGGGTCAATTCCAGTTTGTGTGCTGGAGAAAACATGCACACTACTCCTGACCAGGCTTGGGGCTCCTGAGCTAGCTCTTCACAAAAGGCAACACCTAAGAATGGTTAAGGCTTTCTTCTGGGAAGCATCCTGGCAGCTGCCTGCTTCAGGTTGGGATTCACCAACACCAGGAGGGCAGCCTGCACAGGGGAGTACACTAGTATCATTGTTATACACACTGAAATGGCAACTATATCTTTGTTAATATAGCCAGTTATAAATAAGATCTTTGCCACGTAAAAAGAAATGGAAAGCACCAGCAGGAGGAGGACTGTCCCAGCTGCCTTCGTGTGAGCATCTGTTTGAAGGCTCCTAATATTGGATTCTTTCCCAGTCAGTTTGTAGACGTGTCTGTAGAGTGTGGCTACAACCATGATTGAGCAAGGAAAAACTATCAGGAACGGGCAGCCAGCAGCAGTAATCAAAAAGAAGATTTTGAAATTAGTAGCAAAATCAACCTCTGTCTGGTCTTGCGTCATGTTTGTAATGCTTCCCTGGGGTTTAATAAACGCATTCTGCAGTGCAAAGAAGGAAACAAGCAAGGAGATGGCTTGAGATCCCCCAAGAAGCCAAGGTATTATCCGTGATATCCTCAGCTTGCACCAAAGAAAAAGGGAGCAGTTGTTGTTAACGATCTTGAGATAATAGAAGAGGCAGAGCCAGGCAGTAAGCCAGAATCGGGAGAATGTGAGAAAGGTTCCAATGAAGTAGCATATTTGTAATATTAAGGGGCTGCTAAAGTCAGAGATGAAGTCGTACTTACTTAAATATGGAGACAGAACACTCGAGAAGCCGATATTGGACATACCTAGAGACAGAAGAAGTTGTTCTCTAGCATCAAGTTTCCTGCTTTTAGCCCACTCAGTGACTATCACTGCAACAATAAAGCCATTGGAGATGAGCCCACCGATAGCCAGGACAGCTAGAGATGCCAGAAAGGCAATAAGTTGAGGAGAAGGCATCTCTCCGTATCCTTGCAGATTACTGTACCAGGTGGCCTTTCACCGATCCAAAGTTGCTGCACTGAGCTGCAGTGTGCAAGTGAGACAGAACATCTGCAGCATCCTTATGAATGACCGGGGAACAATGCAAATGAACTGTGAACCAAATTATAAATTAATGAGACTCTCCAGCTGCTCATTTCCATAATTTCCATATGCCTCTATCTGGCATAGTAGTGTGGACAGAAACTGTATCAGAGGGCTGCCTGTCACTCCACTTTGTATAAATGGGCGGTCGCTCCATTTTGCTGGCCCCATGAATAAGAAAGCTTGCCACAGGCAACCACTTTGCAGTGGCCCAGAGTTTATGTAAAGAATAGGAGGAGCTGGAAATTCCAGCTGGCTTGTTTGCCCTCAGACCCTCCTGCTTCTGGTTCCCAGGCCTCTGCAGCCTTTTCTTTTATTTGATCCCAGATTATAGGCAAATGCTTCTTCCTCAACAGCATGCCCCAAAGTAAAATCTATCTGCAGTTATTTCCAATGAAGTTTTCCTTTCCTTTGCCTGTTGCTAATTTCTTTAACCGCAGTACAGTATTTATTCTTTTAAAAACAGATCAATGCAAGCTCAAATTGCAGTGTGTTTCAATTACAATAGCAGACTTAGCTGCACTCATTTTTCTATTGCACATTCTGCACTGCTGCACATTCTCCACTCCAGCTCTGCATGAACCCAGTATATTTATAATGTAGAACCTATTTTTAATACTACCCAGTAGTTTTGTTTCTTCTGCCTAGTTTTTCCAAAAGACCTCACTGTGTGTGTGATTCAATTACCATTTTGACTGCACTGTTGCCATGCCAAAGATCTAAACTTTTGGATCTTTAAACAGAGGGACATGTCCAGCCCAATCCTACTATATTCAGTGGCCTTTCTCTAAGGTTAGTGCACCTGCGATTGCATTCCTGATTGGTAGGTTTACTTGCAAATCATGATAGGATTGTGGGTTTTTAGTGTCTTAAAAGCACAGATTTGCTTGTTGCTGTTTTCCAGAGCGGGATATGCAAAGATGTGTATTTAATTTAGCACACTGGTAACTGGATCTGTTTGCCTATTTGATCCTCAGCTGTAATTATAGCAATGCAAATAGCAAAGGATAGCATCTTTTATTAGGGTCTGTAAAATGTCTAATTCTTGCACCGCATCTGTGCTTCCATCACACTTTGAGCTGTGGATCTCAACCTTCATAAAGGGCAGAGAGAGGAAGAGAAATGCCACGTAACACATTAAGAGAAATGTGGTGCTTTGAGTGATCAAAGTTGGTTCCAGTAATATTTTCAGGCAGGAGCTAACAACATGGGGTAAGACAGCACTGCCTCTCAGGGTCCCTCTAGGTTGCTGCAAGAGAGGGAAGCAAGGTAGCAGAGATCTCAGCGTAGCCCTCCCAGTGGCTTGGGTGCATCAACCTCCTCACCCGAATTGCCTTACTCATCTCTTCTCCCTCTCAGTAATAAGCATGGACCTCAGACTTGGGAAGTGAGGAAAGCAAGACTGCCCAATCCCACCAACAGCTGCTGTCTGCAGGACATTAGGTTACCTCTACATTAACTTATTTCACTATTACAGGGATGGGGAACCTGTGGCCGTTCAGATGTTGTTGGACCACAACTCCCATCATCCCTCACTAGGAGGACCAGTGGTGAGGGAAGATGGAAATTGTAGTTCAAAAACAGCTGGAGACCCAGGTTTGGGAAACTCTGATCAACCCCCAGCGATGCAGGAATCTTTCACCCAATGAGGGGCTTGAACCCACGATCCTGAGATTAAGAGCCTTATGCTCTACTGACTGAGCTATCTCTAAGGAAATTTATTAAATGAACAGGTGTAAGAAAACAGGACCTACGTTCTGTCCTGTTTACAGTGTGGGCAGGCAGGCAGGCATGATACAAAGGCAAAACAACCCCAAGACAGGCAAATAGAATTCAAATCCTATAGAGATGTATGATAAAAGTGACTAACAAATTTAATAATAAATAATAATAATAATAATAATAATAATAATAATAATAATAATAATATCATCTTAGGGAGAAAGTAACTTACAGAGATGATACCTTTGATTTTTGAAACATCTAATTCTGACATTGCCTCTGTGCATCAATTGCCCCTCAATATCAGATAAGCAGCTTCATAAAGGGAAGGGAGGGGGAAGCAAACTGCTAGACTTTCACTAGCATTGAGATGGGGGGTCCAAGTGAGGTAGCAGGTCTATAGTATACTTTCTCAATGGGTTGGGAACTATGGAAATGAACTATGCATCAAACTATGTAAATTCATGGCACTCTTGGTCTGCCCATTTCCATGATGCTTCTAAATACTATAGCGGTGTTGATGACAAACTATATTGAATGGCTTTGTATAAATTGAATTGGTGCTTCATCTTGGTGGTTATATGGAACAAGAAATTTTGCCCAAGAGAACCCTGTTGGTGGTCTAGATTTTACTGCTCAGGTAAAGAATAGGAGGAACTGGAAATACTGCTGTTGAAACATGGAAGGACCACCCCTGGTGGTTACAATATGGGGTATCATAGGGCACTATTCTATCCCCATTGCTGGGAGCAGCCATTCGGACTTTGGAGGCCAGGTGTGATTTGTATGCTGATCCTCAGCTCTCTTTGTCCAGAAGTTCTGAATCAGGAGAAGCCATGTGGGCCCTGGGCTGATTCCTTGATACAGACTTGGGATGAACTTCCGGAGGCGGCGCCAGCGGTTAATGGCGGATTTCCTCGATCGGAGGAAATCGCGCCACGAAAACAAGGGTCGGATCCCGCTTTCGGCGTAGCGGGGGACCCTCAAAAATCACAGGCGGGGGAAGCCTGTGAGCCTGGGACCCAGCGGGCACTTTTGGCGCCCCCCAACCCAGTAAAAAGCCCGGCAACGGGCTCGGAATCGGAGCGGGGGAGAGCGCTGTGCTGTGGGCTGTTTGCTTCTTCGTGGTGTGAAGCCGCAAGCTGTTGACCGGAGAGCGCTGCCTTTTTTCCTTGAAATTCGGACCTGAAAATCAACGATCCGTGAGTAGGATATAGTCTAATTGGAACTGTACAAATTGGAATTTGGCCGAAAACGGAAAGAGGTATAAAAAGGAAGTCAGCCTCTTTCCTTGTAGATAAAATAAAGCATTGAACTTGAAAGCGGAAGCATTGGAAAAGCACGTATTAGTGGACTCTAATCCAATCATCTAACCTGGACTTTTCCCTCCTTAAACTGAGGGAAAAGGGGGGAGAAATGTGGATGTGATTTCTTCACAAAGAAGTGAAATAGAAGGGATTAAACCATCGTTCAATTCCCTGGGAAAGGATCTCCAGAGGTAACTTAGAAAAGAAAGAGAGGTACTGTCTTGCAATATATTTTGACAGCTAGTCCTGCACAGGAAATAAAAGTCTGGACATACTATGTGAATATATATCTCCTGGTCCTAAGTTAATATTTTGTATAGACTGTTATCTTCCTGAATAAACTGGGGGGACCTAGAAAAGAAACTAAAGTATCCAAGAACTTTTATGACTGTTACAGTGTCCCCCTAGTGGAACTTGGAATTGTTACAATTTGTTATAATTGAAACTGTAGCTGGCTTGAGGAATTCTCACACTGCTTGGCTGGAAATTTCCACTGTTTGATTTTAAACTGCGTGACTGACCTTGAACATTATCTAAAGGAATGGCAGATGGTAAAGAGAAAGCGGAAGCATCGACTACAAGGTCGGGAAGGCCTATTCGAATAGAAGAAGGATTACAAAGGAGATCTTCGGCCTCAGGCGCCTCTGGAATCTCAACAGCAGCCTCATCGACGCAACCAAAAGCAAAAGGTATGACAAGTGATGATGCCTTTGCTCAAGTTTTGGCCAAGGTTAATGAATCTCTAAGTAGAATAAGCCAACAAGTAGCAGAGGCATGTGACAAGAGTGATCAAAATACAATAAGTATTAATCAAAATACTGCAAGTATAAATAATTTGGGCCAGAAAGTAAATACTAATACAGAGACTATTCAGAAATTATTAGAGGAATCGGCCTCAATACGCCAGATTGCTGAGGAGGCTAAAGAAATTGCTACAACTTCTGCTACAGAGGTTAAAGAGGTTCAAGAGACAATACCAACATTGCATAAACAATTGGAAGATCATAAATTGACCCTGTCTATTTTTGAATTGAAGGAGAAACAAGTGAATTTACGGGTCAGATCGGTACCTGAAGTGGAAAAGGACAATCTAGCTGAATTTCTCATGCAGGAATTTTTGGACTTTTGGGATCCAGAAATGGTAAAAGACAGCTTTAAAATAGTAAATGCTTTTAGACTTGGTAGAAGAGGAGAGAAAAGGTAAGAGACTGTTTGATTACCTTTCGAACAAAAGAAGAGAGGGATAAGATTTTGGGCTTGCATTTCAAGAAGACATTGGAAATCCAACGGACAAGGGTGGAAATATTTAAAGACATTCCGAAATACCTTCTGGATCTCAGATCAAACTACAAAGACTTGGTTACCCTGCTGAGAAGGAACAGTATCAACTTTAGGTGGGAACTCCTCAAGGCCTGTCTTTTAGCTACAAAGGAAAGAAGAGGAAAATAAGATCGGAAGACGACAAAGACAAATTTTGCAGAGACCACGGAGAAGACTTACAAAAAGAACTATTTCCGGAACCAAAAGACCGTTCGAAAGAAGGGATACCACCGACGGATGAGGAACAGGCACTAGGTGCAGTAGGAGGAGAACTAAAACAATAACATCATGGCCCTGCAACTTTTAACATGGAACTGTCGGGGTTTGAATTCCCCTCAGAAGAGGAAGTCAGTATTTCATCTATTAAAAAAGGAACAATTGGACTTAATTTGTCTACAAGAAACACATATAACAAGACTACACAGGAAATTCTTGATAAATAAAAGACTTGGTCAGGAATTTATTTCGTTGGACAAAGTTAAAAAGAGAGGGGTTGTGATTTACGCAAAAGACAATTTATCACCGAAATTTGTTTTTAAAGATGACCAAGGAAGATTTGGGCAATTGAAATTCAAACACAAGGAGAAAAATTTCTGATCGTAGGAGTCTACGCACCAAATGATGGGAAATCTGACTTTTTTAAGAAGTTGCATGAGACCCTGATGGACCATATGGATTATAACACGATTCTGATGGGAGATATGAATGGAGTGGTATCTACTTATATGGACAAGGCACAAAGACAGGTAGTCACCAAGGATGGTAGACTACCGAAAACTTTTTTTGATATGACAGACAACTTGGATTTAGTGGACATTTGGAGAATTAGAAACCCCTTGGCTAAAGAGGGAACTTTCTTTTCTGAAGCCAAAATGACTTGGACAAGAATTGACCAAATTTGGATAACTAGAGGAATGGCACCAAAGACAAGAAAGGTGGAAATCTGCCCGAAAATTTGCTCCGACCACAATGCTGTTAAGATGGAAATGAGACTAACACCAACTGGCTCCTTCAGATGGAAGATGAATGACACCTTATTTAGAGATGAAGAATTTCTTAAGAAGGCCCAAAAAACTCTGAGAGATTACTTCGAGATAAATCTTAGTTCCAACGTGGAGAAAAGAGTAATCTGGGACGCAAGTAAAGCGGTTATGAGAGGGTTCTTAATACAACAGAATGCGATAAAGAAAAGAACTCAAAATGAGAAGAAGGATAAAATAATGGACAAAATAAATGAATGTGAAAAGACTGAGAGTAAATCCCAAATCTCAAGAGATTTTGAGAGAGTTAAAGTTATATCAAGTACAATATATGAAAATGATGAATCAGGAAATAGAATGGAAAATTAAACAAATGAGACAAAAGACTTTTGAATCGGCTAATAAATGTGGCAAATTGTTGGCATGGCAAATGAAAAAGAGACAAAAACTAAATACGATTACGAACTTAGAAGTGGAAGGAAGGAATATACAGAACCCAGCGGAGATTAGAAGTTGTTTCCAGAAGTATTTTAAACGACTATATACTCAAGGGCCAATGAAAGAAACAGACCTAGACCAATTTTTGGAAACAAATGGATTACAAAAAATATCTCAAGAAAATAAACTAATTTTGAACTATAGAATAACTGAACAGGAAATAGAAGGTGCCATTCAAAACATGCAACTGGGTAAATCTCCAGGACCAGATGGCTTGACCTCTAGATACTACAGATCTTTAAAAGAATGGTTAATTCAACCATTGAAAGAGGTCTGCAATGAAATAATGGAGGGGAAGAGAGCACCAGAGTCGTGGAAAGAAGCATATATTACACTTGTACCAAAAACAGAGACTGAAAAGACACAGCTTAAGAACTACCGCCCTATATCACTACTTAATGTGGATTACAAAATTTTTGCAGATATTTTGGCGAAGAGATTTAAAAAAGTGTTGATGGAAGAGATTCACAAAGACCAAGCGGGCTTTCTCCCAGGAAGACATTTGTCTGACAATTTGAGGAATATAATTGATATTTTGGAAAAATTAGAAGTGAATATAAACACTAAAGCAGTGTTGATATTTGTAGATGCGGAGAAAGCCTTTGACAATATTTCTTGGAATTTTATGAAGAAGAATCTACAGGGTATGGGGGTAGGCCAAGGTTTTGAGAATGGTATAAGTGCAATTTATTCAGAACAAAAGGCTAAACTAATTGTAAATAATGTTGTGACGGAAGAACTTAAAATTGAAAAAGGGACACGACAAGGTTGCCCAATTTCCCCACTTCTTTTTATTTCGGTCCTGGAGGTTTTGCTGAATATGATTAGAAGGGACCAGTTGGTTAAAGGTATACAGGTCGGAACTAAACAGTACAAATTGAGAGCATT